TCACATCGCTCAAATCTATATACTCCGTCTGTCACTAACGTTCCTTCAACATTTCAAGGTTAGGCGACTAACTCTAATTGAAATCAAATCTCAAATCATTGCAACTAATGCACCCAAGACACACTATCAGATTAATTCTCGTCTTCACATGTCACTTTTCGACATATCAACTTTGCTTTCTTAGATACGGAGTACTCCTCCGTACAACACTATGAGATACAGAATACTCGAAAATTGTCCGATACGTGGGTACCAGGGCTGCAGGTACCTCGAAGCCAATGCCGATAATAATTTGACTGTGGGAAAATGCAGATTTTTTTCGACATGGATTAGCCCCAGAGCCCTAGCAGCCGGAAAACTCTGAGGTTGCAACTGTCTCAGCCCATCTGTCTCTTTGGACCCTGTCTCTGTCTCGGGCACGTGCCATCTACCGAGTCTGTCTCTTAACCTCTCGACATCTATTCCCATGCAACAATTCTTCAGTGACAGAGCCGGCCAATGCCATTACATCCGGGTGTTCGATCTTTGGGCGCAAAGCTACAGCTCGGCCAGGCAACGGTAGACGAGCCATAATCGGATCCCGGAGTCGGCATTGCTGACTTAACCGCGTTAATGGAGTACGACTTTTAGATCAACAGCAGAAAATTCAACCCCTCCCCCCAAAAAGATGATTGGCCGACAATCTAAACATGGGTACAGATTCAGAGTGTCATTCTAGACTGATATCCCCTTGTCTTGCTGCCTCAGCCCCATATGCTTGTTGCTCCAGGATCTTAGGATGCGACACGCCCGATGAACCCATATGCCATGGTCGATACGCCAATCCTGGTCGATTGGGTCTAGAGTTCAAAACCTTGTATATCGGGGAAGATGTTCCCTACCAAGTAAGGAAAGAGTTAGACGACATCTATACAATACCGTGAGGCTTTTCTGCTTTTCTGCTTTTCTTTTCTGCCTTGCTGAGGTAGATTAAAGTTTGACTTTACCAACGGTCGAGGCCTCCAGAGCTTCCATCCCGAGACATCCACCGGCTTGACCGGGGCAGAGAATTGGTCTAATTCTACCATCTTGTATCATGTCAACACTACAAGATTCAGCTAGCACATCTATTCTGGTAATGGTACCATTTTGAAACGAATTTTCCCCGGCCTTTCGTCTATGGAGATTAAGCAGCCCAGGCTTCTATGGCTCCATAATTCCACTGGGTCGTCTGGACACAAGGTTCTGTGATGGGTTACCTGTGTATCATTTCTTCCGAGATGGTTACTTTGAAAGTAGACCCGAGTTCTGATAGCCCACTACAATGAGCTTTAAATGCCTTGTGGAAAATTGGATTATTTCTCCTTGTCAGCAAAAGTTTGCCCCGAGACTGGGATGATCATTGGAAGTTTCCCCACTCTGTCATCCCAAACTTTGATCACCCTGGATCTACAGCCCGCCAGCACAGATCGTATCACGACCACGAAGCTCCCGGGTAAAAAGGTTTCAAATGAAGTATCCGACCCTGTCGACATGGATGGAAAGACAAGGCATCAACCGAACAAGGGTTAAATGGAAAGAAGAATGTCTCATTGGCTTGCCGCCCTCCAAAATTCTGGATATGAAGCGTGTCAGGCAGGAAATATGCTTTGGATGGCGCGTTGGATGCAGACCAGTTGAAGACTCCACTCATCATCCAGCAACTCATCCGGCCGTTTTTTTTTTGCCTCCCCGTGGCAATTCTAACCAGCCCTTGACTACCATCCTGGGAGTAGATCAGCCAACCCTAAGCCGTGCCCATGTAGCACGGAGGAACAGCCAAGAAAAAACTTGCTCATCAGCCGAAACTCTCCCAGCGAAGAACTGCCCTTCTGGTCGAATTCCCTGAGCTAATAACAAGTGGGATGATGTTGTTTAGCGCCGATATTTCCTGTCACTGGGACCTTGGAGCGTCATGAACGCCCTTTCACATGTATTTTGGCTGTCATATTGGATGCCGCGGTTGCGGAGGGGAATGCTAAAAGTATGGTGGCGTGGTGAGGGTTTCCGAGGGAGCTAGGGCCAAAGCTACAGGGAATATTTCGGCCCCCTCCGCCATTGTCTGCGTAGCCCGTATCGTCTAGTAGGGGAGCATTCGGCGGAAAGCCGGGCCGGTAGGTAAGCTTTCCCCGCCAATTCAAGTCTCTTTCCTAAAAGAAACACGGATGCTACGTTATGCAACCCAATCCCGTTACCGGGAAATTTCAAGACAACTTTTGCCGACGAGGCTGGGTCTGTGTTTGACTTGCTGAGATCTAATATCGATCTGTACATTGGTACTTTGGTGATTGAGCCTGGGATCTGGCACCCGAGGGCGTAACTAGTACGCGGTAGTGTTGGTGCTAGGGCATAATAGGAAAACGTCCAAGTTGCCGGAGCTCCATTTCCTTCCGATGTCATCTCCACTGTCATGCGAAGATGCAGAAAGTTTGATGTCCCAATTGAAATCCCTGAAGCCTTCGAAGAATCGAACAGTCGAGACCTGCAACATTTATCTTCCATATGACGGTTTCGCCGTCAACGGCGTGCAGGGTTGTTGTCAGTGGAGTCCGGCACCTGAGCACCATATTTGTGCTGGCTAGGAGGGTGGGAAGATGTGGATTTGTGAAGCCTGAAGTCAGCAGCGAGGGAAAGCTTGTAAAGAGCGGACTTGCCCTCGGTGGCCATGGATTAGCATCCACTGCTACCATGTTAGGAGCCTGAGACAACTAGAGCCTTTTACCAGGGGGTTTGAGCATTAACATGTCTAGTGACCACTGAAACGCAGTTGAATCCAACGATGATCATCATCCCCATGCACGTCGAAAAACGAATGAAATGCTGGATGGTGAACTATCTTAGTAGACTCGCCCATAGATGTTTTAGGGCGTCCTTACTTCATAGTAGCACGTGGTTGGGTTTCCATGGGTGATTCCAAGGTTGAGATGTTCCATGGTGGCCGTGAAGCAAATATAGAACAGTTGCTTCGAGAAGAACATTGGAAGGATTATCATGAACGCAAAGAAACACTGCTACCGTGGATGAGGGTACGACTCGTGAAACAAGTAAGAAAACCGTGTGTGAAGTTCAAAATTTCTCTATCCCATTGCTTTTGTATAGACTGACGAATGCAAGTAACTGACATGCTGGATGTCTTTTTGGGAATCATCATTATCAACCATGTCCTACAGTACAAGGAAAAGAGCTTCGGCCTAAATATGGGCCCGCCTGAGAAGAAGGAAAAGTTCCATTCAAAAAGTCGTAAGAGAGAACCGAGAAAAAAGTTTAAGTAGTGCGCTTGGCGAACTCGACGCGGAGAATAAGGTGGCGGTAACCGACTAGCAGAAAAACAGGTTAGCAATCGATAAACTTGTAGAAAGAAGACCACAAAACGGAATATCGAAGACATACAGCCATCCACCTTCTCGCAAGCAAGTGCGGCGTCGCCACGATCCGCATAGCTGATGAAAGCAAAGCCCTTGGCTCTCTGGGTTTCCCGATCCCGTGCGAGGAAGACTCTGGTGACACGACCGAAACGTTCGAAGAGATCCCGCAACTCGTTTTCCTCTGCCAACTCGCTGACCTGTTTGTGAAAAAAAAAAAATCAGTACCAAACCGAGATAAACAACAACGATGTTCGTAAAGCTCGTAGAAAGCAGAACAAGGGCAGAACGTACGTTTGTAACTCTCAGAGTCGCCAAATCGTCCTTCTCGAAGCGACCACCCATCTTCTCGCCGCCACCAGCACCGCCCTTCCGCATGTGAGGAGGAACGTAGCTGGACTTTCCAGCACCGAGACCACCCGCATCGTCCTCTGCCTCGGCGCCACCAGGAGCAGCAGTGCCCTCCTCGACGGGGGCCATGGTATCCTTGAAGGGACAGCGGGCCGTGAAATGCTCTCCACTGCAAATACGACACTTGACCTTCTTGTCCTTCAGCTGGTCCTTCATGCTGCCCTTCTCGCCACCCTCCTTCTCAGCCTCCTTAGCGTTGGCCTTCCAGTTGACGCTGGGACGGAAGACGATGTTCTCGCCGACGGAAGTGGTATCGAACGTGGGACCGGCGGGGTGGCCCTTCTCGAGACCGAATTTGTCCCATTTGCGGCGTTCGGCGACCTGGGGGTTGACGTGTTCGCGGACAATAGTGGTCTTAATTCGGCGAGTGACCTTCACTTTCTTGTTGTCATCATTGTAGCGGTAGGAGATGACAGTCTTGGTGCCGTCCTTGTTCGCGATCACTTCTTGCGGCGGGAGCACGGAGGGGTCATCGAAATCTTCGTCGTCGGCCCAGTCGGCGCGGCTGTAAAATTGAAAGTTTTGTTAGATCGTTATTTTTTGTAGGGGTGCAAATGTGTATACTCACTTTCCGGTTGGAGACATGGTGTAAGTGATGGTGTTATTACGGCTGCTGAATTTCTGGATTTCTTTCAAAGGCGAATCCGTTGTGGATTTAATAATTTCCTGTGGCGCAGTTGTGGCTGATGCTGAAAATCACGTGGTGCGGTGTGTATAGCCCCGAAAGTGTTCCAAGGCTTCAACCTCGTTTCAACACACCGATGGAGTAAACATCTCTTTTCTCCCTCGTGATAAGCGTGATGGTATTCAGCGAGTTCCGAATCTTGGAATTATCAACGGTAAAAGTACCGTTTCCAGACATAGTTAACGTCGAGGGTCCCGAGAAGATTTCTTTCAAACCAAAGCGAATATTTGTAGTGGACAGGGTAGTGGCTCGCCCTGGTCTCGTGCTTCACCTCGTGGAGTGACGAAGGCAGGATTAGAAATTTGGTTTTATTTGCAAATTTTGGCAATGTTGACGCGCAATTTCTTCACGTATATCCCTTGAGTCTTTCCTACCATACTTTCTAGTACTACGTTTTGCTAAAGAACATGTATTCATTTCAGCTTCCTTATATATAAGATGTCGATATAGCGAAAAGTTCATGGAATTACAAACAGATTTACTAGGCCAAAACCCTCCTCAAAACCACTCCGATCACCACTAGATCAAAAGCCCATCAAAGCCTTCTCGGTCCAATCCCACAATCTCTCCGCAAGCGCCTCATCCTTCGCTGTCTCATCAAGCTTCCCATCCTCCAATTTCCCAACAGGCTCATAATACCCTCCATTCCGAATCTGCGCCTTGTCCACAGTAGCCGCCCAAGTCTGATTAAATGCACCCTCATGCGCCTTGATAATCACCCACCAAGTAGTCCCATAAACAATCATCCTATCTTTAAGGCTAAGATCATTAACAAGACTCGTTCTCGCAACACCAGGATGTACCGACACCGATGTGATAGCCGGAAACCTCTTCGCGAGCTCGCGCGCATACAGCAAATTGGCCAGCTTACTCTGCCCATACCGCCGCCACGGCCCGCCGAACGCAATATCCTGTGTCGTCTTGAGCTTATCGAAGATGATTCCGCCGCGCGGGTGCAGCCCCCACCCTTGCGAGGTGAGGATCACGAGGCGTGGGTTGCGGGAGGCTTCCAGGAGGGGCAGGAACTTTTTGATCAGCAGTGCGTGGCCGAGGTGGTTGGTGCCGAATTGGACCTCGTAGCCATCTACCGTTAGACCAGGGGGGTTGGCCATGGTCCCCGCGTTGCACATTAGGATGTCTAGGGTTTGGTGTTGGCTAGTGAAGTGCTCAGCGGCTCCTTTGACGGAGGTCAGGGAGGCTAGGTCACATTTTATGAATGTCACTGCGAGATCGGGGTTGGTTCCGTGGATTTGTTTGATCACTTTTTCTGCGCTCGTGGCATTACGGCCGCTGAGGTAGATGTGTGATGGGTTGTGCTTGGCGAGGTGGATCGCCGATTCTGCGCCTAGACCGCCGGTTCCTAGACTGGTTGTTAGTTGTGGACTTGGAGAAAGCAAAAAATATTAATTTCAAACCTCCTGTTATAAAGATAGACTTTCCCGTGAGATCAGGGATATCATTTTCAGGGTTATAATCGAAAGGCATGGTTGAGATACAAAATTAGGGCTAGATGTGTCACACGCAATATTGGGTTTGAAATATGCTGAACTTGCTCGGAATGAGGAATTATAATTTCAAAAAGAGAAGCAATGAGGTTTTCTCTGCCTTTTATATCTGGGAAGTGCACGTTTCCCATAAGCAAGAGGCCAAAGGGTGCTCGAGGTCAAATATATAAATTGCCCGATTATGAAGTATAGTTCCAGCGTATGGCCCCACATGTGGCTTGTCCAACCAATGAAAACCAAGATTTTCCGAGCTCTCCAATGCCATCTAGCCATTCTATAATCATTCATCACATCACCTGCCAGAACGGCTTGATATTGTATCGAAGAACAAGCGGTGACTTTTTTTGAATTGCTCCGAGTCCGACGGTGAAGGTTTTACCAATGGAGTAGAGAGGTATCGAACGCTATACATGTATATTTTAAACCGTTTTTGCCAGCTAGCCGTGCCAAGCGCCCGCCCTGGACGGGCCTTGGGCATCTCCTAGTTGCCATGGACGGGCGATGCCGTAGTCTAAGAATGCACTCTTTGGTCAAAGAACTGGCTGGTAACATACACTCCCCTCTACTATAAATATATATTTCTAATAGTTTAGAGTTAATAAAACCTTGAATTAGCATAACACTACTATAAAAGAACAAATATTAATTTTCATCCGTAATTAATAGAATATAAAGGCTATTAGCGCTAAATTCATCATATTTTCATAGATTTTCTAATTTATTATAGTGATAATATCTAAATTTTAGGACATGAAGCAGAATAGTTATAAAAAACAGTTATTTATTTTGATTGACTTGGGGACTTTATAAACGCTAAGACTATTTTTTTATGCAATCGTGGGCTTTCGTGGGGGCCTAATAGGGGCCGCCGATAGGCCGGGGGTTAGGCTTTAGGCCTAAAGGTTTGGCCCCTGTCCACTGTGGGCTGGGCTTTGCGGAAGCCTATTCGGCATCATTACCCTTATTGGTTAAGTATTCCGCTAAAATCGAGAAGAGAAAGGCTGCCGTGGATCCTTTTCCTTTAGAGCCGGCGATATGGATGGCATTTAACGCGGGCTAGCCCGTTGTCCCTTGATTAATATCTCTTATTCAGTAGTCAGGGCGATACACGTTTCACCTGATACCCGATCTCACTGCACCAGCTTATCATCTACTCTATGAGTAAGTTCTGGTCTTTGAATGAAATCGTCTGTTGTTTTGATTCGAAATGGGTGCGTAGGCGGTTCAGTCGATGAAGTGTCCACCTGGTCATCTGTTAGTTAGCACTTAACTCAGTCAAAGCGGCTTGGGACCCCACCTGATAGAATGGATTGGATGGTGTTCGATTCTCCCATGTTGATGGACGCGGGTTTACCGAAGATGGCGATTCTGGTTCAAGGCTAGACGATGTGAAAAAGCCAGACGTTTGAAAACAAGTCGCAAGTCATGCAAGCGAGAAAAAGGAACGAACCCATGAAATGTGGGTGCACTTTTCGATCGACGATGCAGCCACGACACATGATTTCATCACCGCCGTCGGTCGATCTGAAATTCGATACTTTCAGACTTTTTTGGGAGTAGATTGGCACTTGCAGGCTCCAATCATGACCTTCTTCGGGAGGCAGATTAACAGTCTAGCTGAAATTGGCATGCTTCTTCGCACTCTAGGCGATAGGGGGTTCAGCTCGTCAGCCATGTACGGAGTAGGGTAAACAAGTCTTTTTTCCTGGTGGGTGATTATTCGATCAAAGTCAATAGCCGATGGCTCACTAATTATCCAGTGGGTCATTTGGAAGATGTCTCAAACAATTTCACTAGTGTGAAGACGTGGCATGCCGGAATAAAACTAAGAAGAGATAGAATGATAAAATACTACGCGCAGAGCTGCGAGGGTTGGCCAAAAAGGTACCTGGGGGCTCCAAGGGTCACCATGATGGAGTTTGCGTCCATTCTCCTGCAATTTCTTCATCGATCTCTTCTTAGACCCATTCATATTTATTGGAAGAGGAGCAAGACTATGCCGAGGCTCAGAAGCTCAGGGTCTACCAGTCACAGTTGCTATGCTCTTGGTACAGAAGTTAAAGTGAAGACTATAGTCCTGGGCCTTTGGCAACGAACCCTGAACCGAGATTCCGTGGTATGTGACAGGGATTAGGAGATGACGGAGAGTAATTCCCGACCCTCAGCTCAAACGGTGGAGTGTGAAGATACAGATATCATCGGTGAATCTCATATGTGGAGACCCTGCACTATGTTGTAGATCAGATCATCTTGATGACGATCTGCAGAGCCACACACATTCCTTAGAGGCCCACATGCAGGCTATGTGTGGGTCTTGACATGATTTTTCACTCTTTAAATATGTTTTTCGGTAGCATTGATCTTTAGATGTCCTTAGCGTGGATAGCATATTGTGAAATACTATTGTGAATGCGAACTGGAATACTACACACGACCTTAGGCCGTGTGGTTTTGGATTCATTGTTGTCCTGACCAGCGATATCCACTGAGAGCCGAGGGTAAGAAGGATTTAAGGGCGATAATTTAATAAATATTATACTGGCCATAGGCAATTTTTGTTCCAATAAACCACCTAGGATCGACGAAGAGAATGAATTATCGACAATGCTTGCCTGAAGAGGTCGCAAAGGAGCGGAGTCCACCCGTAGATCTGAGATGATCGTCCTAGAAAATAGGATGATCACTCTGTTTTGACCCTGTATGCATGGGTAAGTGGGTTATCCCAATTCCGTCATTCAGAGATTGATCGATTGTACCTGACGATTACTAGCGGTATGATTAACGAAAGAGCATTTTGAAGATACATTGAAGTGTAGTGAGCAAAGGATTTTTGTTCTGAGTATCCCTGACACAAAGCTATCCCCACCTTTAGCGAAGTGACTAGACTTCTCCGGTGCCGAAACCGTGGTCTTCTGGCTGAGAGACGATAGTGGAACGACTATTCAGCTGAAAAGGTGTAGTTATGGAGATCAGACCTGGTTATGGAACGTCCCTCCTGGGACATCCCGTAAGATTTGTCCAGGTCTAGTGGAGACTAACTCATGAGGCCCATTTAACAGGCTAAATCAGAATGGTATTGTGGGAACATGCTTGTTTTGGATATCAGATATATTGACAATCATCCGAAATATCTCAGCTTATGCTCATTGAAAACTCATGGTCCACTAAATTAATAAAATTCCGTCTTTGACGTCACTATATCTCTAACTCAAACTTATAAATACTCCATCTATGTCAAGTTCTCTTCGTTGCATATACCTCTCTGACATAAAATCTTGCTTAAAAGCTATCTTTCAATTATGCGTTTGACAAACTTCCTCTGCCTGCTTGGCGTCCCATTCGCCACTGCCATTGTCTGTAATAGCGGCTGCGACGAATATCCCACAAACGCCCTCGGTACTGTTATATGTCCTGGGTCGACCTGGTACGGCAGAATTATAAACACCGATGGGGATTGCAAAAGCCACTACGAGCTTGCGGGAGGATATGGCTGTTGCTGTGGCTGTCCCTCAAAATAATATACTGGAAAACTTTTGCCAGCAAATGAAGTGAGTAATGCTTTCTGCATGCGACTGTTTTGAAGTACGCCGCTAATCATCTGCTCCATTCACTAGTTGGTGACCCTCAATAATGATTGGGATGCGGAATGGAAAGAAGATGAAAGTCGTCCAGAACGGTGGTAAAGGAGCGAAATGAAAGGCAATCGGTTATGCGCTGAAATGAAGAAATAAGCGAAAGGGGAGGACGGGTTTCTCGGTCTGCGCTTGCTTCCTGTAATTTTACCTTGCGCTCCCATCACAGAACTTGTCATGGATCTTAATGCTATTTATTGATCCTTTCCTCACCAGTTGTTATTTGCTGTTTGGCTTTTGCCCTCTTGGTTTTTGGTTCACCACCTCGTACTGCTCTACAGGATCCTTGTACTTTGCAACCTACGAAGATATAGCTTTAACTTTCACTTGTTTTTAACTGCGTTACATTTACCATCTTGCTATCCTTACTGTAGCTTTAGTAATTTGCGTAATCTTCTTTTCACCCCCAAAAATCGCTAATAATTTGGAATTCGACTCGCTTTTGTGGGGGCATGGGTGGTGATTGAGTTGAGTATTTAGCCTGTCTGCGCCTGTATTGCATTTGCGGTACTTCCACCTATATTTGTTTCCATCAAATCGAACTAATATGGTATTCGCTAGTACAGTAGGCATCGAATGGAAAATGGATAGAGTTATCAGGTTGCTGCTTCCTATTTTCTGAGAAGGAAACATACGAGAAACCTAACGACGAGATGCAGCAGGATTCAGGAAACTGCACGTTATGGCAAGTGTGTGCAACAGAGGGACGGCTATATGAGTGCCGGCAATGATTTGGTGGACCTCCTCAACAAACTGAAGGACAATATCACCGAACTTGCCACGGAGAAGATGGGCCTTCAGGATGAAGTCGAAGTCCTGACTGGGACCAGGTGGTCGGTTTTCTTTACGGCATCAGATAAGCTGCATAATAATATTATGTTAGGCTTTTATTCTGGCTGAATGGTTGAAAGAGACAGACCCGGAATACTAACGGCTGGTCAATTTATAAGTGGACTCGTAGTATTGCAGTCATAGTTCCCGCGGACGGGTAATGGTGCTTAAGCTCCGAGGATCTATTTTCAATTCACTAATCGTTCTACGGTGCCCAAAAGGGCTAAGAACTCCTAGGAAGATCTATCAGACTTCATTTGGTTAAGATGGGTAGACCTCGGCGCGAACCTCAATGGAACCGCACCTACCCGCGGTTCGAACCTCCCGGTCCCATGGGACCACTCCTAGTTAACAAAGGAGCCATTTTTGGCTCCCCTCCGCTAGGAGAGTGACAGTTATCCGTGGGCGTTGGTGCACGTGATGCCAAGACCGGCCACGGTGAGCGAGCAGCTTAAAACGGTGTCAAAAGCGGTCGTTTCTGGTCTCCCATTCACCGTGTCATCCTTAATAACTACTAGGTAAAGTTAGTTAAATAAAATAGGCCTCCTTTACAATATATAGATCTTTTATTTTCCCTAACGATCTCGAGGGCTAAAAGAATTTATTTAATGCCCAAGTATCTTTTGTATGGGAAAGTCATATAAAAGGTAACTACCTACTTTTTAGATCTGACGTTTCGTGGGAATGTGACGTCTACTGGGGCGCCCAACACACCTACCAGGTATTGGGCGCTTGGTACGGGTATGATCTATATTCTGCGGCTAAAACAATTGCGTGTAAGGAAATATCCGAAAAGACATCTCAAAAGACTACCCCAAAGACCCAACCAGGCCGCATAAGCGACCAGTTATTCTTGTAAGTAGACAGTATTCCTTGCAAACTCATATCGATGGCCAAGATTAACTGCTACATTGAAGCTTGAAAGTAGATTTGAATGATGAAAAAATATGCTGTAACTAATGAAGCTATGCAAATGTATAACAACCCAATGCAATCAAACAAACCCCATCCCGAACCAATCCTATATGTACATCACAAAACCTAGATACTATAAAATCAAAATTACCGACCAATCTTACGAATCTCGATCGGTCGTAAGATGCAATATACAACAGCAGCGAAGGCAAAGCCCAACTCAAAGCCAATGTCACCACCACCAGTTTCTGGGTCACCAGCATACTTGGCAATAGGACCTGTCCACCACGATTGACTCATGCCCACAACAACACCGACAATACCACAGGCAAAGGCAATAGACGCGGCGATTCCCATGGGCAGCTTGTCGGGATTGTCGTAGTCTTCCGGGCGATAGCCATCGAATCCACGCCGGAAAACGAAGTGATCAACGAGCGCAATGCCGGAGTAAATGGCCAACCAGTAGGCGATAAGGCTCATGAAGTTCTCGAGAACAGCCTCGAAGTTTGAGTAACCCGGGATACCGATGGCGAGGGAGACACACGAAGCGAGGAATGTCCAGATAAATCGCGGCACGCGCTGAGTAGCCCGACCCAACACCTGCAAGGTCAGGCCGACGGAGTAGATGTTGGGGCAGTTGTTAGCGATAATGGACAGGGCCAGGATGACGAGGCAGAATTTTCCGAATCCACCGAGAGGCTCCAGCACGGCTGAAATCAAGCCGCCGTTAACGGAGGCTCGGTAGCCCTCGGCGTACTTGTTGTTATATCCATCGCCTATCTCAGTCGCGGACATGATGGCGATACCGAGGAATTGGGTGAAAAGAAGGGGGACAATCAGACCAATCCAGGCAGACAAGAAGACCAGGCGACGACTCTGGGTCTTTGGCTGGTAAACAGTGTAGTCGGCAGCATAACTCGTCCAGCCAGTGGCGAAACCATAGACAGTGGATCCGAAGGATAGACAGGCACCCATTTCAGAAATTCCGACTCCCATTGGGATGTTGACGAAATCGCCAGAGTGGGCGAATGTGCCGAGCACAATGATAAACACGATGCAGGTGGGGATCCAGCTCCAGTACTCGTACATGTGAACAAATTTATATCCACAAAAGGTGACCAAAAGCGTGCAGAATGTGATGATGAGGATACCAGCCCATCCGGGGACGTCGTCGTTTACCGCGTTGAGAAGCTGGGCACCGACGATGGCGTTGGCAGCAGACCAACCTATACAAGCAATAATGTTAAGGATGGCAACTAGAAAATATTTAATTAGCACCATTCCCCACAACCGAATGAGCATCCCGAGCCAACTTACTGAATTTCACAGCCCACCATCCAAACCAGAATCGCGAGAGCACCATCTGGCGGAGCCCAAAGTGAGGACCAAAGCACGAGAAGAAGCACACGGTCATCACACCGAGGAGGTTGAAAAAGAGACAGACCAAAATGGCATCAATGAAGCCCAACCCGAATGCAGACTTTCCAAGAACGCCAATGGCGAAGGAGCTCACGACCATGTTTGCGGCCAACCACTAGGTTTGGTCAGTGGATAAGTCCTCTAGGCCATGGCGATCACGCCAGGTAATTGCAGGAACGCACCATGCTACCAATATTGAGGAAGGACGTATCGTTCCGCTCAGAATCCGGCACTCGTTCGACACCTCGCTGCTCGATGTTGAGTTTACCGGCTATGCGCTGGATCTTGGCGTACATCGAGTCGCCATATTCGAAGCTCTCTCCAGGCACGGCGCCATCGCTGGAGTTGTCGAATAGATCATTGCTATTTGAGTCGGCGGAATTGTTCACCTGGGGAGCTTTTTCCAGGTCCTCATTTGAGCTGCGGAACGCTTGGGCGAACTTGGGGAGCATCTTTTTCCGGTCGAATCCTCACCAATGAAGGTGAAGAATGAAATAGAGACGAGAATATAAATGGGATTAATCGAAGAGCTGGGTAGGCTCAGCCAGACCCAGGGAGATCAGGATGAAGGGATGGAATTGTACAAAGACGCTGTCACATCATTCTCTCTTCAGGTTTTTGCTCCACAGAATGGGAGGAGCTGTTAATATAGTGTCGCGAGAATTCTTTGCGCGTCTCCACCGCGATCTCGCACTGTGGCAAAGATAGCCCTGTCGCGTGGCCCCCTTCCAGAACACGAGACAAATAACAAGCCTTGGGGTCCCATAAATGGATCTGTTGAGCCAATGATAACATTCCCGATAGCCCTAGCTTATCAGGACGCCGAGGATTCTGCACTCGCTTCCTTCTCGGAGTGAAACTTGGATTTCATTGGATGACAAAGTTGTGTAGCGGGTCGGAGAGTGGATATATCTCGGGACTCAGATAAGAGAAAATCCGGCTTCCGATATCTTTTGATAATGACATGAATCTTCACTTAAGTACTAAACTTTGATCCTTGTACCAATCATGTCTTCAGATATGTACATGCCAAGTACTCTTATCATTTTGATCAGGGTTCGCCTACGGAGTGACTAAACCTTGTGTTCGCTCGCATATTACCCCTGATTGGCAGTCTCCAAGATCCATGTCTCTCAATAACCAAGCTTCACCCTTGTCAGACGGGAGACGCCGACGTGCGTGAATCTTCTGCAATGCTTCTATCTCCCCAGGTTTGTGCGGGGAATATCCACGCTGGGATCTACGGAACCCCGGATGTTTTCGGGTTGACCCCAATATATTCTCCAACATGCGTGGCTTTAACTGCTCGATCAGAAACGGAGCAAGGAACCGCACATAGCCTATGATAGTGATCTTGGCAGGTCGAGCCGGTCGGATATACACATGTCTATCCAAGCATGTGTCGAAGCCACATGGCATGTTTGTCATATCTTTGGCTTTTGGTTATTCTTATCTCTACTGAACACTATAACCAGCTACAAAAAACGCTGCGGAGATTGCCTTTCTGGACTTCATTGGTGCGCGGACGAAATCTTTTGACAGTTCCGATTATGTAAACTTCAATGTTTCTCCGATCTATGCTTAGTTCTGTTTAGCGCGCTCCCGCAAACCAAAAGCTTCTAATTGACCTTGAGGCTGGAATGTCCTATGCGATATCATATCTCGAGGTCAATCGAAGGGAGTGGTGTTGCTATTCTCGTCCTTGTTGGCTTCAATACTTGCTTTTTCTCCTGCCCATTCAAACTTGCCACAATGGATATATAGGGGCTGTCAGAAAATACCCTTAAGGCATATCTGTGCTCTAAGCCGATACCTCAGTTTTCCACGATCCATCTCGTATCCCTCTTATCTCCCTCATATCTATCATCCCTGTATGTGAGCAGCTCAGCTCAGCTCACAATAACTGCTATCTATGGGGGTTGAAGCTAGGCTTCTCAGACTTATTCAGTCAACATTATTGCACCGTCGGCGCAATGGCGCTTTGCCAAATTTTTATATTGGCTTTCTGAGCATACAATAATTAAAATCTCTATATCAGACAGTCTCTGTGATATACAATTCTTCTGATCTCTTCGATCCCCTTAAATCGTACATCATGGCTAACTAATTTAAACCTTGAAAACCACCACCTTTACCTTTTGGCCTGAACACAACCTGCAATGATTGTGTTTGTTGTTATTTCTTCTCCCCTCGATACATCACTGATACATTCAACAAATTACATAGTAACACACATTTACCCCTGGCAGCTCCTGCTCACAGAGCCTCTCGTCACTGCATACCACCCATGTGGCTTGATTGGTGCCCACCGCCTCAACGCTTGCTAAGCTATGGCCATGACAACAAATCGTCAGCTCCAACTTCAAGGGATCTTGCCACATTCGAGATGAGGCGATCAACGAAAATGCCGACTTCATCATTGCTAGTGCTAGTCGTCCGCTTGCTATCCTCCAACCCACCTTCCCGTTTGCCCATCCGGTTACTTTAACGCCCAACACCAGCTTGCTCGACAACTGTACCCAAGACAAAACTGTACTGGAGACGCATGGGGAAAGCTCTGAATGGCTAACTTGATATTGGAAAAGAACATCTCTAGCAAAATCCAACAACGAAGCATCATATCATTATCATTACGATCTATAAATACTGTTTTTTTACGAACAGGGTCTGGATTTGGAAGAGCAAGCATTTGAAGTATAAGCTAAGATTGAAGCCTATTGAGCCTCAGGGCTGATATCTTGGGCTTCTATCTCAGAAATCTTTTTTGTCGCTATCGCCGCCGCTCGTTTAATCACGTTACCATGGCGAACCCTAATGTCCTAGTCGGTCACACTGGGAAGGCTCTGCTGATGTTTCTGCGGCGCTTGCCTAGGTGCATGTTCAGTCATGTTGCCATTGCGAACCCTAGATCTAGTACTCGTGAAGAAAAGGTTATAGTTGTACTGCTATATCTTTACTTTCTTGTTGGCTTATTAATGTACTTGACCTTAGAGCTATAATAAAGCAGATGATCTCTGACTAGGTCTATAATGTAAACAACACCATAATTGTACCCAGACAGTATACAATTGGCGGAGGTAAAGTATGGAGCTCGAGGGTAAGAGCGATCAAGCTCGACTATATATTTCATTCACGCGTCACTTCGACTTCCGCCTCATGATCTCAAGGAACTCCAGAGCTTTTGTTATGTTTTCTTTTTCTTTGACATCACATATTCATGCGCTGGCATGATCGGTATCTATCTTTGCTGATCATTCACATACGTTTTTATTATTTCATTGGTGATTCGAACTGTTGGGTGCACATCCAGCAATCCGAAGAAAATGAGTCCCGACCACCAACAGACAGGCTCAGGCACCATGCGTCGCCAGTTATTCTCGCTATCATCGGTCTTCCGCTCCCAAGCAAACAAGAGAGCTAGGTAATGACAAACAAAGAATGCCAAAAGATGAAAGAGATACCCTGCTAATTAAGACAGCAGCATGACTGTTGCAGTACAGGAACAGCCAACTTGCCAAGAAAGAATTCATTACCCTGTGTTTAATCCCCTAGATCCTCGTCACAACCCAGACATATCGACCTTGTCGTGGCATCCCCAAGGGCAATGCAGTTCGTCTTCTGGGCCGCGTAGTCCAATGGCATGGGTCCAATCTGTCTCCAGACGATCTCTCCACAAAGCTCGATCAGGTCTGTTGGCACTGAGGTCGGGTCTCATGCACCGCTCAAGTGAAGAAGAAACCCTCGATAAAAGTTTTGTTAGCCCCGTTGCTCTCAAGCGCGAAAGACAACAACACCGTGGAGTTTCATCCGAGGCCCACACTACGGAAACACAAGAGGACCTGAAATTTGGCACCGAACTATCTCGCATGGATCCTACACCTTCCTCCTCATCCGTCAATTCTGATGTGCACCCTCTTATGCGTGCGCCGTCTATCCATTCGATCCATCGTTCACCTGCAACACTTCCCGCATCTGAATCCACACCCGAACTCTCTGAAATTTCCGACCGAGCTGTAAGTAATTCTAGGGTAAACATGACTCTAGCCAGCGACCATGATCTTGACTTGCAATTTGCTGGAGCCGGAGACTTGGGGGCAAATATGAATTCAGAGGATCACTTTACTCATACCACACCATCGACAGAGAACCTTTTAATAGAGCAGACATGGGGTGTTGCAATCTCTACCGACGAAGAGATCAAAATGTCTGCCTCCGGCCTGGCAGATTCTCGGCCATCTTGGGGAGAACATCAAGCAACAAATCTACAGCAACAAAACATCAGTCATGCAAGTTCGGATACAGAAATCAATGATAATCAATCAAGTTCAGTTCCCATCTCGAGACAGTGCTCCGCCGAAGTTCGATTTGCATTTCCAGGAATCTATCAAGAGGCACTGGACCAGTGGGCGAGGCAACATGGTAGTCCCAGCCCTAGCCAGCACATTATCGACACCGGTCATCACAGTCCCAATCTCAGTCAACAAACTCTCAACCTCAGCCAACACAATTCTAGCCCCAGTCAACACAGCCCCAAGCTTGAGGAGGAAGAAGGGATCCGGTGTGCTTCTCAAGAGCCACTCGAATGCATTGTGCACCAGGATGATACATACAGCAACATGTCTGCATATCATGAATACGATGAAAGCCTCATACCTCTGGTGCCCCCACAAACCCCAATCGCTCATTCTGAAGAGACACAGTCATTTTCTTATCCAAATCCCCTCAATTTCATCTCCAACCGGAATTTCGGCCAAAGACGGTCGTCTATCTCCGAAAGAGCAACCACACAATGGTCAAGCGTTGAAGATTATTCAGGCCGTTACACACCCGACAATACCACATCGCGAGATATTACATCAACGGAAATGACCTCAATGGAATCAATGTCGAACGATACATGGTCTCCAATCGACTCTGAGGTCCTGTTCCCAAGCCCGGTGGAGGATGGAAATGGGTATTTCCTTTTTGATGGCAAAACGAACAGCCAGTATCCGGACAGAGGGAATGAGCCGGCCAAATCAGCACATAATACCACCAGCAACTCTGGTAATACCAGAGGATCTCAGGAACTAACTGGGGGGTCTCTCCAGGGAGCCTGTCCCTACGGCTCATACCCAATGGCATTCCCGGTGCAGGATTGGATTTTGTGGAAAAGGATACAGACGACGAGTTTTACCCTGGGATTGTGCAACCAAGACAGGCTTGGTGAAATTCTTCGTTAATATCTTTTTTATAGGAATGGCCTAACCAATAGGGCCTTATTCCCTTTGGCTACACTGTATTATTACCTACACTTAGCAGTTTCAGCATTGGGGTTTAACCACAATGGTGCTTTCTTCCTTTTAACATTCTATGTAGGGACCTTTTCTGCAGTCTTTCTGCTAACATTTTGATGTATAGTCAAATCCAGGTTGGAGGTTATCCCAGTGTAGTCACAGAGGAAGACCGGGTTCAACGGTATACGAAGCATTCCATCTATAAGTCTAACTATGTGGTTATATGTAGGTTCATAGAGGTTCAATTTTCCACCACTTTAGCAAATCAATTTACCAATAAAAGAAAAAAGAGAGATGGAGGTTATGCGCATGATGTGACCTCCTATTGAAAGCAAAGTAAAATCGTTCTGTCATTCATAATAACATTTATACTTCATGGTATCACATATTTGAAGCTACATATATCACTGGATAATTGATCTGGCTACATGACCACTCCTAGTAAAGTCCACAGACACTAAAACTCAAGCCATACCCAGGACAACCTGTTCCTGTCTCTCCTGCCAGACATTCTTACCCGAGCAGGAGCAAACCATCTTATCATTATCCCACACACCCGCACTGCGCGCAATAACACCAACAAGGGTATTCTCATCCTCACGCTTGAACGGACCCTCCGTCCCCTTTGAAACAACCATACTCCGACCAATAAGCTCCCAGATCGCCACAGGCCGGTCCATGAACACACTGCCTCGGCCTTTATTGTCGACATCCACGGTACCAAGAATGCCCCGGGTCTCCTTGGCTGGAGCGGCAGCAGCATCAGCACCAAGCACCTTGCTCTTCACGGCCTCCCAAATACCGCCGGTAGACTCAGCGCCCCGGGAGATATCCCCCGCTTCTCGAATAGTTGTCCAGTATTTTCCTGGCGATAGGCCGTTGATTGTCAGGTCGATGAGGGTCATGTTCGGGGAGACCTGGACCATGCGCACGAGGCCGCGGATATTGTTTGAGACGCTCTTTGAGTGTGTTTCGAGGATGCAGACGGCGGAACCTGTATTGTGTATATCAGTCGGCATTGCTCACCTGTGTCGCATGGGATGGCAATTATGTAGGGACCGGGGATTCCGTACTGTCTGTGGTGCCACTGCCGCGGAGGATGGCATCGCGGCCGGTGTTTTCGATTGCGGTTACGATAGAGCTGGGAGGAGCAGTGCCTTCGACGAAAACTAGCTGGTCTTTGAGGTTTGCTTCGACCTTATTGATTCCTGTCGCGGGGTCAGCTTAGATGAAGGTATGTTTGGGGGTGTGACGACTACCTTCCAGACTATGTAGAGAGGTGGAGATAGACTTCACGCAGCCGTCGCAGGTCATTGGGACCGAGAAGGTCGTCTATATATGAGAATCGCATTAGTATCGGGTGTTTGTGAGTCATGACGCTCAAATAGACTGACCTGGAATGGTTCGATCATGGCGGGGAAGAGACAGTAGATCCGAATTCGGTGGCAAGTATAGTATGTGCACTGAAAGAGAAGAATATAAAGAGAAAGAGAGAAAGATAATATCTCAGAAGAGAAAAAGTCAGAGAAAAGATTAGACCAAAGGCCAGAACAAAGTAAATGTGCTATATAAATTCAGGCGGGGCGTTGGATTTCAAATCGAAGGAACTCGGCTTCTGGCGAAACGTCATTCCCGAACTTCTCTTTTAACATTCCCCCACGAAAATGTCATCCAGATGGGCAACGGACGACCCAGAAACAGAAGCAATTATCGCGCAACAAAAACGCGAGAAGGAACAAAAAAGACGCGCTAAAGCAGAGAAACAACGACTCGAAGATGCCAACAAAGCTCAAGCTCGGGATGCCACCAATGTCGAGCTAGGCCCCCCGAAAAAACGACGAAGACTCTCCAACGACCCTGATGCCCGTCCAAATGACGCCGAAGTGGCGAAAATCGAGAAGGAGCAGAAAAACCAGTCGACCCTACTGCGCTTTCCGGTTGGAGAATGGGGCCCTTGCAGACATGTGGATAACTTCGAAAGATTGAACCACATTGAAGAGGGCTCATATGGATGGGTTTCACGCGCAAAGGACATTTCGACGGGAGAAATTGTCGCGCTGAAGAAGCTTAAGCTGGAGAACTCGCCGGACGGGTTCCCAGTCACTGGGCTTCGGGAAATCCAAACACTTCTGGAGGCGCGGCATCAAAATATCGTTTACCTGCGGGAGGTAGTAATGGGCAATAAAATGGATGAGTGAGTTACCCGCATCTGCATTCCTTACATATGCTAATCAATTGGCTCCGACAGTGTGTATCTAGTGATGGATTTCCACGAACATGACCTCAAAGCCCTACTCGACGAGATGCGCGAGCCCTTCCTTCCTTCGGAGATCAAGACCGTCTTGCTGCAGGTGATTGGAGGACTCGAGTTCCTACATTCACAGTGGATCATGCACCGCGACCTCAAGACCTCCAACTTATTAATGAACAACCGTGGCGAACTTAAAATTGCCGACTTTGGCATGGCCCGTTACTTCGGCGACCCACCTCCCAAGCTGACACAGCTCGTTGTGACACTCTGGTACCGTGCGCCGGAGCTACTCCTCGGCGCCGATAAATACGGCACGGAGATTGACATGTGGAGCATTGGCTGCATCTTCGGCGAGCTTCTCACCAAAGAGCCTCTCTTACAAGGCAAAAATGAAGTTGACCAGGTGTCCAAGATCTTTGCCTTGACCGGGCCACCGAACTCTGAAAACTGGCCTGGGTTCCGTTCATTGCCCAACGCCAAGTCTTTGCGGCTCCCGTCGACATCGGCACCTTCGGCCGGTAAGCCTCTGCTGCCTCGCACCCGGTTCCCTTACCTGACCAATGCGGGCTTGAGTCTCATGTCAGGATTGCTAGCGCTGAATCCGGCCTCCCGTCCTACTGCAAAACAATGCCTCGATCACCAATATTTCAAGGAAGATCCCCGCCCCAAACCGCGACAGATGTTCCCTACGTTTCCATCCAAGGCCGGCATGGAGAAACGGAGGCGTCACCACACGCCTGAGGCTCCTAAACGAGGCCAGGAAGCACCCGAGCTGGACTTTGCGGGTGTCTTTGGAGGTGCTCCGGGTGGAGATACCGGTGAAGCAGGGGCTGGATTTACTCTTCGGTTGGGATAAGTGCTTTCACATATGAGAGTAAATAATAGCAAATCTTGTTTTATTGTTTCTATACAATATCTACCTCGGAGATTTGTTCCGTGCCCTTCAGCTCTGGTAGAAATCATCGATTTGAGAAAAAAATATCTAGAATATAATAAAGTAGAGTGATATAGAATAAGATAGAACAAAAAAACCTAGCGTGGGGCCAATGGGCTATAGATGTGGATATAATCAAGGAGTTCCGGACAGGTAGATCGGCCCCAACTCTGATCGGCCCCCCAAGCTTCTTTTCTTCTTCAACCTCACCACATATTCTCTATTCTGACTTTTTTCCTTTTCTTTTCTTAATTGTCTAATCTGTATTCTTTCTGTCATGGCTCCCAAACAACCAGTGTCGTTCGACGAAATCATCCAGGCTGGTAATCACTCCAACCCCCAGCGCTGACACGCAAAATCTAACTGTTTTTCCTTCGCAGATCGTCAAAAGAAGAAGCAAGAGGAGCTTGCAAACCAACTCCTTGGAAAGAACCGCAGATCAAGCGCACCAGGGTCGGGCTCTGGCACCGGCAAGAAAGCGCAGAACAAATCACAGACTGCAAAGCCCGGAAGCTTAGCAAGCAGGATCGGAGTATCGAAGGTATGAACAATCCCACCATGCGACCATGGATGCGACCATCATTGAGGGACAATCTTTGACAATCTCTTGCGTCAACATTTAGCGCTCCGCGTCAGCGACCGTGCAACCCAACAAGAACAAGCCAGCACCCACCACAAGCAACAATCGGACACGCGGCAAACCTGGCAAGAAAGATCGCGTGAATGTGGATCAGGTCCGGACAGCTTTCCAACCCGAGAATGGCCCAGGGAATGCACGACCAGGCAAATTTGCGCAGAACAGCCGTCCATCCGGTGGCATGAACATGACCATTAAGGGTGCCTCGGGCCCATTCATTGTCGTCGGAAGGAACTTTGCGCCTGGGACAACAGCTGCCGACATCCAGTCTGCTCTTGAGCCCATAACAGGACCTATGATCAGCTGCCAGATAGTAGCAAGCCAGCCAAGTGTTGTTGCGGAATTTGCATATGCGGAGAAGGCAGCTGCAGAGCTAGTGGTTGCCAATTTCCACAACCAGAGGGTAAATACTGTTCCTGTTCAATGAGACTACAAAATGGATACTGATACATGCTTTCTAGGCCGATGGGAGATTGCTTACGATGACCCTTAAATCGACCAAGGCCACAACCCACCAAGATCCCTTCACTGCACTCCGAGCACAAGCTGATCAGGAACGACTCCGAGCCCGTCGTGTCCCAGCCCCTCTGAACGACCTGCTAGCCGAGAGCCAGGGAAACTCGCAGACTGGTCTCTACAGCGATGAGATGATGGTCGATGCGCCGCCGCGGAATACCCAGAAGAGTCAGAACCAACGGAAATGGCGTCGTTGAGTACCCAAATTCGAGCATGATAACTTGAGGACTGCGCAGAATGGTCGTAAAGATCACGCTTCCTCTTGTACTCTCATGAGATGTATGATATGGTTACAGCAGTTTATGGACATTTTTTTAGCATTCGGAGCACACTTCTTGCAACAGATAGCGGCGAACAGGACAGATCGGGCAGAATATTAATGTTTTATAAAGGACTTTTCTTCGGCATACAGATCAATCCGTATCCATGCTACGGTATTACCTGTCGCTCCATCACTAGTTTCTCATCTACACCTGCGGTGAAATAAAAGATGTGGAACTATAGGCAGAAACACAAGCCTATGGCATTTAGCCCTCGCAATAACATGGGAAACAGTGAGTAATCTTCAACAATCCCCTAAAGCAATACTCGTCCTAATCAAATTCAGAAATTCCAGATACAGGATGTCTGCCGAGTCACCTCCCTCCAAGCCTCACAAGGACTTGACGCAACTGAAGTTCAACCAAAAGAAACACAAAAAGAAACATAATAATATATAAGCAGGAACCAATCTCCAGCTACACATTACCAAACTTCCCTAAAAAGAATGATTTGATCATATAGGATGAGCGCCCTGGAGGGATGTGGGTGCTGGTGTCGCCCATGCTGGATTGCAAGGGGGTACATTCCCCAAAATTTCGGCCAGATTATTTCCAACGTGCATCCTGCCAGTGTTATCGGGCATAGTCAGACAATATAGCATATGGTGAATCCAGATACCAGACAGCCGAAAACCCGTCGGGGCAGTATTGGGAGGTTCACGACGTATACCGACAAGAACGTCAGTCCATCGAGGGAGCATGGGCTGGCCATTGACGAGGATATTGGCTTGTACTACCACATTATCCACCTGGATACAACCACCCACTGTCCCCGCTGTTACTGCACCATAGGAAGGCAGGGGGGCGCCACTCAGTTTTTCAAGATCAATTCTGTCCATTTGGTAAAACATCATTGTCACGGCTCCAGTATCCTCCAAAAAAGAGAGGTGCATAGTTTGTTTCCATGTGTTTGTGCTCCTAGTATTAGGATTCCGGAGCGATATCACAATCTGTTCTATGTTAGCATTCTCGAGTTTCTCAAAATTGTATTAGGCAACTAGTACATCATGCATGTGGAAACGCGTGTTAGTTTGGCGCATGCTGTAGAACAGGCATAACGGCTCCGGCTTGTAGTCGTTCAGCTGCAAGTCAACGTTAGAGATGGATACACCTATACTTCCATGTTGGACTAGTTTGATATAACAAGAAGCATATGAATGGGGAATGAGACTCAGATATTTATGGTATTCTAACTCACTCCTTCCACCCAAATGCCATGTGGGCCAAGCTCACTACTTAGAGTGTAGAATTCCTCCATATCCATTTTCTTAGGACCGGCAACCATTTTCCCGTGTGCCCAGTAAGTGACTGTATCTTTACCCCAGACAAGGTCCCCAGACCGGTAGGCATCCATGATGGCCATCAAGTTCGGAGTATTGCCATTGTCGTTTCCTAGCTCGTCGAAGCTTTTTTTGACTCCCTTCAGACAATCAAGGCGTTGAACAACTTCCCAGCTAAGACCCTCAGGCTCAGAGTTGATCATATCTCTATAAAGGAGCGGGTTAGATATTGGCATGACAAAGGCCCAGTATAGCATGCAAGATTTTCTTACGTCTGTTGCTGCTTCATCTTTTGATATATCTTCAATCTGCCCTCAAAAATGGCAGGCATGATATTCTCATCAATACGCCTGTGGCATCTTTCAATTTGGCCGAGGATATCACTACCACGAAAGTATTAGCAATGGAAGATTCAATATATAGAGAAAAAACGGCACGGGTCTTACTGCTGGGCGAGATCTGTCTCGCTTGAAGACCATCCTTCAGGCAGCTTGGCAGGATCGGTTATAGGCTCGTCGCGGTGTCCCCATGCTTTCGGCGGCTCAAAATTTTGAGATGGTAAACGAGGAAGGTGTAGCTCATCTCCATGCTCAAGGAGCTCGTTTGCAAGTATAACATGAGGCAAACTTGTGTCTTGGTTCTTCTGCTGGGTTACTGATGAAGAGAAGACTGGAAAAAGCCGTGGGCTGGTATCAGCTAAGGCGAGATACAGGAAAGTGAAGGAAAAGAATCAATGTTTGAAAAGCAGACAGATTTAATAGACTTGGGGATCAAACTTCAACTGTTGTAAAACAAAGGAAACCGCAAAGAAAGACAAACTAGGTAGCCATGGTCTCGATATATCAGCGCTAGACAGACAAACTCTTGGACTTCATAACGACGGCAAAGTGAGTTGACATCTAAGCAAGGGTGGCAAGACAAAGAAATGCTTTGATCTGAGCGTAGCGTGGGCAGGACATCAAGGAAGAAATTGTGAAGCTCTTCAAATACAAAGAAAAGACTGGGCTAAAGATAGTAACCAATGACTTTCTTGGGGTGTACTCGGTAGTGAAGTCAGAAATAGTGGAACAACTTGTCTTTCTTCTTTGATTGACTCGATGCTGAAATATACTGCGTGTCTTGTTCACACTTAGACTTATCCGACTGTCTTCATTGAACCGTGGCCCCTTTTTTATCCATCCGCCCTAAATTCCATTTAACCGCCACTTATACAAAGAAAATCCGCACTAAAATCCGGTGATATATGCAGCCATCAATATTTCGAGACCATCCAATGAGGTTGTAAGCTAACTTCAGCCTAGCAAAATATGATGGTAGTGATTTGATAGAAGGATATTAAGTTGACGGCGATCTGAGTGAAGTATGGTCAACAAAGCAATCGAGGGAAATAGGTTCTTTCAAATTGAAGATACAAGGCAGCTACAGCTCTACACGTGCGCAGATTATACACATATTCTCCGACGAGGGAATGTTGGCTATTAGACTGACCTCGACATGTAATAACCATCCCATACATATTGATGTTATAGGTCTTTAGGGCTTTGGATTGCCGAACCATACCATCTTGGGACTAGCGGCCGATAACAGTTCGATAAGTATATAATCACGTGCAGTGAAGCTTCCGCGGAGAGATTGAGAGAGAACATCCCGACTTGGAGCGGCGCAATCTAACGAGCGTTTGGGCCCCGACGTTTTGTTTACCTGCTGCAAATAGTTTCGCTATTGCATATCCGATTATATGAATCATTACCGCCACTCAAACACAAGTCAAGAATGAACCAAGCCACAAGGCGCGTAGCGTCGCATATCCTCCGCAGACCTCGCAACACGGTACTTCCAAGATGCTCAGGAAGATGGAACTCCACATTTGAACAGAGAGAATGGTCCACTCCGCTAGCAAAAACATTGGCCAGTGTCATGAAGGTACCTATGCATTTCGTATCACCTCTCACTACACTTTTGCTGATCATTAAAATTAGGTCACCGGTCCCGTACCAATCGCAGCGTTCATGCGCCAGGTTTTGACTTCCCCAGATGGCGGATATTATACAACTCGAGGGGAGAACGGAGGTGTATTCGGCAAAAATGGTGATTTCGTCACATCACCCGAGATCTCCCAAGTCTTTGGAGAGTTGATCGGTATATGGACGATCGCAGAGTGGATGGCACAGGGGCGGACGAGGAGTGGTGTACAGCTGATGGAGGTTGGTCCAGGAAAAGGAACTCTGATGGATGATATGCTGCGGGTGAGTGGTAGCATTTATTTTTATCTTCCTTTTATGAAAAGAAAGGACAAGAAGCGCATTGGACTGACCATGATCTCTATAACCAACAGACTTTCCGAAACTTCAAGTCCTTTTCTTCGAGTGTTGAGGCTATTTATCTCGTGGAAGCTAGCGGGACTCTCCGAGAAGTGCAGAAGCGGTTGCTGTGCGGCGAGGAGGCTGTGATGGAGGAGACAGATATCGGACACCGGAGTATGTGCAAGTACTTTGATGTACCCGTCATCTGGGTTGAGGATATTCGTCTCCTGCCACATGGTGAGTAATGATTTTAAGTCAGTTGCCCGTTTTTCTGATGCTGACCAAAGACATCGGTGATACAGAGGAAGGCAAGACACCCTTCATCTTCGCACATGAATTCTTCGATGCGCTTCCAATCCATGCATTCGAATCTGTTCCGCCATCTCCGGAGAACGAGCAGGCCAACGAGCCACGAAAGATCATGACTCCCACCGGCCCAGTAGAACTCCATAATCCACCTAAACACGCGAACACCCCGCAATGGCGTGAGTTAATGGTGACATTAAATCCAAAAGCCGTCGAAGAGAACATCAAAGGAGAGCCCGAGTTCCAATTGACCAAAGCCAAAGCTTCCACGCCATCATCGCTAGTGATCCCAGAGATCTCTGAGCGTTACCGAGCACTCAAATCGCGGCCAGGCTCGACCATTGAGATCAGCCCTGAGAGCCGGATCTATGCTGCGGACTTTGCTCGTCGTATCGGAGGTGATTCTGCTTCTTCGCTTGCTGGTAAAAAGACCTCTGCTTCTAGCCCACCCCCGTCACAGAAAAAGACACCATCTGGCGCGGCCCTGATCATGGACTACGGGACATTGTCAACCATCCCCATCAACTCGCTGCGCGGAATCAAAAACCACGAGAAAGTGGCAGCACTCTCAGAACCAGGGCGAGTAGATGTCAGCGCGGATGTGGATTTCACTTCGCTTGCCGAAGCGGCCATCGAAGGCAGTGATGGCGTCGAGGTCCACGGTCCTGTTGAGCAGGGTGACTTCCTCGGGGCTATGGGAATTGAGGAGCGCATGCGGCAGCTACTCCGTAAGGTGAAAGACGAAGAGCACAGAAAGACACTAGAGACCGGCTGGAAGCGATTAGTCGAGAAGAGCGGCGGGTCAATGGGACAGATCTACAAGGTCATGGCCATTGTACCTGAAAATGGAGGACAGAGGCGACCTGTTGGATTTGGAGGCGGCATTCAAATGTAGACCCGCAAGTATATTCATCTTGTGTTTCGATAGACTCGGAGCGTAGACTGCTCATTCATGTACAATAATTTCACCTTCCATCAAATAGAATATAGAATAACATAGACTCGCCCAACGTACAGAAACAATCAAATAAAGCCCATCAACCCCAACCACCGAGAATTTCGAAAAAAAAAAAAAGTAAATGGCGACTATCAATGCATCCAAGTGGTATATCTCCTATCAAGTTCGTTAAATCTCATGAAAAAAAGGCTGATGTATAAAGTGACTGAACTCCCATCATCTCAAGGCCCAACTCAATATTCCTCCCAAATATCCGCAACATAAGCCTCGGTTAGCTTAGCATCATTCCCATACTTCTGCTGCCACTCCACAAACCCACCCTCGAGCACAAATACTTGCTGCTTCTGGCTCTCTTCCGCACCAAGCGTGCTCTCACGCTCGCGCGCATAGCGAAGGGCAGCAGAGGGGCCACGTTGCTGACTGAGTGCACAATGGAAGACGACCATTTTCTTGTCTTTGAGAGTGCGAATAAGCTCGGGCACGCGCACGTCCAGGGTTGAGCTGGGGATCCAAGTTGATGAGTGGATATGGCCACCAATATGGTCTGTTTCAACTGTTAGCTAATAGCCCGCAAGTATATGGTGGAAGAATAGGTGCTTACCTGAGTCTCGAACGTCGATAATCGCTAGATTGCTTGGTTCGCCGGTTGAGAGCAGGGCCGCTAGGACATCGCGGCCCATGCGGGGGAGAGTTGCGATTGAGATGGAAGACATTTCTTTTTTGGCGCAATTTTATGAACTATGTATGTCAAGAGGGCTATTAAAATTGGAACGAGAGAGATATTTGTCAGTCCAAGAGATTTGCAGGTGTGATATTCGAGATCTCAAGCAAATGCCCCAAAAGCATGTGGCACGTGACCTACAATTTCCTTTCCAATCGGAGGAAGATGATTTTCCGTTACGGCAACTTTGAGCACCTCCGACGACCCTGCGCGCCCACCTCGACAATTATTTCCCTCACAAGCTCAGGAGACAGTCCAATTCACCCCGTATACCTGCTCCTTGACACAAGCGAGTCCAATCAAAATGGACTTCCGCCTCCTGGCCCGCAGCCTCCGGGCCAGGCCAACACCATGGCTCCAACAGCAGACCCAGCTGCACCGCGTCGCCTTCCTCACCAACGGTGTCCGCTACAATTCCTCTACCTCATCACCAATCCCACCTTTCAAACCCACATCTCCCACCGATCAGCCAAGCACAGCCCCCGAGGCCGCGAAGCAAGCCGAAAAGCCGATCTCTGACCTCGACGAGCCAACCAAAGCTGCCCCCGAGGCCACCCCCCGGGCCGCACAACAAGCCCGCAAGCCGGTGTCCGACTTCGATGACATCCTCAGCAGACTCGACCTCAACAAGCCCCGAGAAGCACCCAGCAGCCAGCGCCGGATCTTCTCAGACTCGCTTTCCCGGGCTGTCGGCGAAGGCGCACAGAGCAGCTACCGGGCACGGTCTCGGGCGCCCCTTCCTACACGCAAGGTTGAACTGAAGCTCGGACCGACGCTTGGCCGTCAGGTTCATGTTGAACCCGAGCGTGGTACTGATCTGGGTGGTGCGCTGCGCAAGCTTCAGGCTACTCTTTCCCAGAATAGTGTTCGACATGATGCTCACAGTCAAAAGTTCCATGTGCGGAAGGGTATGGTGCGCAAGCAGAAGAAGATGGCGCGGTGGAAGAAACTGTTCAAGTTCTCATTCCAGGGAACTGTGAAGAAGATTCAGCGTATGCAGGCGCAGGGTTGGTAGTTTTATATCCGCTCTTTTGCTTTAGGCTTTTCTGCTGCGGCTTGTCTACTCGGCTTGTATGTATATACTGAAGAGGCTGGTGTGGGTGATAGACTGAGTGGGCAGGGTGGCATTGGCCTGAAAATCGGTGTTTTCTTTTGTTACTTGTACAACTATTATCTAGGTACTTGGTTTTTCTGTTGAATTTGGCTCTTGCATTAGATATGGAATGCATCGGATTTGTTTGACTCGGTCACATGGGACATAGCATCATGATATGTCCATGGTAGAGCACCAGCTTTTTTGCTAGTGGTCAATTCTGCCTCTCAAGTTAGGTACACTGTACACGTCGTAGACGTCACTCTATACCCAGGCTATACACGCATTCTCTCGGCTCTACATATCAATCCCTCTTCCCACTTGGGAATCCATATCCACTTCCAATCCCGTTCCCATTAGCATTGGGAGAGCCAGAGTAACCACCGTACCCATTATTCTTTCCCCCATTACCAAAGACAACACCAGGACCCTTTGCTCCACGTACGGGAGTCCCACCCAAAAGCCCATCTCCATGCCAAGTGGTCCGCCCACGCCCACCTTTGCGTTCCCAGAACAATGCAACCAAAGCGCCAACAGAAGCTGCCATAACAAAGAACACCATCTTAGAAAAGAACGACCCAGAGCTCTTCCCAGACCCAGTCGCCAAAGCCAGCCACGACTCCGAAGCAGGCCGCACCGGCCACCCGATACTGGCACCGCCTTCCAGCCACGCAACATGGAAAGAGAAGGTAAGTGGCTCCCCACGCACTACCTTAGTGCCATGTCCAGCAGTCCAAGGCTCGCGCGCCGCCTGAGCAAGTGCAACAGACTCCTCGTCCTCGTCGAGCTTGGCATTCTTACCGGTATTGTCGAACTCAGGAGTCGAGTATGCAATACCGCCAACCACGAAACCGGGCTGTCCAGACTGACCGGCTCTGGTCTTGGCGTTTTGTTCTGCAGCCGCGTCCGAGGCCATGTTGTGCATGACGACGTTCATATCCGTCCAGATGTGCAAATGGCTCAGCTGGAGCGTGCCCTGCAGCGCGATTGTGAGCGGTGTGAAGGGTGGCCCATTGTCGGCTAGTGCAGAGAGGGTGTCTGCTTCTCCCGACTTCTGGTCTGAGTCTTTGTCCGTGTGTACTGCTGCGCCGGCGGATGGTGCTAGCGGCGCTGTTGGCACGCGGCATGTCATTGGTACATCTGAGTGGACGTAGAACTCGAGGAGGTGGTATAGCTCATCGGAGAGGGAGTCGATGGTGCATGTTATTGTTTCGGAGATGCCGTAGTGGAGAGAGAGAGGGCGGGCGGTTTCGTTGCAGGTCACGAAGGGCACGTATTGGAGTTTACCGAGATTGTCGGTGACCTGGACGTTTTCGCAGTTGTTATTAGCTTTGTGGTCTTTTGTGGTCTGCGCTATTGTCTTCGTGTCAGGAGACGGAAGACAGGCTGGTGGCGCTTACATGTTCTCCTTCCCTGCAGTGTAGAACAAGCAATGGTTAGCCGTGCTCTAGGGGTTAATTGTAGAATTACCTCACATTGTCCGGTTCAGACATGACACTGGGATGTCCTCCCTCAGTTTATATCCCGCGCTGTTGTCATTTGTGTTCCCCGCAAGTGCGCTGGTTGGCCACAATGCGCCTGTTAAAGACAGCAGGGCTACTGCTGCAGAAGACGAGCTCAATTGGCGTGTAGGAGACATTGTTGCTTTTTTTTGTTTCAATTGTAAGAGAGTAGCCGCCCCGCGTCGGCAAGTTTCCCAGAATTCGAGGATTGCACAGGAGTTAAGAACGGAGGTCTACCGCGTTGCGGAGTTGCGGACAACAAAGCGGGTTTCCCTTTGCTGCTACTTCCAATCACCTCGGTACTTCCACTTGCATGTCGAAGATCAATCTCTATTCTACTTTGTATTGGCTCGCAGTACGATTACTTGGTAACGAAAATTTTGAGCATAATTCATTTCTTTTCAAACCAAGAGAAAATGTGGAAAGTCGTCGCTCGTCAAAACTGCACATCTCACGGTCCTTCATATAAGACTAAAACGCTCTAAGACAGATTGGCCTTCTGTTTGAAAGCAAGCAGCAAACCACTGGTCGAGCTGTCGTGGTTAGCACCCTCGCCTGCGGTCTCCAGCTCGCTCTGGATGTTCTTAGCAAGGGCCTTGCCCAACTCGACACCCCACTGGTCGAACGAGTTGATGTTCCAAACAGCACCCTCGGTGAAGGTGACGTGCTCATAGTAGGTGATCAGAGCACCCAGGGTGGAGGGGGTGATCTTTTGAGCCAAAATAGAGGTGGTGGGACGGTTTCCCAAGAAAGTCTTGTGAGCAACAAGCTCCTCGGCGGCGCCCTCGGCCTTGACCTGGGCAGGGGTCTTTCCAACCATCAGAGCCTCGGACTGGGCGAGGAAGTTGGCAGCCAGCATGCGCTGGTGCTTGCCACCCTCGACGGGGTTGTGCGACTCAGCCGCCATCAAGAAATCAGCGGGGATGAGCTTGGTTCCTTGGTGCAGAAGCTGGAAGAAGCTGTGCTGGGCGTTGGTGGCAGGCTCACCAAACAGGATGGGTCCAGTGGTGTACTTGACGTATTCACCAGTGCGAGTGATGGCCTTTCCGTTGCTCTCCATGGACAGCTGCTGTAGGTAGGCGGGGAAGCGGTGCAGGTACTGATCGAAGGGGGCAACCAGGTGGGTTTGAGCACCGAAGAAGTCGCTGTACCAGACACTCAGCAAACCGCCAAGAGCGGGGATGTTCTTCTCGAGGGGGGTTTCCCGGAAGTGCTTGTCCATGGCCTGGGCACCAGCCAGGAACTGGTGGAAGTTGTCGTAACCGATGTACAGAGCGACAGACAGGCCAATGGCACTCCATACGGAGTAACGTCCACCCACCCACGACTCGAATCCGAACATGTTCTTGGCATCAATGCCAAACTTGGTGACCTCGGACTCGTTGGTCGACAGGGCCACGAAGTGCTTAGCGATGTGTGAATCTTCCTTGGCAGACTTGAGGAACCAAGACTTGGCGGTGTTGGCGTTGGTACAGGTCTCTGCGGTGGTGAAGGTCTTGGAGGCAATCAAGAAAAGGGTGGTCTCCGGGTCGGAGTCCTTGAGCGCTTCAGCGATGTGGGTTCCGTCAATGTTGGAGACAAAGTGGAGCTTAATGTCGGGGTGGCCGTAAGGCTTGAGGGCCTCGGTGACCATTACAGGGCCGCTAGTTGCATGTCAGCTACAATTCCTGCTTAACCAAGGACAAGAAAGCTTACAGATCAGAACCACCGATACCAATGTTGACGATGGTGTTGATCTTCTTGCCGGTGTAACCCTTCCACTCGCCGCTGCGGACCTGCTCGGAGAACTCCTTCATGTGCTCCAGCACGGAGTTGACCTCCTCAACCACGCTCTTACCATCAACCTGCATGGGCTCATTGGCAACATTACGCAGAGCAGCGTGGTAAACAGCACGATCCTCGGTGAAGTTGATGTGGTCACCACGGAACATGGCATCACGGAGCTCCTCAACGTTGGCCTCCTTGGCGAGCTGGACCAGAAGAGAGACAGTCTCCTGGGTTAGGAAGTTCTTGGAGAAATCGAAGAGAATCTCCGTGTTATCTACTGTGTTGGCGAACTTGTGGCTGAAGTTCTCGAAGCGCTTAGGGTCCTTCTGGAACTGATCCTTGAGGACTAGGTTGCGTCCCAAGGTAGTGTGGTGCTCCTGGAGCTCCTTCCAGGCAGGAAGGTCGCTGGTTTGCGAAAAGCCGGGCATGATGATGATGAGGGGTTCTATGGGCAGTGTGTCAGTGCGGGGCAAGCACGATATGAAGGCAATGAGGAAAGTGAGGTTCAAGATACAGAAAGAAACACACGAAACGTACAGAGGTGAATGTGGTAATAGAAGAGAGTGAAGAAACAAAAAAAGAAAAGCGAATGGCGTCAGTCGCATCCGGCGCGTTGGGGTCCGAGGGGTCGTGGGGCAACATCATCATTGCCGCATTCGGCTTATTTTACTGATTTCAACTATTTCCGCCAATTTACTTGTTTTGATCGTTTTGACTACGATTCTTCTTATTGGAGCCTTTCAATTTATTATTTTCTCCTTTTATTCTCCGAAGGTACCGAAATGTATATACCCGGTCTACCAATTGGGCCATTTGTAATCTTGTAGGCGTTTGTTTTTACTATTCTCGGCCTGGGCCAATTCGATTGAAGAACCTTTTCTCGTATCGCGGGACATTGGAAATTGAACGGCTATAGCCATTTTTAGGTGAAATGATCCTATTCTCAAGGAAACCAATGCATTAAACCGCTTCTCAAGATATTGACTACTGCAAGTCTATGTTGTACATTGTGAGATTCCTTCCAACCCCCCTGGATGCCAAATATATGAGGATTCCTGATGTTATGTTGATTATTTTGAGAGTAAACAGAGCCTTTCGGGTATGGAGCACACAAGTGCACATGTGTATTGTCCTGAGCAAGGTGAGCATTCGCAGTATGGCCTGTGCACGTGCCGCATTTCTAGGTTCGGGGCAATTCACCGCGGATCTCACCGCTCGTGCTTTTTTGGCAATCTTTGAATTGAGCCTTGACCAACCTCACTTTCTCAGTACGACTTGACGCGATGTATAATCCTTACCAAGGTGAGCACTGCTTTCTCCTTGACCTTTGATTGATACTTTGAAGATGCTAACCTATTCATAGCTCCGGGTCTTTATGGCACTGCTCCTGACTATGGTGCCTATGGTGCGCCTCCGGGCATGGGTGAGTTCGCTCCTTTCCGATGGTTTTCATTTTCAATTTAGGCTGACTAGCTTCAGCACCTCCTCCGGGGATGGCAGCCCCAGGTACTGCTGCTCCTCCCGGCATGCAGCAAGCAAATACCCATCCAGGAAGCTTCCCTCCCAACTTCCAGCCGCCTGCGAATATGCCAAACATCAATTTCTCCGCACCGGTGATTCGCTTGGGTACCTCGGGCCCGGCCAAACCTGCAGCTCAAGAGAGTGGCCGGGAACGGGGATCCGATGCTCCTGGGCGCCGCGGTGGTCTGGGGTCAATGGGAATGGATACCCAACGCCATCATGGTCGCGATACCATGATGCAGCTCCAGCCGCCTACTCGCGACGAGATCGTGCGCACGCTTTTTATCGGCGGTATTACAGAAGGCGCGGGTGGTGATGATGGCATTGAGCGTATTCTACGATCTACTGGTATCTTGCGTCGCTGGATTCGCGCCACAGATGCTGATGACAAACCTTGCCGTTTTGGCTTTGCCGAGTATGATGACCCAGAGAGTCTTGAGGTCGCAGTTGAAACCTTGAAGAACGTGGAAGTGCCGGTCAAGAGACAGACACCCCGCGCCGAGGGTGAGGAAGAACAAGAGGTCGAAAAGAGCACGCTTCTGGTGCGTATAAATTGTCTACTCTGCCCTCACATGTCTTCTAACTTGTTTGATAGGTCGTCGTCGATGAAGGTACCCTCACCTACCTAGAGCAATTCGAGTCTAGCCGAGCAGAACAAGACCCCGAGGAACGCCAGGAACGTTTCACTGCTGCCCGTAAAAACCTTGATAATGTATTATCGAGCCTTTTCCACCCCGTAGCCCCCCTTCCAAAGGAGGAGGTGTCAGCCCTTGATCGGGAAGGCGACAGTGAAATGAAGGATGGCGAGCTTGCGAAGGACGGGGAAGTGGTCACCATTCCCATTACAATTGAGGACGAGCTAGCCGATATTCCCCCTGAGATGCGCGCCAATGTGGCCAAGGAGATTGCAGCTTTCCGTGAACGAAGCACCCGCCGCGACATCGAGCGTATGAAACGCGAGGAAGAGATCGAGTCAATGGAGCGTGCACGCAATTCCGGGTCTAGGATCAATCGGCTTGCTTCGCCTCCGGTATCTGCTCCCAGCGGTCCTGCTGCCGGTATTAACGGTATTCCGTTGGGCCCGCGGGATCGCAATGTGTTGAACGCACCTTCTGGCCCGAAGGCGTTCGGTGTGCAGATTCCCAAGGATTACCAGAAGGGAGTTTCTTTTGTGAATGGTGGAGCGCTCAATGGAGTTTCCATCGACCGTGAAGGCGAGGATTCCGATGCCAGCGACGAGGAAATCGAACGCCGCAGACAGGATCGGCTTAAGGCCGAGCAAGAGAAGCAATTCTCAGACCAAGAGCGCCGCTGGCTTAGCCGTGAGCGCAGCCGAACCGCTGCCCTGGAACGAGAGAAGAAGCGCGAGGATGAGGAAGACGGAAAATTGCAAGCTGCGCACGATGAGATGGAGGCACGACTTGCCGCTTGGAACGACGATATCGAGGACAGCCGGAAGGCGGTCGATTACTACGCAGACCGAGGTGCCTGGCTCCGGAACCGTGCAAGCTTCCGTGCTCGTGAGGCCAACATTGACGATGCCGATCGCGCCGCTGAGGATCGCGAACGTGTGCAATCTGCTAAGCAGCAAGAGCACGCTCGCGGTATGGCCGACGACTTCCTCGCCCGCCAGGCAAAGGAGCTCGAGACACGTCCCCAGGAGGCACCGCGCGAACCCCAACGCTTCAAGCTCTCTCTTGGAGCCGCTGCGCAGAAGGCCCAGGCCGCAACCAGCCGCCGCGCAATGGCCGATGTGGAAGGTCTGCTGGAGGACGAGGAAGAGCCCGTTGCTACAACCCGTCGCCCACTTATTCCGATCAAATTCGATTCTGCGGCCGAAGCTGCAGGTCTCACGGACGAGGAACGTGCTCAGGCGGCCCGTCAACTCGCCGCAGAGATTCCGGCCGAGAAAGAGGGCCTGTGGAACTGGGCGGTCAAGTGGGAATTTGTGGACGACGCCGTCATCGCCGACCAGCTTAAGCCATTCGTCGAGAAGAAAATCGTCGAATATCTTGGTGTACAGGAGCAAATGTTGGTCGATGTGGTGGAGGAACATGTGCGGAAGCATGGATCGCCTCAGGAGTTGGTGGAACAGCTGGCCGAAGTGAGTATTTATCCCTTCTTTGTGAGACAAGTAACTGACCACAGTTCCCTACCTGTAGGCATTGGACGAAGAGGCCGAAGTCCTTGTTCGCAAGCTTTGGCGGATGATCATTTTCTGTTCCGAGAGCGAGAAACGAGGCCTGTCCTCTTGACAGGGTTGCATAACCATGACAGGGTGCTATGCCTGATGTCTCTAAGCTTCACTGAAATACAACGCGTACACAAATGTATTCATCTAAAATCGGATGTCCTCCGAGGCTTTTCCAACAGAATCTAATGTAGTCCGCATGTAGATGCAACCTTCCACGTAGCATGGGGTAAATCACGGAACAGCTCCGAATACGCTACCTGCGCTTTCATTGGTGGAATAAAGTAATTTCCCGGCATCTATAATTCTCCACCAATGAGAACGCGTCGACGGCCAATGACAGACGATAGTGGAGGGGCGCGGGATAAACTGGAGATGGCGCGGGGGAAACATATTTTGCTGTATATACGGGGTGGAATCCTTTTCGGTCTTTGAAATCCTTTCTCGATATTTCTCATCTTCTCTACTCTTCCCTGTCTTTGAGCTGCCAAAAAAAGATTGAAATCGAACTCTCGACTCTATACCCCGGATCTATACACCCCGCATTTCTAGATTGACCATCGTGTTTCTCTAGAACTGACTGCCAGCACTATTGGTAGCCATTGACAGAAGTACAACCTACTCCTACCACAAATAACTATTCACAATGGTCAAAATCACTGGCTTCACCACGCGGGACGTGCGGTTCCCGGTACGTCAATCTTGCCTCAGATACCCAATGTACTCAATACTGACAAGCCCTATAGACGTCGCTTGACAAGACCGGCTCAGATGCTATGAACGCCGCAGGTGACTACTCTTCCGCATACTGTATCATCACCACAGACTCGGAATACACTGGACATGGCATGGTACGTGACACTACATTACCTACCCGCAACACTCTAATTAACTCAATCCCCTACAGACCTTCACAATCGGCCGTGGCAATGAGATTGTCTGCGCGGCAATCTCTCTACTTGCCCCAATGGTAGTTGGCAAAGACCTGGATGAGATGACGGCAGACTGGGGCAAGACCTGGCGCTACCTCGTCTCCGACAGCCAGCTGCGCTGGATTGGCCCCGAAAAGGGTGTGATGCATCTCGCCCTCGGCGCTGTCGTCAATGCCATCTGGGATCTGTGGGCCAAGACCCTCGGCAAGCCCGTCTGGCGCATTGTTGCGGACATGACCCCCGAGGAGTTCGTCCGTTGCATTGATTTCCGCTACATCACCGATGCCATCACCCCCGAGGAGGCCATCAGTCTTCTGAAGGAGGTTGAGTCTGGCAAGCAGGAGCGTATTAAGGAGGCCGAGGCTAGCAAGGCCGTCCCTGCTTATACTACCAGTGCCGGATGGTTGGGATACAGCAAGGATAAGCTCAAGTCGTTGTTGAAGCAGAGTGTTGAGCAGGGATATAGACATTTCAAGCTTAAGGTTGGAGCTGATTTGGAAGATGACAAGACTCGCTTGCGTATTGCACGTGAGGCTATCGGATATGACAAGGGTAATATTTTGATGGTTGATGCCAACCAGGTACGTTATTCTCCTCGAGACTGATTCCGGCACACATTCGAGTTAGACTGACACTGGAGGAAATGAATAGGTCTGGTCCGTCCCCGAGGCTATCACCTGGATGCAAGAACTTGCCGAGTTCAAGCCCTGGTTCATCGAAGAGCCCACCTCCCCCGATGACATTCTCGGCCACGCTGCCATCCGCAAGGCCCTCGCCGATACCCCCTACGGACCGGTTGGCGTTGCCACAGGCGAGATGTGCCAGAACCGCGTGATCTTCAAGCAGCTTCTGCAAGCCGGTGCCTTGACTGTCCTTCAGCCCGACGCCTGCCGTGTCGGTGGTGTGAACGAGGTCTTGGCTATTCTCCTTCTGGCCCGCAAGTTCGGCGTCCCTATCGTGCCACACTCCGGTGGTGTCGGTCTGCCAGAGTACACTCAGCACCTGAGCACGATCGATTATGTTGTCGTTACTGGCAAGAAGAGTGTCCTCGAGTATGTGGATCACCTCCACGAGCACTTCGTCCACCCATCCAGCGTTAAGGATGGTTACTATTCTACCCCCTTGGAGCCTGGATACAGTGTTGAGATGAAGGCTGAGAGTATGGATGCTTTCGAGTACCCCGGTCAGGAGGGTAAGAGTTGGTGGAGAACGGAAGAGGCTAAGACCATTATTGATGGGCCCAGAGTTGTATAGATTTGGTGACGGGCTTGGGTGTGCGGCTTGTTTTAGACGATCGTGTGTTTACGCGTATTCATGTTAATAGCTTTCAAAAATTGGTTTACATAGAGTATTCACTCAATCTAGTTTGAGTAGGTGTGGCTACACAGCTGTCTTAGTATGACGGAGTTAATCCTTGAATATGGAGGCCGTGTAAATTCATCAATAGAGATGGATCCCCAGGATCAATTCGAATTTGTTGAGTAGATGTGGGACAACTAGCGCAGTTGACTTTTAATCCCAAAAATATATGGTACATGTTACAGGTCATCATAAGAGCCTGAATGGACTGCCAGTGGCCTGGTCCTAGAAAATACAAGGGAAGCGTCTTGTCCAAGCTGGTACAGACCAGCCTAGATCGAGCGCCATGAACAAAAGTGAATGTTCAAATGCTCATTGCAGGTGAGGGCGTGGAAGCTATGTAGTGTGGTTGGAGGTTGGGTATAATGAGAAGTTGGCATCATTGCCAGATCAGCGCCACTGAATACCAAAAAGCTTCAAGGCGCTAGTCACGTTAGCCTTCTCTGAGGCTTTCTCGAGGACGATACGAGAGTGTCCCTTCACATCCAACGCGAGAAGCTGGTACTCGAAATTGCTCTTATCCAGAGGCTTCATCATGTGCACGACGACTACGCCGGAGTTGAGAGGACCCTCGACCTAGAAACCAGGGTTAGTATATGTATCGTAAAATTGACCGGAAAGGGTATCATACATGGAAATGCATGCGAAGGTGCTCACGACCCAACCGATCCTTTTCGGTTGATGATCTAGTCCTTGTCAGCATTTCGGTTCTATAGCATGGATTATGCAGAACGATAGAACGTACGCAATAGGCTTGTTCCGCGCCCACCGGCTCGAAGTCTGCTCGCCATATGCCTTGATCTCTCTTCGATCGCCGAGTAATTTTATGCACTCGGGGTCATCTTTAATGCGCCCTACCGCAGTTTCAAATTGCCATGTCTTGCTGTTTGGTGACAAAACTTCTTGATAGAAAAGTACACAGACTCCACCCTAACAAGATGATGTAGTCAGCAACTATTTGCTATATCCTCGTGAATGAATGCAGCTCATACCGTCAGTACTGCTCCAACCAAGACGATAACGAAGTTGAAGGATTGTTGTGTTGTCCGCGCAACCTTCTCTCCACGACTCAAATCGCCCCACTTCACTCTACCATCATCGGACAAGACTGTGATGGCTTTTTTCCTTGGCGAAAGGATGTGAGGCCCGCTGCCTGTGTTGTTTTGTGTGGCGTAGAGCCGAGTGATCTGTGTCTGTATGCGGGGAGAGGGGCGGAGAACAAGAGATGCCGGCGATAGTCGGGGAAGAGCCCGTAGTTGGAAAGAATTCATTGCGAAGGATCAAAACCGAGCGTCTTGGAACTTGTTGGAGTATTTTAAGTCGAATATGAACTCGATCTGTTTCCAACCTCGAAAGGTTGCTATCGATCTTCATTATCGGCAGCACGTGATTATATTACGGTAATACAATACAGCCGATAGCAGAAAATGCCCCGGCCAAATGCGAGGCGTTGTATGACGATTACACCAGGCACAGGGTCTCTCGACTGAGTCCACGTTCGCCGTTCCCGACTCGGGATGCTTTTTGCCTTACCTGAGCCCTCACATTCTCGCCCAAACCCCCTTTTCTTTTTCTATTTCTCTCTCCCATTGATCTCTCCTCGGTACCATCATGAGTGCCACAAAGGCGCAGTCTCAAAAGATCTTTGAGAAGGCCAAGCTGAAGCCCGCGAACAAGGTGCGCACCCCCACCCCGTACGCTGTGTGATTGTGGCACTCGATTCTGATGTTTTTTTGCTTTCAGGTGTGCTTCGACTGTGGCAGTAAGAACCCGACATGGTCTTCAGTTCCATTCGGTATCTACCTATGCCTTGATTGTTCGGCTCACCACCGTAATCTCGGTGTGCACATCTCCTTTGTTCGATCAACAAACCTCGACCGTACGTACCTTGCCACACAATTTCTCTACACGCCAAATATGCTGGTAGCTCAAGACTGACATTTTATGCAGAGTGGCAATGGGAGCAACTGCGGGTGATGAAGGTTGGCGGAAATGAGTCTGCGACCAAGTATTTCCAATCGCACGGAGGTTCCGCTGCGCTGGCGAGCAAGGATACCAAGGTCAAATACACATGCAATGCAGCTGTCAAGTATAAGGAGGAACTCAAGAGGCGCGCTGCGCTGGATGCGCAACAGTCAGTGGATTCAATCCCGGCGGAACTGGCACAACTACGTGCTAATCAGTGTTAATGTTTTATTTAGGTACCCCGGAGAAGTCGTCATCACAGATGTCCCTGCTGGCACTCCTTCCGATGGCTCGAGCACCCCTGCCGGCGACGGTGAGGACGATTTCTTTTCCTCCTGGGACAAGCCCTCAATCAAGCGCCCGAGCAACCCCCCATCGCGCACCAGCACTCCCCCCGTCGTCAGCCGGAACAGCTCTCCTTTCCTGAACGCCGGTGCCAACGCAAACGGATCCCGCTCGAAATCTCCTCTTTCTTCGGAAGAAAAGAGTGCCTCTCCCGCGCCATCTGCTATCCGACCCACCAGTGTTACTCGGAAGACCTCTACAGCTAGCGCTGCAAAGAAGGGCAGTGTCCTCGGTGCCAAGAAGGCCCCCAAGCTCGGAGCTAAGAAGGTTGCTGCTGCGGATATTATTGATTTCGAGGAGGCTGAGCGCAAGGCCAAGGAAGAGGCTGAGCGCATTGAAAAGCTTGGCTACGACCCCGAGGCTGAGCAGGCGGAAGCCGAGGCCAAAAAGGCCGCCACTGCTGCTGCTGTCCCAATCGCTTCTCCTATCCCAGTCAGCCCTGCTGGCAAGGCTAATGATAGAAACTCGGGTGATGTGGAGCGACTAGGCATGGGTGTGAGCAGACTTGGTTTTGGCCAGGTGTCGAAGCCGGTTGCCCCCAAGAAGCCAACCTTTGGCTCTGTTGGCCCTGCCAAACCCAACCCTGCTGATGGTAAATCTCCTCTACTTGTACAATATATGAAAGATAAGCTGACACTCGACACAGAGGCGGAACTCACCCAGACCAAAACCCGATTCGGCACTCAGAAGGGTATCTCGTCCGATGAATTCTTCGGACGGGATCGTTTCGATCCCTCTGCCCAGTCGGAGGCCAAGGAGCGTCTCCGCCAATTCGATAGCGCCACATCCATTTCCAGCAACTCCTACTTCGGCCGGCCCGAGGATGAGGTCAGCTCACTTGACGATGGTTATGGTGATATGGAGGTTGCCGCGAAAGATTTCATTCGCCGCTTTGGTATCACAGCTGGAGATGATATTGAGAACCTGTCGCATCTTGTTGGTGAAGGTGCAACTAAGCTACAAGGTGAGCAAGTCTTTGTTTGGCCATGTAACCACTTTTCGCTAAATGAATATCACCAGGTGCTATCCGCAACTATCTCAACAACTAGGCTAGTCGCCCATGTTCATCAGATATTACGCCTTCACTCCAAGTACCTTAGCAAGCAACATTGTTCCCTGGCTACCCCCAGTCCTGTCCTCTTCGTGCGCGACATATATTGTGTCTCCCCTGCCCACCTCGTCCCCTGACAATATTTCTTTACCAAGAAAATCATTGCGATCAGCAGTCGGCCAAAAATTTGGGTTTCGGGCCATTCTGGTTTGCAATATGGCGTGCGATTGACGATTTTTGTTTTTTGCCTTGCCTCTTCGTATTCCTACACAGTAACACAGGATGATCGAGGAGGTCTCTTATTTTATTTTGCTCATTGCTTTGATATGGTTTAAGATATTCGAGAAATTCACGATTTGATTATTGATAGACAAGAATATTTGACAAAAGCACCTCTCCAATCTGTCAGTCGTGCACCGCACCACTCAACCCAAACTCCATGATGAATGAAGAGAACACAGTAGTACATATAGTACAAGTCACACCCAAGTGTTGAATACAAAAAAAGGTCCCCATATATAGAGCAGCAGGGTAAAGCTATATATATAGTAAGTGACGCAACGGTCCAAACTCAATCAACGCGATAAATCGCATCCGCAACCTTCGTCACCTGCCACATCTCATGAACATCATGAACACGAACAATATCCGCCCCACCAGCCACACTGGCAGAGACAGTAGCAGCGGTACCCCAAACGCGCTCTTGCGGCGTCTTTACCCCAGTAATATGACCAATGAACCTCTTCCGACTAGGCCCCATCAACCAAGGGAAGCACTCAAGCCCGGGCATCGCGCGCAATCTTGGCAGCTCGCGCAAGATCTCCAGGTCATGCGGCTGGATTTTCGCAAAGCCGAGACCGGGATCGAGGATGATGCGCCAGCGCCTGATCCCCGCGTCTTCGGCAGCAGCGATGCGCTCGCCCAGCTCAGCAGCCACTTCGGGGATAACGCCGGAAGGATACTCGTGCAGGGTTGTCATGGTCTGCGGGGTGCCGCGCATGTGCATCAAGATCACGGACTTGCCGATCCGCGCTACTGTTGGCAGCATTTCTGGGTCGAGGAGGCCGGCTGAGATGTCGTTGATGATGTCTGCGCCGGCAGCGCAGGCGGCTTCCGCTACGCTGGCGCGGTAGGTGTCGATGCTGATGGCGATGTTGGCGGCTTCTGGGATGGCGGTTCGGATGTGTTTGATTGCTGGCACTACGCGGGCGATCTCTTCGGCGGCGCCGACTGGTGTTGAGCCTGGACGGGTGCTTTCACCGCCGATGTCGATGATTGTTGCACCGGAGGTGATGAAGTCGCGGACTGTTTCTGTTATGTAGGTTAGGTCTGTTGGAGAGTGTTTGCCGCCGTCGGAGAAGGAGTCTGGCGTTAGGTTAAGAATTGCCATGACGTGGGTGCTGCGTTTAGGGTCTGTTGCGCTCAGGGATGGGAATAGTGGTGAGATTGGAGTTGTTGACATTGGTGTTGGTTCTGGTGGTGGGAGAGCCTTTAGATGTGCGCTGTATGTCTGCGTGTCCTTTCCTGGTAGTGGAGGATATTCATTGGGGATTAATCTAGATTCAGACGGTTAGTTTTCTTTTCGTGTGCCAGTATGGCATATTTAAAGTCATTGGGGACGTACTGGCTGAGAGGCCGCAATACGAAGTCTCGCTCGAGCATCAGATTATGTGGGATGTTGAGACGCTCATGAGAGACGATCTCCTGATCATATAGTAGGATGTCCAAGTCAATAGAGCGTGGGCCTTTGTCTATGAGCTTCTTTCTGCCCATCTCAATCTCAATGGATTGAATAGTGTCCAAAAGATCCAGAGGCGCAAGCGTGGTTTCCACCTGAGAGGAATTAACAATTGAGTTACCAGGTTTAGACTTCAACTTCGCTAACATACCTCGCATACACCATTGATGAATGGATCTTGATCAAGCACATACATCGGTGCGGTCTCGAACAATGAACTTGTTCTTTTCACTTTGATCCCAACTCGGTCCATTTCAAGACAAGCTTGCTCAATCATTTCTACACGGTCACCGACATTGCTTCCTAGGGCAATAAAAGCCCGGTGGATGTCCGGACTGGGGAACTTCAAATTCATCTTGGAGTTAACTGCTTGCGCAGTGGAGAAATCCCTCACACGCGGGGTCAAATGCAACGATGTTATTGAACGTCGTGATAGACCATTTCTGGTGAAAAGTCCTGATGCCTCTTGCGCTGTGTATACCAATTGCGACTGATAAGATGACCCTATTGAATATTAGTCTTGTTGGATTAAAGTGCAGCAAATCAAAAAAAAAAAAATGCGGGACATGCATATTTCCCCATTGGGATGATACGCCGATAAGCGGGCGAGGGGCTTCTATGAAGCAGCTAAGTACATACCCGGGCTCTGCTGTGAGGATATTCTGTAACTGTAAGATGTTGTCAGATTCGCCACAACCAATTGATTATTTGGGATTTTTACCCCGTATGCAACGGTCGACAATCAGCTCTTGTGGCCGAAGCTGCAACCAATGGCGCAAGTCTTAGTGACTTCCCAATTAGCCGTGATTGAGTGATTAAAAACGCCGACGAAGAGGCTCTCCAGGTTGCTCTGGCACTCATTCTGATTTGAAAAGGGAGGCAAAAGCATGAGCAGCCGAGAGCTTCGAGTCAGTTCTGATAAGCTTCACGTGGTTTGCCTTCTTCTTGGCGTTGACATATTGATGCCTTGACACCTTAATATATTTCGCATGCGAGTGGTCCACAAGCGAGTGGTCCACGCCAAAACACATAGTTACAAAAGCGATATAGTTATCACTTACATTTCATTTAACGTTTTTATCTAGTTTCATGACTTGCAGATAATTATTGATAAGCATTTTTAATATTATATATCGATCTTAAACGAATCGAATACTTCCATTGTTGTGGTATTAGAAGATACGTCGCTGGACTCCAGAAATATATATCTCAATTACCAACCTATTAAATTCCCTTAAAATATATGAAGTGGCTAGATATCATATAAACAGCATTAGGCTGTAAGAAACAGTTTATATATAAAACCGTTGTTGCACTAACATGTAATTTATCGCTTTTACTATGTATTTTGGCGTGGACCACTCGCATGTGAAATATGTTAGGATTTATAACCATCTAATTCAATGGATCCATTCATAGAATCATCCCATTACATCAAAACGAAAGACATACAAATTTATTGTGGGGTTTGACTCAATAATGGACTTCTCAATTCTTCGTGGATCTGTTTCGGTAGCTCATCAGATTTCCATCATAGGAAGTTGGAGAAGCAGCATTGCACCTAAATAATATGGAAATGAGCCATATATGTTACTATTACATTAATTCGCTTTAAGAGGTGTATGTACTCCGGCCTACATCTACCCGACGGCTTGGCAGACTATTTTACTCACTCTTTGACTTGAAACGGAAGCTAAAAGTCCTTGACCCATCGATAGCCTATTGTTTAGGTTCTAGAAAAAAGTTGGTCCCAATAGCCGATAGAGCATGACCTTAGGGACATTTCGGCCTGGACTTGGGATCTCCCCACAAAGTTGAGCGGCCGAATCTGTGCCTAGGAAGCAGTACACAGCGTTGCTGACAGCCAGAATAAAAGACAATCCATCATTCGACCAGCCTGTGGAGTTCGTTGTATCGGCGAAAATCTCAGAGGCTATAGGATACCGATTTCAAGGACACGAACAGTGCAATTGACGTAGTGGAAAGAGACACCACAGCAATAATTACTATTTCCGGGGTTTTAGCAGTGGGCTGGATATATTCGGCAGGTATTGACTAACAGAGTACCTGGTTAAAGCGTGGGATGGACCGAGAGAAGGATATGTTGATTCAAGCAACGACCCACATCAATGCGCTGTACACAAGCCATTGTTGCCAGGGCGTTTTGTCATAAATTTTTAAACGTATAAGTAACTTCAAATGCGTTTAAGAATAGTAGTTGTCGAAGGGAGCTTTTAACGTATAAGGATAAAGTAACTACTAAGATGAAGATCTACCGCAGCTAGAACCCACCCGCAATGCATGGCTATTGGCTAACTGTCTCTGACGGTATATAAAATGCGAAACAGACTCAGCCCTCCCAATGAATATCGTTTAAGAAAATGGTGTTGATCTTGATTTAAGAAAAAAACTAGTCCAAATCCTGCTTAATGATATCTGCCGCCTTCTCAGCAACCGCAAACACAGTCGCCTGGATATTACCCCTCGGCTCCAAGGGGAAGATACTGGCATCGACAACACGGATATTAGCCGAACCGTACACCTTCAGGCGAGAATCCACAACACCCCCATCTTCCAGCGGCATCATCGCACAGGTACCACTGACATGGAACATAGACAAGGCGAGCTCTCTGCATAGCTCCTTTGCCTTCTCGAGGTCTGTCAGAGGCTCCGGTGTGTGGAGACGCTCGCCACCCTTCTTCAGCAGCAATGCCAGCGGCGCCGTCTCAGCAATCTTCTCCATCCACATACTATGCCGGGCATGTAGCTCGACATCAATTGGGTGACGGAGAATTCCGTGATCAATGAGAGGAGCAGCTCTAGGATCGGAAGATTGGATATGGACGGATCCCCGTGAGAGAGGGTAGCTAAGCAGAGAAACAAGACTGATAAAGAAACCCGGGTGCCCGAGACCGAAAAGACGTTTGGGGTGTTCTCCTTCGCGGGGCAGAAGCTGGAATGGCGCTAGAATAAATTGAGCGGTAGGCTCATCGGGATTCTTGAGTAAGGTGTGCAATGCTTCATATTGCTTCTTGTGTGTCCGCGAGATGTCGGGGCTCTCCACCGCAGCTTGTAGCTTCTGGAGCAATTGATTCCGCTCGTCCTCGGGAGTGTCTACAAGCGGCATGAATGCAGAGACCAGCGGCACCATACCAAGAGGTCCCGAGCCATCTTTCTGATAAGCGGCCATGGCAGCACCGGCAACAGCCTGGTCCCGAGCCATGTCGCCCGACGGCATACCATCTGCGACCTCATATCCAAATGAGACAATACCGTGATCTTGCAGGTTCTCGCCAACACCAGGGTTGTTGATTATTGTCGGGATTCCGTGGGACTGGAGGAGTGCTTCATCTCCAACACCTGATAGCTCTAGGATCTGAGAGGATTGGGTTGTTCCGGCCGCAAGAATGACCTCTTTCACGACTGAAACGGTATACACACCCGAGTCCTTGGCGAATCGAACACCGGTAGCAACGGCATTATCACCGTTGCTTCCCTTCTTCATGATAATCTTTTCAACCCAGGCTCCAGTCACGATCCGGAGGTTGGGGCGGGCTTGTACTTCCGGCCCTAGATACGCAGCTGCAGCATGGCTTCTGGTGTGGGTAGCGGGATCCACAGCACCAGGGGACACGAAGGGACCTGTACAGGCGCCATTGATCGGATCATCATCCTGCGGGTAACCAAGGGCCTTGAAGCTGTCCATCCAGGCCGCATGGTATGGCATGTACTGATCTCCAAATGAGACCTGAACAGGACCCGTGCTACCCTGATCCTGCTGGTCGTATTTCATCCCCTTGAAGAACTCACGGTTGTCATCCGATGGAGGTGCAGCCGTGTGAAACTTGCGAACATACGGGGACAGGCCATCCCAACCCCAGCCGGGGTTGCCCAAAGCTTCCCAGGCATTTAATCCAGAGCGAGAGGGATAGATAACCATTCCCAGATTGATCGCCGAGGAGCCTCCCAAAGTGCGACCTTTGGTGGCTAAGAGCTTGCGGCCATTGAGTTGTTCCTATTTATATGTGTAAGGCCAATAGCAATAATCATGGGGCTTGAGTAACATAGCGTACCTGGGGACAGGAACGGAAATTCCAATCGAAATCCTCGTCTTCAAACGTCGCCGGCCCTAAGCCGGGGACAATAATTCGAGGGTCATTGAGACGGTTTGTTCCGGCTTCCAGGACGAGTACGCTTATATTGGGATTTTCGGTCAGTCGGTTGGCGACCACGAGGCCAGCGGTACCTCCTCCGACAATCACAAAGTCATAAGCTGAATTCTCAAGTCCTGTAGAGGACTCGGTGTCAAAAGATGCCATGGTCAATTACGTCAATGTGAGTGACGTGAGACCTGCATGAACCAAAAATAAATAAAAAAAGCAAATAATTGGGAGTGCTCTCAGGAGGGCATGGACGATAGAGGGGTTTTCAATTGAGGGGCATCCAGCTACTCTGTCTTTATTGTTGGTACAAAATAATACAGTAAATGCATAATTCACTGAACCGAGCCCCTGAATCTCTTAAAATTCGGTCTAGAACTAACACAAATTGACGATTATCTGATCATGGTTTCGCGAGACCAACGTGGCGACAGGGGGGCCGCGCTATATATGATGGGGAAATTGCAGATCGAGCTAGCCTGCATGTGCCACAGAGGTATTGTACTGCGATTGTTAGGGATGTATGTGCCAAGTCCTCGGTTAGGGTAGTATGATAACTGCCTTGCCCATTCCTTCGGGATGAAACCTGCAGGGATTGAGAGACAGGGCATGAGTAAGGCATGTTTTGCTGGATTTTCCCGCATGCTCTGTTGAAAGTATTGAATTTTATATTGATGAGTTTAACACCCCGTACTCAATGCGTATATACTCCCTCTTAGGAGATCCTTTTCTTTAATTGAAAAGAACACTTGGTCAAGCACCTTGGGACCGGGAGGGGCCGGTGCGGGCTTGACTCCACTTTCAACTTTAATCGAAGGGGATTGGTTCCACCGAACTGGTGCACTAACCCGAAATGGTTTATGGCAAGTAGTTCTCGAGCTTAGCGTGTTTTAGTGAAGATTTAGCGTATATTAGTGTGAATTGGATAGAAATATGGATAATGTTAAATCTTCCATGTCTACTCCTTTTCTATTTAGATGGCGAAGTTGGCAACAGGCACGGTATCAGCCTGGAAATAAAACCCACAATGGGCAACTATGGACTGAAAGCAAAGGAGGGCAGGGAGATCGTGATCGTGATGCTCGTCTTTGGGGCGATCTCCCTGAGTTCCACGATTCTTCGGATCGTGTCACGGAGGATGAGAGACATCAGCTTAGGATTGGATGATTATTGCATGATCAGTGCGACGGTATGCTAATCGAACTGTATTACTGGCATGGCGCGAGACTAATAAAGCCTGCAGCTGTTGATTATGGCATGTACTGTGGTTGTGGTATTGAGTATGACCGACCTTTGTTCTAGAATGGATCAAGAGGCAGCGCTAACGGGTATATCGCTCAGTGGTGACTATGGGAGGCGTTGGATTACACGCAACCACGGGCGAGGTTGCCTTCACAGACATCGAATTTAACCTCAAGGTATGTGAAGCATAATGGCCCGGTCCACCCGGTGGATGAAGCTCACCACGGTGCGGAGCAGATGATTATCGTCTGCCAGGTTCTCTACGGAATCGGCCTCTCTCTCGTCAAAACATCGATGATGATCCTCTATCAAAAGCTCTTTGGTACCAAAGCCAGCATGCGGATTGCCATTTATGTCACCGGTGCCATCGTGTGGGCGTGGGGGCTGAGTATCGTCCTCGAGTCCTTTCTGATTTGCCACCCTGTTGCGTTCAACTGGAATCCGACGTTACCGGGGGGCGGATGTGGAAACCGCAATGCAGCATTCGTGGTAGCAGGAGTACTCAACATGGTGACCGATTTCATGGTCATGATACTTCCAATCCCATATATTTGGAAGCTCCAGCTGCGAGTGGGCCGGAAGATTGGTTTGTCGGTGGCATTTTCTTTGGGCCTATTGTAAGTGAATCCGAGGGTCCGCTCTGGTATCTATTGCACAGTCAATGGCTAATCTTCGTTGAATCATAGTGTCAGCGCAATCAGCATGGTCCGTGTTGTCAGTCTCATGAAGATAGACTTCAACGACCTCACATATACCCTCCCCATCCCATTGATGTGGAGTGTTATCGAACAGCAACTCGCTCTCATCGCGGCCAATCTCCCCCTTCTCCGTCGCGTGTTCTCCAAAGTGCTTCCTAAAAGTTGGCTGGGCTCATCATCTCGCGGGACGGGAACCCCATCGGGGGAGCTCAGTGCGAAAAAGCGCTCGGTACAGGAATATGCTCTCACTCGCATGGACGCTGGTGCCAATCAGAGTAATATAACGTCAGACAGCCCCAAAGCTGCCACTCACAATATCCAGACGAGGTGGAGTGATGATGATGGACAATCGGATACGGAGTTGACGGCGAATGCAATGCCACTAGATGGGATCCAGATATGGAAGGATTTTCGGGTTGACTCAACTAGATACCTAGAATCGATATCTGATAGAAAATAATACGAAGCCACGCATGTTATAATGACTTGTCCCTCCCCACGACACACTTGGAATCATAATGGCCACAAATTATGGGTATACCCACATAGGCGGTCACTCTCAAAAGGTATGGCGGAAGGCGTATGTTTGCGTCAATTAAACAAAAGTTCTCTTGACAAACACAAAAGGGCCCCGGGGAGAAGCACAGATTAGTCAGACCTCCCTCCTTCCAAACTTGGAAGGTTTTGTCTCCATGGCAATATTTAGATTCAGCATTTGCATCCACTCCTATTAATCATCTTCTTACTCCATCATTGTAGACATAGCAATGTATGCTTTTTACACTTTCCTAGATCTCGTCAACAATCGATGACGAAGTTACAACTAAGGTTACTGGAAGGACTTGAAGGGTTGATTCAACAATTTCTGGAATGTTAAGACGGCTTGATAAGAAGAATAAGTTACGAGCATGATTAGTGGTGATAGCAAGGTGATAAATGTGGGACTTGAGACGCTGAAATTTAATAAGATAAAATGTGACAATTATAGCACCACAAAATATTGTACCTAGTTTAATGCTCTCGGATGTTATCATTTACCACTTTGTAAGCCTTGGTTGATGCGCTTCGAGATAATTAAGAGTTATTTGTTCATATCCAAGGTTGGAAAGAAGCGCCTGTATAGCTATTAGATACTAGTTAGGCTCCAATGGGCTCAGAAAGCCTCTGATTGATTGACGAATTGCATTATTATAGATGAGGCGGTTTATATATTACAATTTGCTAAAGGGCTATGAGACATCTATCTTCAATATCAAAATATGCGTTGAATGTCCCAGAGTGGCAACACCTAAGTGCCTGCCTTTCACAGCCCCAGGCTTAGCTTCATCAAAAATCCAAAATCCCGATGCCATGCTTGTTTAATTTGATATCTCTCGCCTTAAGAAGACTTTGGGCAGAGTGGCCCATTGTTATTCCATGAGTAGGGCAGCGGGTCAACAGTCCGAACCTCCCAGTCCTCAGCACCAACGGCAGTCAGAGCAAAGAACAGACCTGTAGGATCATACTTCTGCTTGAGAGCATAGAGGAGAGGGTAATTGGCGCCGTGGAAGGCTTCTTGGAGGTTTGGCTCGATGAGATCGGCCTCACTCATGTAGGCGCCTGAGTCTGGGGCAATCTCACGTAGAACGTCCATCCACTCAGTCACGAAGAGCGAGCTGCTCTTCACCACATCCCAGGATGAGGTGAAGTTCCATTGGGAACCGACAATAACGTGCGACAGGGCATCGCGCCATGCGGGGAGTACTGAATTGTCTGTGGGGGGCTTAGCGGCAATGCCGGTACCGCTGATGTGGAAGCCGGCAATGAAGAGGCCCTATACTATGTCAGACACCACTTAAAAAGAGAGGGCGGGGAGGATATTAATGCATTTGTGTATACATATAAGACGTACCTGGTTGACGGCGTCCCTGTATGCGGCCCAGGTTTGGTTGCGGAGATCATCGCTCTGGAAGACGCCGCGGGGGAGCAGGCGAGAAGCAGTCTTGACGACATCAGTTCCCACGAATTCCTGTGGGAAGGCCACTTCCCAGGCATCATGGCTGGAAGAAAGTTTTAGCTGGGATATAGATGCACGGATTCCAGAAAGGAACGGGGAGACTTCAAACGCACAAGTTATCCGCGTGGTTGTACCACGGATTGAAGGAGATACCCAGGCTTTTAAGAGTATCAAACCATGGAGCCAAGAGTGCCTTGGTTTGGGCAACGTTCATGTTTGGTGCGACGAAGGACTGCATACGGAAGTAGAGGTTAGGATCACCGGCATATGTTGTACCGATCATGGCCTCGGAAGCACCAATGTAGAAGTAACCGTAGGTGCCAGCATCAACAAAAGTCTCAAAATGGTCGAGATAGGACCCAACAGCAGCCCAGAAGGCGTCTGGACCAGGAGTGTCGTTGATGGTGAAATTGAAGGTCACAGTAGTGGTCTCCAGCTTAGGTAGGGCCTTGACTGTTAAAGAAGTGACGACTCCAATGGTGCTGCCACCGCCGCCGCGAAGCATCCAGAAAACTTCCGAGTTCTGAGTGGAGCTGGCAGTGATGAACCTACCATCTGCCAGAACAACTAAGCAGAACTATTAGGGAGGCACTTCGAGAAAGTCCGAGATTATAGAGAGACTTACCTTGCATGGCCAGGACCTGATCGGCCGCCAGACCGTACATGCTGGAAAGGGGAGAATGGCCACCACCGGCAGTGTAGCCACCACCCAAACCGACGGTGACGGCTTCTCCGCCGACAACCGAGTGGCCGTGGGCCTTGGCGAACTCATAAGCCTCCCAGACCTGGGTACCCGAGCCGAACTTAATGGCCGGACCAACATAACCATTGGCAGCCTTAAAGTTCGGAAGATACTCCTTGTCCTTGAGGTGGTGGGTCCAAATGGAGAGGGCACCCTTGCCGGAGGCCTTACCATTGAAATCATGTCCGGTATTCTTGACCACTAGTCGCAAGTTCAAGTTACGGGCAAAGTTGACCGCTAGCTGAATCTGAGCCACGGTGGATACGTTCACTGCATACGTGGGATATGCGCCCTGCGTGCAGCTGGCAGTATGGTTAAACGGTGATGGTAGACATGAGCGGCCCTCGTACAGCGGCAGCATGATTGAGACAGGGTCGGCCATGTGCAGGTTCGAGTTAAGCCAGTCAGCTGAGACGCTTGCGCACTTAGCGGCATTGTACTGCGGCCAGTCCGGATAGCAGTAGGATGCCAGGGGCACCGTCTTGATCAGGCTACCGCCAAGCAAGATATCGAAGATGTCCCAAACCAGATCCACGGGCCACCAGAAATCCCCGGGCATCACCTTGCAGCTATGACGGACACTCCTCTTGGTCACCGTGGATTCGTTCGCAAAGGCGAACATGTTAGCGACAGTGCTATTCTGCAAGGCCGCCGACACATCAGAGAGCACGCCTTCGGTCAATTGCACCTTCTCATTTTGGAACAACGAAGGTGCCGAATCAGCCGTGGCAGTTACCGTAGTTGCTGCTTCTGTGAGTGATGTAGTCGATATCGCACCAACGAGCGAAGCGCTCGCGACGAGAGTAACTCCCCACATGCCCTTCATCCTGGAGAATATGCACCAACACAATCCCAAGAACACGAAAGTAAAAAGAGAGAGAAAGGGCTGATGAGCAATTAAGACAGAAGAGCCCCTGTGAACAATTTGGACAGGGATGGTATTTAAATGTATCCGCCGTAGTAGGCCGGCCATGCAGCCCTAAGCAAACGTTCCGGCACAACCGACTAAGGCACCACGGAGCTTTAGAAGTTTTCGCGCCTACTAGCGCTATATTTTAATTAAAATTCCTTAGTATATTTATTCTAAAGTCGTTGGTGCTAGTATAGCCGACAAGAAAAAAAGCCTTGTGCGCACTAATTAACTAGTTGCATGCGTTAGCCAACTAGGCGTGTTCATATATTCTTGTAGTAATGGTCACCATCAAGCTTCGCACAAAAACACAATTGTTAATAAATCGTACTCTATTTCCGGAGGCTTTCCCATCTTATTTTAAGATGATACATTATACGAAGTACAAGCAATGCGTTATACTTTGTGTCGTCCCATCCATTTTCAGACACCCTCAGATCCACTTTTGAGTGTTCCGATATTCCGAGATTATAGCCCTCAATTTAATGACTGAAACGAGTGCCAATGGCTCGTAATTTATACGCTAGTCTATATCAAGGTTCTCCAGCCGCAACCAGACATCCAATGTTAAAATACGGCTAATTAATATCACAATTAGTCGAGGCCTTAGCCTGAGCTCTCAGCAAGACTCATAAGTCTCACAGGAAGAAAGGGGGCGCCCCAAACGCCACTTTATAGGATTTGGTCGAATTCAACCGGGATGCGAATTCAACTCCTATCGCAGAGGCTCTGGACCTCGTGTTTGGCTGATACTTATGTAACCCAAGGGCGCTGCCCAGCCCTGGAGGCGAGTTGAATTTTTCCTGTCAAAACTGCAAATGATAGACGCGGTTTATTTGGATAGAAGACGAATATCCTGGAAGATATGGGCTCTAGTGACAATTTACAGCCGCAGGCCATCGGCCTGATCTTTGCCTTTCCGTGCTTCGCGAGCGTGGCTGTGGCTCTGCGGCTATATAGCCGCACGTTGACGAAGTCGTTTGCCGCAGGTCAGTTCAATGTTCCGATTCCTCTTTTCTTGTGAGCTTTATGGATCTAATAAACAATAGATGACTGGGTGATTTGTGTTGCGATGGTGAGTACCGCCGCCATTCTATAAACGAGGCCAGAGGATTGACAGAGATTGGCAGATCATGTATTGGGCGGAGACATTTACGTCTTATAAAGGTAAAACGAGAACGGCAAAATAGTCTAAACTGTCTGTGGTTCATGAAGTTAATCATCCCTCAGTGATCATTTACACGTACATCGGATATAATGTCTGGGAGATACCCGATGACCATCCTGCCATTCTTGGCAACAAATATACCTACGCGGTGGGTTGAACACTTCTTTCTCACCTCACTCATTTGCCGTTGCTAACAAAACAGACCGAGCTCATCTACAATCCCATCTTGGCTCTCGTCAAGACCTCTATCCTACTATTCTTACTACGTCTAACCGGCCAAAAAAAGTCAGTGCGCCTGGCCATCTGGGGGCTCTTAATTCTCAACGGCATCGCCGCTATCATCACATTTTTCCTCACTGTTTTTCGATGTGTGCCCGTCGCCGCTAATTGGGATTTGGCTTCATATCCCAACGCGAATTGTCTTAACTTTGCAAATTTCGTCACCGGCACGGCCTCAGCCTCTATTCTCACTGACATCCTTGCTTTGATGTTGCCTACTTGGATCGTATATCGCCTACAGATGCAACGGAATCAGAAGTTGATGCTAATTGGTATCTTGTCCTTGGGTCTTTTGTGAGTAGCTAAGCTAAACGTCTTCCTTTTCCCATCAATATGATACTAATAAATGAAGAACTGTGGTGGCTGGCATTGTTCGCCTCATTCTCCTCGACGATTTCGACCGTCATATGCCGACGAATTACACGCACTCGGTCCTCTTTTGTGTGTCCACTATCGAGGTTGGTCTGTCGTTCGTCGCTGCGTGTGCTCCCTCTTTCAAGCCGCTCGTTACTCGGCTTGTCCCGAGGCTCTTCGGGTCGACCCGCACCGGGCCGTATAACGGCTCTACCAACCGCAGCGGTCGGACCCGGCTGGGCTACAAACTCGAGGAAACGTCGAACTTCACAAATCGCACACATGATCAGACTATCACTACCGTTGAAGCTGGTGATGGTGAGCTCAGCTATGGTCCCGCGAAATTGAAAGACAATAAAATGATCACCATGATCACGGAAATGGAGGTTACTTGGGGCCAGGCCAATTCCGGAGAGCAGCATACTAGCAGTACAGAGAGTCTTGTCTACGGGGGAGGGAGCAACATACGTTCCAAATAATTTCGAAAAGAGGATTACCTTGTTCATTTCATTGCTCCATATTTACCCTTGGAAGGACAACACCCGAAAGGATACAAGCCTAAGGACCCTTTCCCGTCTAGACTAGTTTGAAAGAGGTTCACTGCACAGCGCATAAAAATATTCTAATAATACTACATAGTATGTAGTCATTAAGGTGGGTTGGATAAGTTCATATAGCTTCATTGCCTCACGTCGGTGCAGACTTGACTTGTAGTTGTGGTTAGACCTCTCAATAGCCCGCAAATGGGCCCAAGCCCCCGGCCTATGGCCCATTAATGGGCGCCCATCAAAGCCCTTCAAAAGCCCATTTCTGTGCACAAATATAGTCTTGGCACGTATAAAGTAGCTGATTAATGGCTGTATCTTACGCATGTACCAACCTGTATATTCAATTTCATCATATTATTATAGTAACTAGTAGTTAGCACTAAATAATGCATCTAGTTATTTACTATGTAATTCCCTAACAAAATAAGTACTCCATGTAAAAAATAAAGTTTTACAAAAATCAGCTTTGGATCTTATGAGTTAATTTATAAGCTTATAAGAAGAAGGTTTCTGTATAGCTTCATGTATCACTCAGATGGTAGTTTGAATACCCAAAAAAAACCCAGAGAAAAATGCGTTAATTATACAGCTCGATAAATTGGCATGTTTGTATTGTTTGGGGCCCATTATGGGTCCGATTGGGCTTTGCGGGCTTTCATTCCAGGCCCACGACCCACCAATGGGCCCGAAGGTAGGGCCCAAGACCCAGCCCATTTGGTGGGTTGGGTTGGGCCGGGCTATGGGCTTTGTGGGCTATTGAGAGGTCTAGTTGTGTTTACAGATTTGGCAAACAAGGGAACCAGAATGAGTTTCACGGGTGTACACCCGACTTTTGCTAGCACTCCCTACGTGACTTTACAGGGGCTGGGCAGCGTTACAGGTGCAATAATGTTTAGTGTCTCCAACCTAGGGGTCTTTGGTGTGTAATAAGATATTTTGTAGAAGCCTGATTTGTATAGTACGTATTTCCAATTTTAGGTCTGTGTAGATACCTCGACTCACAATACATTGTATAATCCACCAATTATATATAATCTTACACCCACGTCATATAGACGAGTGTCCGCTCCTGCAGTCAGAGCGAATGTCAAACTCGCGTGTACAGTAAATTCGATCTCTAAGAGGCACCTCTGCCCCGTGATCCCGTTGTTCAAACTTTGCGATGGATTCCTGGACCACGAGGTTTTCAACGTCTGTGCCTCGTTCGTTGCCCTTGCCCCAAACCGGGAGTGGAATATTACCCACGCGATCTAGATCCTCCACGATCCCACCCGTATACTGATTTATCGCCTCTTGGCTAGAGTATGCTGCATTGCTGTGTCCAGTGAGTGTAATACCCTTTGCCGAGTTCTGGAAATTGGACCGAGAGAGACGAAAGGGGTGGTTTAACGAGAAGGATGAACGAGACTGCGAGCCAGCGGACTTGAAGTAGGGCTTGCTTTCCTTATTGTCGGTACCCCGGGATGGTCGTCCAGGGCTGCTGTGGTACTGGAAGGCTCTCATACCAAACATCTTCCTGAGAAGCGGCCACCAGCACATCATATTGGCGACAAAGATGGCAGTGCTTGCCTCACGTATATACCAGATCTGGTACACGGTGGTCATGGGGGAGGCAAAGTTGAAGTATTTATTCAGGATGGCGGCAATGACCGTGAAAAGACCCAGGCTCATGATGCAGCCTATCAGCATCTTCCGGTGCAATGGAAGCCTCGCTTTGACGATGAGCGGTATTGGAATGGCAAACATAAAGGCGTCTGACGAGACATTGAAAACGGCCTGTGTGATTGAATAGTGTTGGTACGTGGCGCACTGCAAATTCGACACCGGCAACGCCCAATATTGCGAGAAAGGTCTGCAATACACGGCATAGTAGGTGATCATTATTACGGCAAAACCAAGCACCACATAAGCGGCGAGAATCTTGACGTAGAGGTTCGAGGGCAGGTTCTTGGTGATCCGCCAGTAGAGTATCAACATGCAGATTTTCACACCCCAGGTTACAAAGAGCATACACTGTTCCAGTGCAATAACAATTTTGCTTCCAAGGATGCGCTCGTGAACTTGTCGGGAGTCTGAGAGGACCTCGTCGTACTCGCTCGGATCCATCAGATTCGTCGCGTATTTTGCCGAGATTTGAATCAAGATCAGCAAGGACGTATATAGTATCTATCAGAATCGGATAGGCAGTTAGTCGAGAGTTACATACTGGGCCACAGCAGGGGACTCACAAAAGTTGCCGTCATCACATAATCGTCCCCTGGAATATGCGATTGAGCTGGTGAGTAATGGCTAGTCAAGCGAAAGGAAGCAATTTTGCGCACATGATATCCCCTGGATTGATATATTTGCCATTAACCGGGAGGCTCTGTTCATGAAGTCAGTGTCTTCTCCGGCTCTTGCCAATACCCGGGCGCAGACAGTTCGCACATACATTCGGCCAATGTAGAGTACCGCTCCGATACTCCAAAAGGTCACAGCTTCGACCAACAGTTCATGGGGCGTGGGTGATACGTTCCCCATTCTGGCGAGAGAATGGCCGCCGTCGTTGCAGATCTACCTCACAAGGTCGCAGGAGTAAACATCGAGCCTGCCATCGACGGCCGTCTGGAATGGAATTGGACCCGGAATAATCGGAGAATTTTCAGCCCGCCAAAGATCGATAGGCTTCCGATCTTAGCTAGGAGAAATATTATTGGAAGGGGGCCATATTAAAATTTCATGGAATCCATCCTAGGCTGTGCGTGCGCAAGCTATGAGGACCCCGGTCTAGGAGAAACATTCCCCACACCCCTCACCCCCAACCCCCCGGGAGATTTTACAACGAGGACCAACAAGTCTATAGGAGAAACGAGGTACACAAGCTTTGAAAAGAGTGTGTCCTTGGATCACACAGGTCTGTCATGGGCCGAGAAAAACTGTGCATGTTTTCCAAGCATTTGGTACAGATCAGCGGGCCGCAGACGCCGCTGCCGTAGGAAAGTCCCACACGGGCAGTCAGAACCAATAGGAGCCCCCGATGCAACGCCAATCCTCTTTTTACATTCCGAGCTAGATCGTGGGGGCCATTTCGCATCGTGGCTGACGCACGTTCTGTTTCTGCATATTTTATTCATAGGGGAGTTTAGTATATGTCACAGTGCTTTCTCGCTTTCCCCCGGAGTTCTGGACCATCGTACGGTCTAATATTATTACCTAGAATCGAACCCTAAGCCCGCCCGTCGTCCCTGAACGCTAATAAATGGGCCATCACAGTGGGTTTTCATTTACGTTAGATTGGGCTATGGCCCGTTAATTTCGACCAACTTGAGGCCATGCCCCAGCTAGAATAGGGACGAATGTTTTGAACTATTGGGATTACATCGCACCCTCACGATCATCGTGCTGTATCCACCGGCCCTCGACGAATGGGGAAGCCTTTGTACCAGATTCCTGGGAGACTAGCGGGGGGTCGCGTCTTCCTATTTTTCTCTTCTCTCTCTCGATTCCTATCTCACTTCATTCTTGACTCGCCCTTGCCCTCCTTGTTGACTTCATTTGATATTATTTCACGGATGACACTATGGTGGTCGCTGAGAAGCAAACTGCCGAGATCGGCGAGTCTAGGCCGAGGAACAGCACGGAGATAGACACGGTGCGCCAGGAGGCTGCTCTGGGTCACAAACAGGAACTGGTGCGGAATTTTGGGCTCTGGAGTGTGACAAGCTTGGGGATTGTGATCGCCAAGTCAGTAATTTAAACCTTTTCTATCCGTGGCCTCAACTAACGTAATCATGTATTAGCTCCTGGGCCGCAACTGGTGGCACAATTGTGACTGCACTCATGAATGGAGGTCCGATGGCTCTTCTCTATGGCTTGATTCTCGTGAGCATCTTCTATACCGCAATTTCGGCCTCATTGGCCGAATTGGCGTCTTCCATGCCCTCCGCGGGCGGAGTATATTACTGGTCCACGGTGCTAAGCGGCAAGCATGGCCGCGCCGCCGGCTTCTTCACAGGCTATCTCAATGCCTGTGCCTGGCTCCTATCGGCCTCGTCGATGAGTTCCATGTTAGGCAATGAAGCGGTGGCCATGTATTTGCTTCGGCATTCTGACGTCACCTGGCAGTCCTGGCAGGTGTTTATTGTGTTCCAACTTGTCAATTGGACCTGCTGTGCAATTGTATGTCTAGGGAACCGGTTTATCCCTATGATTAATCGAGTCGCACTGATCCTATCAATGACCGGACTATTTGCAACCGTGGTGGTCCTTGCGGCGATGCCAAAGACACACGCGAGCACTTCGCAAGTCTGGACACAATACTATAACATGACTGGCGGCTGGTCCGATGGAGTGTGTTTTATTATGGGGCTGCTTAATGCTGCCTTCGCCGTGGGAGTTCCTGATTGTATCAGTCATCTGTCTGAAGAGGGTATGTTAAATGTTTCAAATGCCGGACATCTCGTCCTAATTTCAAATGAAGCTGGATAGATTCTAACTGGTGATATTATTTTAGTTCCCAGGCCACAGGTCAAGGTCCCCCAGGGCATCATGATACAGATGTTGACGGCCTTCACTACCTCCTTCATTTATCTGATCGCTCTTTTCTATTCGATCCAGGACATCGATGCAGTTTTCAACACCGACGTGGGCTACTTTCCTACTGCTGAAATCTACCGGCAAGCTACGGGATCCACCACCAGTGCTATCGGACTCATTGCGGTGCTATTTCTAGCTACCTTCCCAACCCTGATCGGCACTTTTGTGACAGGTGGACGGATGTGGTGGAGCTTGGCTCGGGACAACGCAACGCCTTTCTCGAGCTATTTTGCCCAGGTCCATCCTACATTGAACGCCCCCGTCCGTGCCACCGTCGCTATGAGTGCATTGGTTACCTGTATCGGCTGTATTTACGTCGGCAGCACAACGGCATTCCAGGCCCTCATCTCATCCTTCATCGTGCTAAGCACTCTATCTTACTTCGGAGCTATCCTCCCCCATGTGTTGACCGGACGTCGTAACATAGTCCCTGGGCCCTTCTACATGGGCAAGAACCTAGGAATGGTGGTGAACATCATCTCGTTGGTCTATATCATAGTCACCGTGATCTTTTTCTGCTTCCCATTCGTCATGCCTGCCACTGTCGAAAGCATGAATTATACGAGCGTCATCACCGTCGGTTTGATGACCTTGACCGCCTTGTGGTGGTTCGTTCGCGGGAGGACCGAGTACCGAGGCCCACACTACAGCTTCGAGGTTGCCAAGCAATTGGAGTCTGTTCAAGCAGGTAAGGAGGGCGACAGTCCTGTGATTGTTCCCATGGAGAAGTCTAGGGCAACTGCCATTGATGAGCGTGGGCGGGTGGAATGAATGTTACTCCTGCCGTGAGTACGAGAAAATGGGGGCGACTAAGGGGTGGCCGCGACGAGGCACTGAGTCCCTCAGACAGTGGTACGCGAGAAGCTAGAACGACATCTAAAACGTGACATCTAAAAAAATACCGAAGATATCTCAAAAGACTTTGAAAAGACCCCAAAAAGGACGACTAAAGAGACAGCTAAAAAGGCTTAAAGGGGTACCAAGAAAGGGTCGAAATTCACTATAGAAAATTCTGAAATGGCACACGGCAATAGACTGCCATAGGACGTATCTATGGATGTAGATCCGATCCGATCGACCAAATTAGGAACGAGTTCCAGTTGGGCTAAAGATCGTCAATACGTGGAAATACTGATCCACCCGTACACTAACGAGCCTTTTCAGTGGAGCCCGTACAATTCAGAGGTACGATGTATGGGATAAATAACTCTTGCAATGATACTTTGAAGTATATGATCAAAAGGATAAAGTGTAAATTGTCTGTCTCTCCTCTTAATACCTGGCGAGAAGCCCATATTTGTGTGTTCTCCCCCCCTTAGGTTCAGATAAAAACCCCTCAATTGGTAATAGAAACATGATTGGGATCATAGAGAGATGTAGAGGTCAAATTCCACTGAAGCTGCTAATCTCGATTCTATTGGAGTCGAGATCCTTCGTATTCAAGGCATAATAAACGAGGCTTAGCGTTGAAATCATCCCATGTTAATTACTGCGAATTAGCTGGGATTAAACTAGGACCTTAACAAACCAGACTAGACGCCTGGACCAAAAATGCACCCCTTCGAAACATCAGGTTGACATCGACCGAGGGAGAAATGCTGAAGTTCAGGATCAACGCTTCTACCGAGATCTCAACTAAGGCGCATCTGGATGAGCTCAACGTTAGGGGTTGTGAAATAATCTTGGACTTGTTGCAAGATGTGCATATTCCTTTTGGCAGCTTCTGATTGTGTATTGCTTGCTTTCTTTCCATCCTTTGCTCTTTTTTTACGTAGCCTTCCTTGACTTGTGGCCCATTTTGCATACGATCGAGACTTCATTTGATGTTCAGCAAGCTCGTTTTGACTCGATGTTTATGAATAATAAAGTAGTTATTAACGACGACAGGCTATAATTGCGGCGGAGGGAACGGACAGAAGCTTCATACATAGCCATGAGAAATCATGTAGTAGACTTGGAAGCCAAGGCACAATTCCAGCGTCTAGAGGATGGCCGGCCGATTCTCTTTGAACAGGTGCTTTACACACATGGCTGTAAAGCATTGGCAGACAAATTGCATGAGCGGATGGGAAGCCCTCTTGCACACCCCACTAAAGTAGTAGAAGGTAGGATATGGAAGAAAAATATAGCGTGTGGAAGTACATGGTTGGGTGGTTGTGAGTCGCTTTACAATTGACCTCGGGAAGGAGTGTCGCATGACGTAGTTAAACTAAGGTAAAATGTACATATTATGCCTGAGGCATAAATTATGTGCAAACATTGCAAATTTCTCAGGGGACATTTTTTTCAAGGTCACGTGTACCCCATCTGGAATTTCTTGAGCCATTGATCCTCCACCTTATCTAGTGTTACCGCTGGGTTTATTGCCATTTACAAATCCTCGACCTTTACGACTCTCGCGCCCTTCACACCTGATCTCGTCCCGGTGATCCACCTTTTCTTCTCGACTCTCCTCCCGTCCACCTCATTCACACATCATGGATCACACGCGCGATCCCTGTCCTTGGGTTGCCCTGAGCGACTTTGGCGGTGCCTTCGCCATGGGTGCTATTGGTGGTGCTGTCTGGCACGGTGTTAAGGGGTTCCGCAATAGTCCTTACGGCGAGCGCCGGATAGGTGCGCTCACAGCAATCAAAGCGCGCGCCCCCCGTTCTCGGCGGTAACTTCGGCTGCTGGGGAGGTCTTTTCAGTATTTACGACTGTTCAATTAAGGGTATCCGCAAGAAGGAAGATCCCTATAATGCTATCATTGCTGGTTTCTTCACTGGTGGCTCCCTTGCTATCCGTGGTGGTTATAAGGCCGCCCGCAACTCCGCTATTATGTGTGCCGTCTTCCTAGCTGTCATCGAGGGTGTCGGTATTGGTTTCCAGCGCATGATGGCCGATAACACAAAGCTCGAGGTATGTCGAATTTATCACCTTCAAGTTGATCATATGCAATTAGACGTGTTTGCTAACCATGAATATTATTAGCTTCCTCCTCTTCCTCCGTCGGAGCAGAAGGCCCACGCCTAAATCCCCTCCTTTCGGTCCATATCCTCCCTTCTATCTCTGTCTTCATATAACAACATCTTCACATCAAGTCTCTCTTCTCAGGCGTTCGGCTGATGTCATTATTCCTAAACATAGCACAGAGGCTCCCGTTTTGTTTCTACTCCCCCCCCCCCTCGCTTTTAATACCGCCTCCTACGGCCCGTGTCGAAGCATTGTACATTAAAGACGGCGAATTCATCCCCATGGCTGGTTTTTAGACCGGTATAGGTCTTCTCATGGCCTGATGGCTAAGCCACAAAAATTATGATGACATTTATTTTCTTTTTCTTCCTTTATAACTTATGGAATAAACAACGAAACGTGCATATTGCATGGAATCCTGCCAATAACTCGTGGACTGAATAGACTTCACAGACTACAAAACAGTCTATCCTCAGCAACTCCCTGGAGAAGCTGTCGAACACCACCATGTAGATCGGGATGCATGCCAACTGTATATAACCTATGGACCCACATGTGGTATGTGCGATTGTACTTTAAGGCTGGGCTCGCAGAGCTCTTCTCCGGCTCGTCGAAGCCGGTCCCGTAGACTGATTCAATATTGCAATCGAATTTGAGATACACAATGCTATAGCCAGCGACCCAGCACGGACTAGCGTGTGCCGGAAATCCATCTGATACTGGCCTTTCTCACCGACATGTCCGCCTTTATATTAGAAAAAGGCCTCGTTAGGCAATGGGAATGGTATCAATGTTCCCTTCTAGGCTTTACTAAAGACTTACGTCCAGCTCTAGTGGATACACGAGGGGGAAGTATGGGCGGATTATGATAAAGAAGGATTGGTCTAGGAGAGGCTAATAGCAAAAGCGAGACCACCAGAGGTAGCAATGGAGGAAGATTATGGAGTATTCGGGCGACTGGAATAAGACTTAAGGTTATTTCACCTAGCAATTCTAGGTGTGATAGAGTAAAGATAAGATTTGTTTGATATCTCGCCGACACCTTAGGTATATCCGGTCTACCTACAAAGGTACGACCCTCTAGGGCTGAACATATTCTAGCTATTACTTCTTAGATATTGGGAGTTAAATTTTATATGTAGAAAACTCGGTTTACGTATTTTAAGCTGTTTTTACGGCCTAGATTTTAGGTACTGAGAACGGGAAGAAACATCTTCAAGAAAAATCACACCTAAGGAAATATCTGAGAAGATATCTCAAAAGACATCTATAAAAGACTACCCAAATTTTGTCTTTGTCTTTGACCTGGGATATCAAAGTGCCTAGGTAACTAACCAACCTTGCAGCTTGCTTATATAAAGAGCCACTAGTTCCGGCCTCGGGGGCCAAGGACCAAGGTTGCCCCTCCTGGGGTCAGCCCCACAGCTACCTGAACCCAAGGACCTTATAACTAGTATCACAACTAACTACATATCACAACTTTGGAACAATCTATTCTCCATGGAGCCCGTCGGAATTATAGGACTCGCGGGTCTCTTTAGTACTCGCTTGGAGGCCGTTGCAAGATTCGATTCATGGAAAGAGTACGATTCCGAGTTTGGTTCTCTTGTTGTCCAATTTAAAGCCCAAAGGCTTCGACTGATAAGGTGGGGTTTGGCCGTGGGCCTGGAGAGCGACGAAATCTCATATGAGCACAACGCTCTTCTTGGTAATCCCAAGATTGAGTCGTCTGTGAAAGATCTCCTCTCCGCAATCAATGCTGTTTGCCGTGATGAGGATAGGCGTTTTTGACGCCGATGCTGGGGAAAAATGAAAAACCCACCAAAGACCAACTATTCCCCATCCTCGCCATCCTCCCCGTGAATCCAAACGCCAGAAACTTGGATGGGTGCTGAGAACCAAAGCTAAGCGAGTCGCTCAAGTTAATCATTTCTCCCCCGGACCAAAATAGGAATACACCTCTACATTCCGCTTGCCAAGGAGGTTATATTGATTTGGTGCACCTATTACTTGACAAAGGGGCAGACGTCCACTATCAGAACCAATTTGGATGGATGCTGTTGCACATTGTCTCATACATAGGGTCTTTAGACATCATTATGCTTCTTATTGAGAGAGGGGCAGAGGAAGATATCAACCCCCGGGACCAGGATAAGGAGACACCTCTCTATCTTGCTTGTGAAGGTGGTCATATTGGGGTGGTACGCCTATTACTTGATAAAGGGGCAGACATTCATTATCAGAACCAATTTGGATGGACACCGTTACAAGTCGCCTCGCATAAAGGGTTTTCAGACATTGTTCTGCTTCTTATCGAGAGAGGGGCAGAGGCAGATATCAACCTCCCGGACCGGGTTGGGGGGACGTCTCTCTATAACGCTTGCTACAGTGGCCGCGTTGAAGTTGTCGAAAGTCTTGTTGCAAAGCGAGCAGACCTTGAATATGCGAATGAAAGTGGCTTGACACCGCTAATTATCGCTTCTATAAATGGTTTTTTCGACGTCGTTACTGTACTGCTCGAGAATGGGACAGCCATTGATAGCGTGAATTATAAGGGCAGGACGCCCCTACATGCAGCTTCTTGGGGTGGCTCTCTGAATGTCACTAATTTGCTCCTCGAGAAGGGGGCAAACATTGCCAATGTGGACGGAGGTGGTCTCACATCTTTACATCATGCTTCATTGAATGGCTCCATTGAAGTTGTCAGTTTTTTGCTCGAGAAAGGGGCAGCTCTCAAAAGCGTGGTGAAAGGTGGTTCCACACCTTTACATTCTGCTTCATTGACCGACTTGTTAGACGTCGTCAATCTGTTACTCGACAAAGGAGCGGCAATCGAAAGTGTAGATGTCCATCTGGGGACCCCATTACACACAGCTTCAGCTTCTGGCCATATGGACGTTGTGAATCTGCTGCTAGAGAGGGGCGCGGCCATCGAGAGCGGGAATTTTGATGATAGGACACTCTTACGTTATGTGTCCCCACATGGCCAACTAGGAGTCATCAATAATTTCCTTCGGTTTGGAAACCTCAGGATTGACATTCAGATTGAAAGAGGCTGCACGCCGCTGTTCTATGTTGTTGCACGAGGTCCCAACCAAGTGGTGAAGCTTATTCTTCTTCCCCCCTCCCTGTAAATGCGAAGGATCAGTGTAACGTGATGAGAATATTAGTCGCTGCGAGGAACGGGTATGAAGAGGCCATCGACCAGTTGATCATGTCAGCAGGGCTGAAGTCGAACCTAGACGGATTTGGTCGAGACTTGATGTGGTGGGCGATAGGAACTGGACTTTGTCAGATCCTTGGTCTGATACGCCAGCGGTGCTACACACAAAACTTGAGTGATCGAGACCCTCAAGCTAGCGAAGATAAGCTATGGTCTTTGGTCGGTTTAGATCTGGAGCGAATTTGCGATGTGTGCGCCCGGCCTATACTGGTTGGTTGATACTTCATATCGCAGGTGTGAAGGTTGCAACAATTTCAGCATTTGCTTACACTGTGTGGGGTTCAAAGTGACATGCCTAGAAACGGCTCATGAGTGGTCCTTCTGTGGGTCATATGGTTGTGATGACAGTGAGAAGTATAAGAAGGGCGAGAGTGGGGACAGCAACTAAGGGCTTCATTCAACTTTATATTAATGGTTTTGCTTCTAACACCGTTCAGGCATGATATGTAAAAGCGTTCTTGATAAAATTCAGTGAAGATTCTGCATCACGATGCCCTTCGTGAAAGTAAACCTCTCCCCAAGGATCTCAGATGCTGGAGATGACCAGTCCTGAATGAGAGTAGCTCTATCTGTGAGTTCCAACAAAGATTGCAACAGAGTGATTGTAAAGAAAATGGCTGCCGAGAGCGGCATAGAGGTAGCAGGCCTTTGTTCCGAGTTCAACATGAAGGGCAGGCTGATGTAAATCTCATGTGACAGGAGCGAAATGATCTCATATGACTGGTCATGTTGTAGTTTGAAATGATCACCCGACAACATTGCGGGAGACAGTATATCGAAATTGTCGATGATTATCCGGTTGGCTAGAATGCGGGCTAAACGATAGTGATTCCACATTCGAGCATACCAGACGTCCTGATAAATGTGTTGTGGTCCTTCGGGAACCTCGTGATAAGTCCACGATGCAGGAAGTGAAGTTGCCCAGTTTTGGAGGGCTTGATCACTTTGTAAGGCCAGTTCAACTAGCCGGCTTGATGGAGCAAAGCTTTGATTTGCCAAGTTACGAATATTCACCAAGATACCCATAATAGCAAAAAGTCTCATTGCTGACAACAAGGGATCCTCGTCGCCTTGTGAGGCATTTGATGACGCTCCAAAGCGACCTGGTAATTCCAGTAAGAATCGCGGGACTGTTTTGCCACTGGTAAGACACGCAAGTGTCTGGAAAATATGAGTAATTAGTAAGATTCCTTTTCTTTAATGACATACCAACGCACTGTGGTATAGCAGATCTCTATAAGTTCTTTCACCGGTGAGACTGGCAGACCATTGGCAGAACACAAATAGCCCAAGAATGCAGCAGCGCCATGGACATGCTTTTGCCAGGCACGTGAAGAGGATTGGTTATCGCATGTTATCATCTGAAACGTCAACTATCTGTCAGTCCGGCGATCAAATTTGAATCAGCGGGATATCAGAGCACAGAACCTCGAAGATAGACAAGATAAAACTTCCAGCGACAGATTGCTCAATTTTAGAGTCCTGATGGGCAATAATTGCTTTATTAAGGACCCTTATAGCAAAGGTATATTTTCTTCGCGCCAGATCCATCATATCGGGATCTTTATGGACAATGGCGAGTGCAGCGAGACCGACAGAGGTCAGGCTGATAGTGGCGGAAGATGGATGCTCCGCACCGGAGTCCATCCAGTGCTTACACTCATTTCCCAAGATCCCGCCAAAGTTGTCATGAAATACTTTGTGTGCAAGTTCTTCGATATTGAAAGTGGGTGTCATTGCGACTACGCTCCAACAAGCGGCATCTTTTTTAGCTGTGGTCACCCTGCTATTTGAAGCATGTAACTTTCGAATTGTCGACTTGGTCTGATCTCGAAAAAGTAGATCAGACTGAGACCTATAACCAGTGCAGTCTAAACCGGCTCGAGCGCACTGGCTGCATCTTGGTCTGAGGAGATTGCACTTCCGAGGGTTAGTATGGTCAACCAGGCCAACCGTAATTTTGTGGAAATCAAAAGCTAACCTTGATTCGCCTAGACCTGCAGTTCCCACAAGCTGGGCTAGCTCTGACAAATGCCATGGACGGTACAGTGTGAGTTTTCGAGATAATCCAGTCAAAGACAGTTACAATAGGAGTAGCACTGCTGCTTGGGCGCCAAAAGTCTGTCTCTGGGTAGCTGACAAAATGTCTCACAATTTATTCATTTTCGTGGCCACTATGGTAATGTAGATATGGTCGGAGATCCTGTGAGCGCGGAGTTGTCCACTGGCCCAGGTGAGTGGAGAGATGACATCTATAAACGGGTTCCTCATTGGTTCATATCGTGGCGCTAATCTACGACTGACTTACGAAAAAGGGAATAGCGCGAACATAACTGCTGATTTGCCGACGATCTCCGACACAGCCAACTAAGTGGGATTGCAAGGCACTATACCACGGCTGACTTGTCTAATTTGGATTAGAGCTTACGGTGTCGCCAAATACATGCTATATCATGAATGAGTTGCCTAATGTAGATACTGCCGATGATCACACGTAGGACCATATATTACATCACATTTCTATCTATAAGAGGACCAGGCTGTCTTCGTTATTGTTCTCATTCAAAACATATATAGTTCTCTTTCGGCTCACTTCAGTGCCTCACTATCTCCCTCCTTGTATTCTTTCTCATACACTTCGCTTTCAAACATCACGTCCATCTACTATGGAACCTATCCGAAACGTTGCACTCTTGGGGGTTAGTTGACTGGCAATAAAATGGCTATGTTTGTTATATTAATATGCGATTAACAGAAAGGATGGCTGGGATCAACAGTCCTGGACCAGCTTGTGAATACTGGCTTCCAAGTCACGGTGCTGAGTCGCACAGCTGGCTCAGTGGACGAACCCTCTGCTAGCGTCAAGACTGTGCAAGTCGATTATTCGTCTATCGACAGTCTTGTAGCTGCTCTCAGGGGCCAGGATGCTGTGGTGTCTACCGTCGGTACGCCCGGTATTAGCGCACAGAAGACGGTCATCGATGCCAGCATTCAGGCTGGCGTCCGACGCTTCATCCCTTCCGATTTTGGAGCGCTCACGACCAGGCCCGGAGCAGAGACCCTTCCACTGAACGCTTTATGGATAGAAATCCAGAAATATCTTAAAGAAAAAGCGCTTAGTGGACAAATCGAGTACACACTCTTTGCTGTTGGGCCCTTCTTGGAATTTGTCATGTCGATGCCGTTTTTGACCGACCTGCAGACACAGACTGCCACAGTATATGACAATGGTGTGCATACTTTCAGCACAACTAGTGTGTCAAGTATCGGAAAAGCTGTTGCTGGTGCTTTGAAGAATGCTGCAGAGACCAAAAACCGATTGGTTAGCGTTCACGACATTGTTCTGACTCAAAACAAAGTTTTGGATCTGGCAAAGAAGTACTCGGGACCTGATGTTAAATGGATCGAGAGTCCAGTGGACGCAGCGGCTGAGCTTGAAGAAATTCTCGAAAACACCAAGCAGGGTGACCTGGACCTCTTCAAAACACTTGCGCTGCTGAAATCTGCGCTCTTGGGTGGCAAGTTTGAAGCCGAGTTCAAGATTTTGGATAATGACCTTGTCGGAGTGAGTCTTCTTTCCGATGATGAGTTTGAGAAGATCTTTGCCACAGCTTTTAAGCCAAGCCAGATGGTTGCACAGGAGGACCTTCAGGCAAACATTGAAGGGATTCAAGGCGAAGCTTAGCAATAAGATAGCAACCTAGTGCAGTTGATGTTGTTACATGTGACTTTTATTTTATTTTTTTTCTGTGTTTCCTGTTGATGGAGTGTTCTTGAGAGAATTTGATTTGGCATTATGTTCAATTACCACAGACAGCTAATATTCCCGATTTTGATCAATATAGCCATCAGTAATTCTGCGAGGGGTTATAAGGTAAGCAGGAAAGTTGAGGCGAAAAAGAAGTCATTATCCGACCCAACCCGAGCTTGACCGAAGGAGGCAAACTACTCCGCTTGCTCTTCTAATATTATTGAACAATAACAAGACTCAAGGGGCTGTGAAAAAAAGCACCAGTCAATCATTTTAGCGCTCTCTGTCAAAATGACAGCCCCACAGGAAATCGTGGCAAAAGGGTGTGGCTGAGTTAGTGGATTATAGGAGCAGATCTGGAGCCTTGAAATGGATAGAATCTATATGCTAGACATTAAATTCAATATTAAACTACAAAAGATAAGAATCCACATCTTGGCGATAAATTATTTGACCTCATAGATGGTAAATAGCATCCCAGTCTAGTCATTGTAGTCATTGTCATCAGCATTCATTCGTTGTAGACTTCTCTATTCCAACCATGCCAAGTGAAAGATCCACAGAAATCTGACGTAGAATGAGACAGCTGCCGGACAGCCACGGATCCAGATGAACAATATTGGAAGAGGCCGTAAAGAACTGATGTCATCCATTATATTTTCTTTCTGGTGTATTGCGGATGGACAGTTGAAATGATTTATTCAAGAACCACACTAGTTGAATGATTGGATCGAACTGAACCACAATGGAAATTCTAGAAATGCAAGTTACACTCGTAAGCCGATGACGAGGTCTGACGAGGTGTTCGAGACCAAGATGTGGAAATCTCAGCCGCAAATTCTGATTGGCTGAAATCCTCGGAAGTTAACCTTATTGACTGAACCCCCACATCTATACCCACATCTATACCCACATCTATAATTGTTAGTTGTAGCTCTATCCGTTCTCACCTTTTGGTCTTGAGTTCCATCCTTATCCGGACGAACTCCACCGAGTACAATAAAAAGATGGACATCCCAGATATGGCCTCTTTCTTTTTTTTTTCTTCAAACACATTCTTTGAACTTCAAGTCACTCTTTTTCTTGAAGTCATTCATTCTTTAGAGGTTGATCCTCAATTACTGTCTCTGTAGTATCTCTGTTAACCAGAAGATCATATTATCTTACCATTTTCATTCGCTCAATTTACAATCTTCCATCATGATGACTTTCAACGTCTTCCTTACCAGCCTTCTCGCTGCCACCGCTGCGGCCCTCCCTCACTCTGCCCGATCCGGCCAATCCGGTACCGTTGAGACCCGCGATTCTAACGGCGGAGGTGGTCTTCAGATCGTCAACAACATGGGCACCGACCTCTATGTCTGGACCATCACCGACAACCCAGGCGAGATGAAGACCCTCAGCGCCGGAGGTGACTTCAGTGAGAAGTGGATCACCAACGACAACGGTGGTGGTGTCTCCATCAAGATCTCTGCCAGCGAAGACCGGGACAGCGTTCTTCAGTTCGAATATACCCAGGATACTGATACTCTCTACTGGGATATGTCCTCCATCGATCTTGACGAGACTTCCCCATTCGTCAAGTCGGGCTTCACCGTGCAGCCCAGTGACACAAGCTGCCGTACCGTCTCTTGTGCCCCTGGTGACGTGAACTGCAAGGATGCTTACCAGCTCCCCGATGACGTGAACACCTACTCTTGCTCATTGAGCTCCGGTTTCACTCTCACTCTGGGATAGACTTCCTGGTATGAATTTTTCTTTTTCTTTTCTTCTTGGAACCGGCTGGACCGATGGGACTTTGTATTTTTTTTCATGATTCGCAGAACATTAATGCGTCCTTTGTGTTGAACATTGTGGATACACACTTGGATATGTATATAAACTTCTGCAGAAGTGTTATTATTTAGTATTTATCAGTGAGCTAGCTTACCAAGTACCACTGGCAAATACATTCTAGAATGTGTTAAAAAAAGAACCTCCAACCTCCAACTATCTAGACGTAAGTATAATTTGATATCCGTGTAATATGGCCTGTGCATCTCAACTGGATTTCTTGTTATTGTCATTAATTCATCGGGGGTGTAAACAGGGGTGTAAATTTGGAATATGATATCACGAGACTTAAGAAGCTCCTAACTCGAGTTGTTGTATGACCTTGGTCCTACCCTCCCCTCTCCAGGACTAGTCTCTTCTCCTTTCGCCCTTCCATCAGCAGACAGATTAATCTATGCCTTTTCCCTTGGCAGCAACGGGTTGGATGACACTGCCGTTGGAATTCTGAAACAGAAATTCTAACCTAGATGAAGATAAGCTAGACTGCTGGGCTGGTGGCCCCAGCCAGACACGATCACTCTGTAGATACGTAGATTGCTCCGAGACTCTCCTTGATTCTTCCTTCTTTACCTATGTGTTGCAGTTTTTTTTAATGGCATAAGCCCACTCCTCAAACTCAACCGTGTGGAAGGAATATGGATGCCAAAAGTGACCTTTTGGCCCTAAGAAGCAGTGAGCTCGATCGCATTTTCTTTCTTCAAGAAAAACTGTATCGGGCGATCCAGCCCAATCGTAAAGCCCGAGGAGAATCCAAATACCAGAAATATGTTGCTGCGTTACGCACAGTATCTATCCGATTCGATCACTTTGTCGATGTGGTGAAGATGGTTGCACTAGCATCGACACAACTATATTACAGGGAATTACCCTACCACGAAAAGCTGGCCGACAAGGTCCCTTATTGCATGCCACTTTGCTTTTTTTTTTGCTAATAATGCCAATGCCAATAAGTAATATTAGTTGATTAATAGTATGCAGCTCTCACCTTTTACTGTATTTAATTGACTGTATGCTCTTGAATACTGTTTTTTATGTCGGTGGTGTGCATGCACCCTGCATGCGTTAGAGAACCTTCTCGACCGGCTTGTCGTGGCAGGGTAGCACTGATTCGAATGACAGGATATCGCCAATGGTGGTATACAGAAGTCGTGAGCGAAATCCGCATGCATCTTGGGAAAACTTTACGGGCAATTTCTGTCTCACGTGCAATATCTGCCTCAGGTGTCAAATCGAAACCCCGCTGTTCCCCCAGACCTCGTGACTAATCTCTCGGCCAAATCGTGGACCGAGGCTCATCGCGAGTCTGTGAACCACCGAGGTTGTTTTGCTTTATAGGTTGCCTGCACCCCATCTGCACCTCCTCTTCCCCAGGTTTTCTTTTTCCATTACCTTCACTCCACAAATCTTCATAATGGCTTCTCCTCGTAAGTGATTCCCCTATGTTTACTTTGCCCATGCCCATTATTTTCATGTGATCCACTCCTTTATAACCGATGGCTCCACGTGCATGGCCTCAGCATCGATGCTAACCACCGCTAAACAGAGCAAATCCGCACTCCGATCACCGATCTTCTCAAGATCAACCACCCCGTCCTGCTGGCAGGCATGAACGTGGCTGCGGGACCCAAGCTGGCTGCCGCTGTCACCAACGCTGGTGGTCTCGGAGTGATTGGTGGTCTTGGTTACACCCCCGAGATGCTCCGCGAACAAATCACTGAACTCAAGAGCTACTTGAACGACAAGAACGCACCCTTCGGTGTCGACCTTCTCCTTCCCCAGGTTGGCGGCAATGCCCGCAAGACCAAGTACGAAGCCTCGATCTCTGCGATGCATTTTCCATTGTGGACACCTTGCTAATCGCGTTTTGTTTCGGCAAATAGCTACGACTACACCAAGGGCAAGCTCGGTGAGCTCGTCGATATTATCATCCAGGAGAAGACTACCCTTTTCGTCTCCGCCGTCGGTGTGCCCCCCAAGGCTATTGTCGATAAGCTCCACAGTGCCGGTATCCTCTGCATGAACATGATCGGCCACCCTAAGCACGTCCAGAAGGCTCTAGATGTCGGCGTTGATATCATCTGTGCCCAGGGTGGTGAGGGCGGTGGCCACACCGGTGATGTCCCCACCACCGTCCTCATCCCCGCCGTCGCCAAGTTGGTCGAGGGCAAGAAGAGCCCTCTAACCGGTCAGCCCGTGCAGGTCATCGCGGCTGGTGGTTTGTACAGCGGTAGATCCGTTGCTGCTGCTCTCATGCTCGGTGCCTCTGCTGTCTGGATTGGTACCCGCTTCATCCTGTGTGATGAGGCCGGTGCCCCCACCGCTCACCAAGAGGCTGTCCGTACTTCCGGCTTCGAGGATAACATCCGTACCATTATCTTCACTGTATGTAGTCCCTCGCTGTGTTATTATTCAAAAGAGAAAAAAAAAATCCACATGGCTAACAAACGATTAGGGCCGTCCCCTCCGTGTTCGCAAGAACCCCTACATCGTCAACTGGGAGGAGAACCGTCACGAGGAGATCAAGCAGCTCACCTCCAAGGGTATCATTCCCGTCGAGCACGATATGGAGAACTTGCCCGATGATGCCGATGAAGATACTCTGGACAATGCCCGTCCTTTCCTGATGGGCAAGGTTGCCGCCGTTGTCAACGAGAAGAAGCCTGCCAAGGCTATCGTTGATGAGCTCGTCGGAGATGCCGCTGCTCTGCTCAAGAATGGCAACAAGATGGTTGCTAAGCTGTAAATAAACTATTCCCACTATATCTCTATTCTCTATGGTCATATTCAGCGTTGAAATAATCAAACTCGACTGGTGATATTCCCGGCCGACTTTTGGAACTTACTTGAAATTTGCTCAATGTCCAATAATTTACGGAGTAGCTAGCCCTCGTATAATCCCCTCTCAAGACCACTACGGAATTACCCTTGCTATTTCCGAAAACCTTCCTTCCAAAAAAAGCTCCTAAGCGCCTGGGTGGGTACTCGGTCACCAACCATTGCTCCGTATTCCACATGGAGATCACATCCATAATCTCTGTTACCGGCATTAGCTAGTCAATTTTTGATATAAATAGGTTGTCCATCCTTGTCTTTCTCGTGAAAGCAGACTGTCCTTCCCGTGTCTAGATGTTCAGGTGTGCTGTAGATAGGTGCTTTGCTCGATTTCCTTGCTTAATTGGATGAGAACACAAAGACCAGCGAAAGGGTTCGGCTGCGTAGAAGTCTGTTTTAACTCATGTTAGTTGAAATATCTATGAAAACTCAACTTGGGTTGTTCTATCGCCGTCAAAGAGCTGGTTGTGAACGTGATTGAAAGTGGCTGAAACATATGCATGAACGGACGTTGAGTGATATCCCTGCAGAAAAGCCTATAACTGCTTCCTTCTTCCTCGCACGGACTGCCACGGTAGACATGACCCGAATACGCGAGAGATGGGTAACATGTAATTGGATCTCGGCATACGTCCCCTATGACCCGATATGTTCAAGATACGCACATTTCCAGGGTTGCACGACCAGCGAAATTAGTCCAATGGTATCAGAGCTTGATAACAGAAATCCTAGTAGTGGAGAGTTCATGCAAAAGTAGACCATCTAGCGAGTGCATCCTAATTAGGAAGGAACCTAGAGAGACAGAAGTGGCTACCTAAGTACATCCATCCATATCAAAACCAGTAGTAATTCATAGCAGCCCCTGGGGTCGCAGGGCCGGGGAAACGTTGAAATACACTCATAATATTTTCCAGTATGATTCGCGCTTAGATCAACAGCGCGAGGTCAGATCTTAACTATATAATTTTACCCAGTTCCACGCAAGACACCTCATTGTTGTACATCTAGATCTCTTTCACTTGGTTATTTTAAGGTTGGCTGCGCATAACTCTTTAACAGGCTCCACGAAGACAGAAACAGTTGCTAGGTCTTCAAGCCTCCTAAAACGCCTCGATGGCACGTCTGTTTATGTACCTAATTATGGATTGATATAACTATAAGTCGCGCACGCCCCATCACGTACCAAATTGAGGCTGAAAATTTACCACCGAGTACTCTGTTCCCACATGACGGGATGCTTCCTGTACGTGTTGCAGCTGTGCCGCCTTGCAGGACTACGGGGAGATTCTGGCCAATGATGCATGGCTATACCTGAGTTCAGGGTACTTTTGTCTCTGTGGTCATAGGATTGAGCTGTGGAGATCGAAAAATGCTTGCCAGTCCTCGGGATAGACTCGAAGGTCACCGTGATATCAATATCCTTCGCGGCGTTTGAGCAAGGCCCTCGGCGGGACAAGTCTGAGAACCCTAGAGAGACCAGCAAGTCGATTATCATGCCTGCTTTTTTGATGTGTTATTTGTATGCAAAAATGGTCGTCTATCAATATCTGGTGGCCGGGCCGGTCTCCATAGTAAACCATGGGAAGTAAATATATGGGCAACCCCCAAGGCTTGTATAGGTAGACTGCAGGTAGATTTTATTAACGCTGAAGTTGGATGGAGACATCAATTGATCTGATACGATTTCTTACTGTTGGGTGTCGATGTGGCCTGACTCGGTCGTATGTTGGGCCGTTCTTACCCGAGTATACCGCCAACTAGGATTGGGCGGGATACAAACCTGACACACGTCACCAGGATACCAAGTCCATTCCAATTAGATGGGATGAGAGTCAGTTTGTATAACTCCTCGATAACATTGGAACATCCATGGAATATCAAGAGTGAGCACTAAAACGGAAAGGGAAAGGTCGTGAAGCGTATATAGCGTTGCGGAGAGAGCATCGGCCTCAGTGACCTCAAAATGATGTAGGTGTATGGAGTATCGACTCCTCGAAGATTCCTATTTCCTTTTCAGACACCTGTAGCGAGGTCGGAATCGATCCTCTCCCTATACAACTCTAAATAAAGCACTGCAAGCGCCGTGGCGGGGAATGAATTGACGTGACAGGGGCCCGAGAACCAATCGCGAATCCCACGCGATAGACCAGATTTAAATTCCAAGAGAAACCGCATTGGACAGCCGTGTGATGGATCTTCAAAAGAATATGAAAAGTCAAAGTCGAAGCCCATGGAAATAATTTGACTGTCACAATATACTACTTTTGTCAAACTGCCCACTCACTCTATGAAAACCCTTCTGTGAGATCCTATTGAACGAGAGGTGCATAATTACTGCCAAGCGGGTTATTTCTGTCCCCTTTCTCTCGGTCAAAGTAGCCTTTCTAGTTACACCCCTCGATCTCTTTGCTTTTTTTCAATTTTCTTTTCTCTTGACATCTCTTTTCATTTTTTTGTTCCCCCTATCCCCGCTAATCCTAGCAAATCCTTCTGGGGGTCCATGCTGGGTCACCCCTCATATCTCCACCCAACAAAGGAGGGTAAATTACTCCCATCTGATATCGAGTTCTATAAATACATTTCGGATATTCCTTCTCACGTCAATCTGGGATATCGCTTTCGGGAATTACTCGACCTCAACCCGTATTCCTCCCCGCTTCCGCCCCATCAGACTGTTCTTGGCCCCTTTATCGAGCCCTAAGGGTTTTTTCGTCACACCGACTGTGCTCTTGGTCATTGGTGCCGATTATATTACTCGCGCTTCCCGGCTTTGCGCTGGTGAGCGATAAACTGGCAGACACCAACATATTATTGTGCCCTAGAGTGTTGGACGGAAAGTGCTAGCAAAGTCTTTCCCCAATCTATATCATCTAGGCACAGGAGACCCCCGAATAGTATTTGATTGAATTCTGGGACAATGTCGCTCAAACAAGTAAGTATATGATGTCTTGGAACATTAATTATACTGACCTTTCGGTCGAAAAAAAGGAAATCGAAACATGGGTGCAGGCCCTGGATGCCTACGACAATCAAGATTTTGAAACGTCCCTGCGATGCTTCGATCAGATTGCCGATACATCAAAGATCTTGTTCAATTGTGGAGTGATCTACGCAACGCTGGGCGAGCATCATAAAGCAGTAAGTGAATTCATGAGATGTTCTTTCCCGACAGCTAATTGATTTTGGTACAGGTAGAATGCTACCAACGTGCTGTCAGCCTAGACCGGTATCTGGCAATTGCTTACTTCCAGCAAGGTGTATCTAATTTCTTGCTTGGAGACTTTGAAGAAGCGTTGGCCAATTTTAATGACACTTTGCTGTATCTGCGAGGGAATACTTCCATCGACTATGAACAGCTTGGTCTTCTATTCCGCCTCTTTTCATGTGAAGTCTTGTTCAATCGAGGTCTGTGCTATATCTACCTCCGGCAGACGAATCCAGGCATCCAAGACCTTGAATATGCAGCCAAGGAAAAAGTTACCGCGGACCACAATGTGATTGACGATGCTATTCGTGAGAATGCAGATGTATGTGGACTCGACTAATATGCTGCAATACAAGCTAATCCAGATATAGGGCTATACTGTCTTCTCAATTCCCGTGGGAGTTCTCTATCGCCCCAACGCAGCTAAAGTCAAGAATCTCAAGACAAAAGACTACCTGGGCAAGGCTCGACTGGTTGCCGCATCGGACCGCAATCAATCATCAGATCACCAATGGAACCCAATAGCTGTTAATAAAGAAGACCTCCAAGGTCGCGAAGGAGTTTCCTTTGCCGCGTCCCACTTAGTCCGCCAAAACCTCACCAGCCGCACTCGTCAACAATCCGAGCCACCCTTGAACCGCAACGTATTCCCCCCAACGCCACCACCAGACGACCGCTCTGTCAGTACAGCATCTGGATCAGGGAGTCAATCCGGACACCACCGAGCATCATCTCTCCGAAATGTACGCCCACCACGTCTAGACCTAGATCGCGCAGGTGCCAGCCTAGACCGCCGGCCCTGCCAACGCGAACAAACAATACCACCCGTCGAGAAACCGCGGATAGGCACGACGCGAACAGCATCAGAGCCGCGCGGGCCATCCTCACGGCAAAACAATATGCGTGGATATCAACCGGAAAGCAGCCGAAGCGCCTTGACCCGCGAACAAGCCGGCCATCGCAGAAACCTCAGCGACACAAACACAAACCAGAACTTCCCCCCAGAACAAGATTACGGCCACTCAGATCCCTACGACCCCTATTCAAGCCAATACAACCTAGCAAACACAGGCTGGGGCCGCGGATCCCGCCACCGACCACCCCAATACATCGACGAAGAGGAAGAATATGCCAGCGACGCATGCGACGCAACGACCCTCCACGACGGCGCTTTCGAGCTCGTCGCCGCGCCGCAGGCTGGTCCGAGCCATTCACCCCAACAGCGTCGTACTCGTTCTCCGGCCCGATACTCTCGCCATGCAAACCCGCGAAGACCGGAGATTCAGAGATTTAGAACGAAAGTACATGCCCCTGATGATACCAGATATATCATGATTGGGCCGAATATTGAGTTTGGAGAATTTGAAAATCGTATTCGTGAAAAGTTTGGCTTTCAGTGTCCCCTGAAGATGAAGGTGCAGGATGATGGGGATATGATTACCATGGTAGATCAGGAAGATTTGGATTTGCTGGTTAGTTCGGCCAAGGAGGTCGCTCAGCGGGAAGGAAGTGAGATGGGGAAGATTGAGGTGAGTCTATCCTTTATACTGTTTTTGAGAACATCTCCTGACTGGTATTGTCATTAGCTTTGGGTGGAAGAACGTGCAATGATTTGATGCATGGCGACTGGATTTATTGTTGATATTAGCATCGTGATTTTGTCTATACCCTGTTTTGCGTATTTAGCATGGAGATACCAATGCATGAGAAATACTAATGTAATTTATTTTTTTTTCAAAAATCTGGGTTGGAACGTAAGATAACAGGTACTAGTAGTACCTGATCGGGAAGGAGAGAGGGTATAAATATCTAGTTATGGCTGTGAGAAAACCCCTGATAAATCAGACAGACAAGGTGTATAATGGGTCACTTTTCCCTCACAAGCCCAACACTGGACAATCAAGAATAAATACTAAGAAACACAGCCACAATTGGCTTGCGGACAAAGAAGGTCTGGCCCGTGGGTTGCCGGCATCAGCGTCGCTGGCCGGCGCCTTGGTATACAATACGCTATGGTCTACTAATAATCATTCACCCTGTTGGTAGGAAAAAGCATGGGCTTGAATCTTATTTGCAAGTACATTTAAAATAGCATGTTTTGCTTAGCAGAATATGCACTGAGCGAATATCTCCGATGTTTTCGCATATCTTGCTCGTTTTCCAGCAATATTTTCTGCACATAGCGGCTGCCACTGGGGTTATGCTTTATTCGGTCGTCATTGAGGATATTTGTGAGAGTTGCTTTGACTCGGTGATGGTAGTCACGGAGTTGGTCATTTGAGGCATCGGTGACGTTACCAAAGCTCGACAGTAGAGGGTCTTTTCGGCGAGGTATGGAGTATGAAGTGAGTGATCGTCTGAGGGAAGGCGACAAGCGTAGGGTTGGCAACTCAGTAGATGTTGCTGCTGGATGCATGGTTTTAGGTGGGCGAGTCATGTTGGATGTGTATGATGGAAGTGGTAGATTTGAAAAAACCGTTAGAAAAGGAGGTGAGGTCGCTTTTAAGCAAGATATAGACCTCATACTATACTAGCAATCGACCAGGCTGTATCACGAAGGTGACGTCTTGCCAGCATACCTGAAACCTGGCTAATTCCTTGTCTGCCATGAAACGATACGTTTAACGTTATAGGGATAAACATGGTTATTCCCGCCAATCGCAAGCTGATTAGTGGTTGACCTTTGTCTAGAACTTCAGATCCTTGTCAAACCACGTCTTTATGACCTATGATGTGGTGCTCGTCCAGCGTGTGGGTTTGTCGCCACTCGTGAACTTGTACAGTTACAAGATGGGCTATATCAAACTCTAGTTTTGTGGCTAAATCCCCTAGCAGTCATTTAGTATGATACTCCAACTCAGAATTAAACAGGCAAGTAATAAATTGATACGTGTCAATGTGTTAAAGCGCTGGTTAGATGTTCATAACACCATCTCTCCAGTCTCCACCTCTACCTTGGTAAAGTATCAGCCTCGGTCTTTGCCTTTCCAGTCTCTCTCTCCTCGGTCTCAACCTTTGCCTCCAATCCAGCAGTTCCTAAATCTCAAATTAATCTCACCACGATGACCCCTGGTCCAACTCTGCCTAATCCTCCAAGTGTCCAATGAGGGTTGGGGAGGAAGTCGTTTAGCAGCACAAAAGCCAAAGCAGTCGCACTATCCTCCCAATGTCCATAATCTTGAGGGGACTCCCTTGCTTCGTACATCTGCAGTTCTGCAGTTCGCGGTTGATGACGACATACGCGTACAAATCAGTGCTCATAACCTTGTCACAGACCTTCTTGGCGCGATAGTCCAGCTCCATACTTCAATTTCTCAATCGATCTGAGTGGAAGCAGTATCTTCACATTACTCTTGTCGGAATTCTGGATTCTTGATACAGGTACCAGTTCATTTCTCGAAGTATCCAGATCAGACAGCATGACGTCAGCGTGTCCCTTACTCACATCATCCATGACTGTAACTTTCGGGTAGGAATTTCGACCTAGATGTCCCAGATATAATCCTTTGTGCTGTCTGTACTGTCAACAGCCTTCGTGCTCCTTGCATCCATAAGGCCACCCTTGGTCACGATGCGGAGGTTGTCCTGTGGCGTTATCCCAAGCTTCGACAGTAGCTACACAGTTCCAACCATGGCATGTCCGCACCTCTCTAGCTCATAGTGTGAGGTCCAGAAACGGATCTCATAGTAGCAGAACTCGAAGCCTGCCGGTGCGGGGAAGACGAACCCGCTCGTGTGGCGGTACCTTGAGGCAACTTCTTCCATTTCTTGGTTGGACATACTTTTAGCATTTGGTATGACTGCGACAGTATCCTCGCCTTCTGGGGATGCGAGAGAGACCCGTAAAACGAGGAAGTTAGCTTCCTCCATTGTAGATGGATATGATGTAGGTTATGCAGTTAGATAGACGGGTGATTTCTTCTGTGAATACAATACCACGTGAGAAGTGATGAGCTGCATGATGAAAAGCAAGAGAAGCAAATAAAAACAATTTTATATCGTTGGTGACATGCTTGATCTCATCTCCGTCCATGAATAAATGCGGGGTGCGGGACAGACCATCCGCGCAGTGACGTGAATGTTGATCGACAAGTGTACAGTTGTATAGCAACACTACACCCATTTCAGACCATGCCACACCCACAATGACCGACCTAACACCAACCCTCAACAAGCTGCTTTCAAAGCAAGGCTCATCTCTCCCCCAAACAAGAAAGCCCTGCACAGAAACCGCCGACGAGTTCCTGAAGGAGGCATACCGAATCGTAAGCCAGCCCTCCGCACTCACGCCCATTATACCGAACCTCAGCAAAGCAGAAAGGAAATCTAACAGAAAAAACCACCAGAATTCACACATCCACTCCCTCCTCCAATATCTCCAATCAATCCGACACGCCTACCTCTCAACAACGCAACCACAACGCCGCAACCAAAACACAAGAACACCTACCCTAAACCCGCAAAATGCACCACCAACACCACCCACACAATCAAACCTCACAGACCCCGAACGTGACGCAGTGGACACATCAACAGCCCTCCTCCTCCGCGACCTAGCAACCTCAATCGCAAACCTCTCCTCCGCCGAATCCCTCCGCCAAGAAACCTCCTCCACCCTCCTCCACAAGAAATACGGCCACTCCGCCGCCGGCGCCCTCCTCTGGCGTTGGGCTGGCGGTGGTGGCGCCCTAGATAGCGCCAGCACCGATGAGGGTAAATCCGCCGAGCAGGTACGCGCAGAGGAGAACGCACGGTCGATAGCGACGATCCGCGAGAGCGTGCTTTGGTTCCTGCGGCGCGGGCTTGAGAGCGCTGTTAGTGTGCAGCGGAGGATGGTTGAGAAGAGGATTGAGAGGGTGCGCGAGAAGGAGAAGAGTGTGCTTTATAAGGTTAGTGCGGGGAAGGCTGGTGGTGGTGGGAATGGGGCTCGGAAGGGGTCTGTTTCTGTGTCGGAGAGGACTGGAGCTGGGGCTGGGGGTGGAGGATTCGATCCTACTTTCCAGGCTCCTGATGCGGCGGTTCTGAGTGAGGCGGATACGGCACGGATCGAGGCGCAGCTTTCGCCGGAGCAGTTGCAGCTTTTTGCCGAGGAGAATGATTCTATGCTTAGACATTATGAGGATACGTTGGGGAAGGTCCAGTATGTTTCTCTCTTTTTTGACGTTTCTAGCAGGGTAGGGGCTAATGTATGTGTGCTCTTTTAGAAACGCCGAGAAATCTCTCCTTGAGATATCCTCTTTACAGGAAACATTGGTCTCGCACCTTGCTACGCAGGAGGAGCATATTTCTCAGCTTATCTCCGACGTGGATACGACGCAGACGAACGTTGGGCAGGGAAATCGGGAGTTGAAGCGTGCTACTGAGCGACGGAGTACGGCTCAGGCTGTCTTCTGGGGTACTGTTGGATTGTGTACCTGGCTTGTGGTTTGGGATTTGGTCTTTTAGTCCCGACATTGGTGAACAGGTTTTATTCAGATGCTTTCATGGAAAGCCATCTTACGCGATACCATTATGTCTATTTTATTGAAATGTAGCATATTATCAAGATCACTTTCTCAATTATAACGCGGTGGGGGCTGTATACTTCCGATAGACTTCGCCATTGACAGTCCAGCCTGGCCACCGAGATTATATCTTCCAATGCGAAGCGACCGAGGTGCCAACTCCACTGGCGTACTGCACAGACCATTGAACAAAATAATCCAACAATTTCAATGCCGCATTGCTATGTCTATAATTTACATGTGATGCATGTGATATTAATGCAGACCCACAATCAGGGAGTATCTAAAGAAGAAATGTAAAATCAAGACCGAAATCCTAGAGTGCTATGGTAAATTAATGCATCATGAAAGTCCTTCGAACTTGCACAAAGGAAAAAAGGACATTCTTTGAAAAGCAAATAGAACGCCAAACCAAGACTACTCGAGTGTTTTCGCTCTATTTGAGACCGGGGTATCAGGTAGGTATCACAACTTAGCAGAATCACGAACAACACTGTCAACCGCCTCAGCGAAGTAGTCGATGTTATTTGTGTTCAAGCCGGCCATTGAGATACGGCCGTTCTTTGTCTAGTAGGGGAAAGAGAGTTAGTATCCAAAAACTAGACGAGGTATACACCACCTCGGAAGAAAGAAAAGAAAAACATACCATGTAGACATGCCACTTGGAGCGCAGCGTCATAACCTGCTCCTCAGACAGACCGGTGAAACTAAACATTCCAATCTGCGAAGTAATATGATCCCATGAACCAGGGGTACCACGCTGTTCAAGACGATCCCGCAACCCCTTCCTCATCTCCAAAATACGTCCACTCATCGTGCGCAGATCCGCCTCCCACTCCTTGAAGAGCTCGGGGTCATTCAGCACACGACTAGCAATGCGCGCACCATAAGCAGGCGGGTTCGAAATCTCCGATCGCTGCAAGATAGCCAACTGGGAAGCGATGTGCGCCGACGCAGCAGCAGCGTCCGGACCGGGAGCCGAGACGAAGTGGAAAGCACCCGTGCGCTCACCGTACAGACCGAAGTTCTTAGCGAAAGACTGCGCGACGCACAGCTCGAAGCCCTGCTCGACGAAGTAACGGATGGCCCATGAGTCGCGGACCAGATCGCCGGATGCGAAGCCTTGGTAGGCTGTGTCGAAGAAGGGGAAGTGCGAGCGGGAGCGCATCAGCTCTGCGATTTGCTTCCATTGGTCTTCGGTGGGATCGACGCCTGTTGGGTTGTGTGCGCAGGCGTGCAGGAGGATGACGGAGCCTTGGGGTGCGGCTTCTAGGGCGGCGATCATGCCGGTGAAGTCAAGGCCTTTTGTCTTCACGGAGAAGTAGGGGTACTTGGCGAGGGTGAGGCCAACGTTTGAGAAGATTTGGTTGTGGTTTGCCCATGTTGGATTTGAGAGGTAGATTGCGGGCTTTTGAGGGTGGAATTTGGAGAGGAAGAGGCCGCCGAGGTGGACGGCGCCGGTGCCTGAGATTGTTTGCAGGGAGCAGATCTAGTGGGGGAGAGGTTAGTTGGGGTCTAAGGGGGGGAGGCTATTGTGGGCGGTATATGCGAGTAGAGGGTACGTACTCGCTTTTCACGAATCGCGGGGCTGTCTGCGCCCACAATCAGTTTCTGGGCGGCGGAGGTGAACTCGGCGAGACCACCAATAGAGAGGTATTCGTGGTTGAGACTGGGATCATTGTGGATGGCATCGTCGGCCTATAGATGTAGATGTCAGATAACTGCATATAAAGTAAAGAGGTATAGATATTACCTTCTTCACAACAGGGAGAATCCAGGGCTTTGCGTTGTTGTCACGGTAGGCACCGATGCCAAGATCGACCTTCTTATCGGAGGGGTCTTCACGATACGCCTTCATAAGACCAAACAAAGGATCTTCGGGGGCGGCAGCCACATTGGCCGCGGTAAATACTGAAGGACTAGAGGAACCCATGATGTGTGATGATAGAGAGGAAAGACGATCCCTCGCGGATTGAATCGACATGGTAAATATATAAATAAAAAATACTGGTACGTATGTTTCCCCGGAATCTGACACCGAAACGGGATATTCCTGCTTGCGTTCACCGGATGAGGGGGTGGAGCAAGGGTGAATCAGCGCACGCTGTTTGTAATCGGAGAAAAATGATGGAAGATATAGAGGCTTTTTCGATTCTCTTATATTTTATCTTCTATACCCTCGGCGCACAAGATACCGAGGGACTTTCCCGTATCTTTCTCGTTTTATGACCGAGTTCACATGCTAGTATATCAACAGTAGAACTATTAGTTATCTACAGAGTATACGGGGTTTTATTCTAGTGACCTTCAAACCAAAACATCTAATTGAAATCTCCAACATATTCCCCCTCTCCGACAGGCTACAACCGCCGACCAGAAACCGTGTGTCATACAACTCCGACGAAAAAGACGCACTGTGGAGACCCTTCTGGAAGAAGGTCATTGCATGATAAAGTCTCGGCAGAGAGATTTGGCCACGGCTATATTCTTTAGTACAACATACTATATTTCGTTTACATTCGGTATTGGTATGTCCTACAACATGCATATTGCCGGTTGAGTTCTGCAGTGCGGAGACACTTTCCCCTTCCCCAAACCCCAAATCAATTTTCGGTGGTATGTCACTTCCCCCACACTGACTAAAATAACTCATCAGGAGGATCCCGGGTCCCGGAGAATACAAAAAAAAGAAGGGGAATTATCAGGGCGGACTTGGTCCGATTTGATTCCCCACAGGGCGGATAATATACCGATATTAGAGTGTCAAGGTAGGTTGTGGATGTATTCTAATATTATGATTGTGGTTTTACAAGGTAAACATTATAACATGTATGTACAATATACCCCTCACATACTCCAAATACGCAGAACGGTGGACAAACCGGTGAAAAGGTGAAACCAGATTTGTGTCAGCCGCTGATGCAATCACCTGGGCATCAGCCAATCCCTATGGCCAGAAGATGACTCGTCGTGCCTGGCGATCGTAACATCATTATGGGTACCCGTGGACCCTGCCATATTTTAGTAAGGCCACATATAACCCGGCCTGGGCACCTGGACATGTCTAGGTTGATGTCGTAATGACAAAGATACCAAGTCTGATATTGGTTGATTTAAACATTTATCATCCATGGCACTGCTCCCTGCTGACCTGGCACAGCCTTAATTTTATTTCTTTCCTGGGAAGGTGCCATGTGGATGATGCGGATATCTGAGTCTAGACCGCTAGGTCCTCGTGGCTATCTCTCATATTTGCATAAATTTAAGTGTATGTGACCCTATATCCATGATATACAAAAAAGTATATGTAGAGAAGAAAACAAACAGATACAAGTCGAGAAATACCAGTCTCTCTTTTCCTCCAACCCCCGTTCAAGTAAACGCCAATGCTCTTTCAAATCCATAAACAAGAAGAAGAAGAAAACGCCATATAGCCTCCTACCGAGGACCTTAGATCATCTGAATCGTAAATCGAAATATATGCAAAACGTAAAGGAGTGATATGTGAAGGAATAAATCATGCATCATGCAGTAGACGGCGGAAGGTGGACGGCCGCCGGAGCTGCCGGAGAAGGCGCAGCATCGGTGTCAGATGTCTCACCCTCGGCACCGTGAGCGCGCGTTCGGATGCGGAAACGATCGCGTAGTCGGGTGGTTAAACCGCGGTGTGGTCCTTCTTCAGGGGCGGAGTCGACCTGGTTTGCTTCACGGACGCGTCGCAGCGCAGCGAGACGCTCCTCGACGGTAGCGTCGCGCATCCGTCGGGCGTTGAGGGGCCCGTGCAGGTAGTTGGTCAGACGGCGATGCGTGTGGCGGGCTTGCTGACGGGCTTGCTGGCGGGCGTCCTCCGTTGTTAGGACTGCGCCTTCTGGGTGTGGTTGGTCGGGTTGGTCGGTATTTTCTTCAGTTTGCTCTAGGTTTTCGGGTTGGGGTGGGTTGAGGTCGATGCGGCTGGGATATGGTTAGGGTGGCTCATGTATAAGAGTTGATATCGATATCAATATCAAATAAAACGTACCAAAGGGGACAGGTGCCAGACACATTCATCAACCATGGATCAATGCATTCCATGTGGAATTGGTGGTTACAGGGCAGTACACGTAGGTCTTGGCCCTTGATGAAGTCATCTGTACAAATCGGACACGAAAAGTTACCTGCATCGGGCATCTCGGTCTTGGCTTCAGGGGCTGTGGGAGTGGGGCGCTCGTTATCTGGGGTTGGCATTTCGGACTCGCGGGGGGTCGACACCCCAGTGGTGCTTTCATCGGCCTGGGAGGGGTCGCGAGCAGCATCATCACCCATGGACATCTCGATGTCTCTTTTAGCGGCCTCCACGTCATCGTTTTTTTCATCAAACTTGACGACCGGTATGGTATCTAACATGGCTCGAGCTATACCTCGGGCTCGGCTTTGTCGGACTCGTCCGGCAATCCGGCGCGGGCCATATCGCTCTGGATGGCGATGAGCGCGGACTGCACCTGTGATGATGATTCCTAGGAACAAGGCTGTAATGATGCCTGTGATACTGTACAGAATGATCATGGCTAGGGGGAGGTCAACAGACTGAAGGTAGAGAAAAGTCGAGATACGAACCAGTGTTTGGACTGTTACCCGTGCTACCGGCATCCCCGTCGGTAGGAACACCTCCGATGTAGTTAGACATTGAAACGATGCTGATAGTTGTTGGTTGATCGAAAGCACGGAGTAGTGCAGAATAGCCGGTTTGGTTTGTGAATGTGAAGATATTGGGAAAGCGTGCAGCGGTCTGACCATCGGAAGTAAAATTGCAGCCGGTAGCTGTTTTGCTGTATAGCAGAATGCCAGCAGCAGATTGGGCAGAGGTGACGTATTCAATTGTCTTGTCAACTCGGATATTTCCGGTATAGTCGTCCTGGTCGCAAGATATACAGGCGATTTGTGACCTCTGTAAGTTGAGGGAATTGCTTGGGATGACTTGAGTGAGAGTGCCAGAAAAATTAAATGTCTGAGATGTCAGCAGTGCCCCATTCGAACAATGGGAGCGTCAAGCACCTTGAGTCGGGCCGTGGTCGATTCAATCAGCAATGGGGTCAAGGGGACAAGCTTCTGGCCAGTCAGAGTGGTTCCCTCGATACGAAATCCACTGGATTGGATGTGGATGTCAGTCGTATTTGATGGCAGCGAAACCACCACTGCCTTTACTGAGATGAACAAGAGAAAGAAAAGAGACAGCCCCATGACGGGAGATGGCGGATGGAATAATGTGGGGGTCACATTAGTCAAATGCATAAAAAAGAAAGAGAAACCGGGAAAACCGAAAAAGTGAGGGGAGAGGATCGGCCCTAAATCTTGGGGGGATCAAAGCGGAGAGATTAGTTCTAATCCATTTATTCCTATATTATAAATTGCATTGTTACTTTGCTTACTCCGTACTTTGATAATCTTTGATTCAATTCATTTGAAGTTGGATGTATAATTAATATATGCGATACTACCTAGGTACTATTTCCGTACTTTACTATATGCATCCAACGGACAATTCACATTAACGTCATCGCCGAACCTACTCCATAATTTTCACGCTATCGCTCCCGTATTCGTTTTCACAAACTCGCCCAACTTGCCCGTTTCACCGGACTTCCGTGTTTTTTTTCATGCGCTTCCACGCCCAGGCCCCGAGACATTTAATCTGATCATCCCCATGGTCTGACATGGATGAATTTCTTCGGCTCCAGGATTATTGTTGCACGATCAACGCTCCCCCGCAGATTCTACATAGTCGGATTGGACATGGAGTTGACGCAACCCGGTGTACTGTGACCCACAAAGGGAAAGAGAGAGAGAGAGGAGAGAAAAAGCAAAGAAGAGGGGTGAGCTCTCAAAATGGACCAAAAACTAAAACTCAAATCAAGTTTTTTGATGCCTCTGTCTCTAATCCTCTCCAGACCGAGAATGAAACCTGGAGACGCGAACACCCGGGGAGGGGAGTGTTTTAATTAAAGTGTTCAGAACTTGTCCCCGCTTTATATAAAGTAGACCTTATAAACTGATATATAATATACTCTTTGAACTTATACTTATTATATTCTATATATAATTTCTAACTTATACCATATTCCACTCCGTACCCAATGTTCCAATGTTCCAATGTTCAAATGTGCAAATGTTCAAATGTGCAAATGTTCAAATGTGCAAATGTTCAAATGTGCAAATGTTCATTTTCACTACAGGGCCTCGGCTCTCATCAGGCCCGTACATTTTAGTACTGTGGGAGGGAAAACAAAAACAAAAAAAAAAAAAAAAAAAACACAGAAAGGAAAAAAACAGAAAAACAAAGTGAAATAAACTCAGATAAGACATGCTCTAGATCACCTTAACAGAAAGAAAAAAAAAGATACAAAAAAAAAGTATTAATAGTAACATCTTTCTCTCTCTTTTTTAGCTTTTTAGCTTTCCCCCCCCCTCTCTCTCTCTCTAAGCGGCAAAACCCGCCTTCCTTCTTTTCCATAATTCTCTTCCCTTTTCATCCTTTTTGGGACATGTCGTGAAAGAAACAACTACTTTGTCTTTATCAAGTGGCATCATGCCTGAGACTGCCAGGTCCTGGCAACACCGCTTTGACGGGAAGCCAATCTCGACGTAAGCCATAGACTTCGGAATGGCATAGTACCCCTAGTGGCTTCTCTAACCCCCGTATACCCCCAGAATCCCCGCCATCGCCGAACTCGATATCGAACGGAATGAGTTGGCCCACACCTGGAAACGGTTTATCAGCCTCCTCCTACCCCAGGATCAGGTCCAATGGGAGGAGCGGCCACAGACGGTACTCGATGTCCAGACCTTACTCGGCAATATCAAAGCTTTCTGGATGGCCCGTCCCCGACGACGGGTCTTTAGCGACTCCATGGACTTGTGTGATCGACTCCTTCCGACTGTTAACACCCACGCGACCCTCCTGTCTACCCTTCCAGACCCTATGACTTATACCCCGTTATTCTACGGAGTCCTGCAATCGGTGATCAAGGTGCGTGGAGTATCGGTACACAGTTCTCGTCGCATCGCTAACATACGGCTCAGGCATCGTCTCATTACCCACGAGTAATGGAGGGCTTAGCTACTGCCCTACTAAATATTCACGATGCTCTAGATCTTCCTAGCGATCCGAGCATATTCTCAAACGCCGTCGAACATATTACGAAAACCTACGCTCTAATATTCTTCTTTCTGACCGAATTCATGGACTGGTATGTTCGGAGGTCCACGTGCCAGTTACTGAATATGCACAGCCAGGATGTGTACTCGGAATTTCATCACCTGGTACTCTATATACAACTGCAAGCACAGCACCTTCCATGGCACCATGTCGCAATGAACGTTGACGAGGAGGAGGAGGACCCGGAGAGCCCTCGGGCACTTTGGGAGAAGTCCCGACTCAGCCAAGTAGGACGCCGAGGGAAGGACCGCCGGATAGCAGCACAAAATACCATCACCCGACGGCTCATTTGGGAGATCCAGCAAGACGCAGAGGAGCGTATTCGGTATAGGCAGGGCCGGGACCGGTTGTTGGCAGAGACATTGAGTTCTGTGCGCGAGCAACTGGAGCCGGTCAGTGAACAGAGTGATGGGATTGTTTGCATAACCACGCCTCCAGCTCCAAATATAGGTAGGAAGTCAATACGAAGTTTGCAAACTCGCACCCATCTAACGCGACTTGATAGACACATCCTCTTTCGAATGGTCGAGAGGATCCAAGCGCCGTCTCGCACGACTCGAAATTCAAAGCTCATCCAAACACCTCCAGGACTTCTTCGATAGTGACGATCAGATTTGCGAATACGAACCCGATATCAAGGTCCTTGCCGAGGGTAGTATCGTTGCATCTCTACAGCAGTGGGCCACCAGTTCGCGATCTCAGGCCTTAGCCGTGGGCGGGACTCAACCTACCGCCTCCCTCGACCCGGTGGCTTTAATTTCAGCCTGCTACGCCTCCTTCGCACGTCAAGCTCGATTGCCCGTCGTCTCTCATTTCTGCACCCTTCCTGACCAGGAAGCTAAAGGGCTGAGTCTACAGGAGCAAGGATTAGTCGCCCTCACCTACAGTATAATCCGCCAATTAATCGACTGGCTCCCTCCTTTAGTCGACAGCGATGCTGTATTAGATCTCAGTGCCGAACGGTTCCGCCAACTAGATGGAACTCTTGCCAGCTGGAAAGCCGCTCTATCGCTAGTCGACACCCTCTTACAATCCGCCCCACCACTCCTGGTCTTTATAATCGACGGCCTAGACGCCATCCACAATCCGTCCACGGACGGCGCAATCCGCGACCTCGTCCGTGTGCTACTCACACACACCCGGCGCCAACCACAAGGCGGTCTCAACGGCCAAGGCCCCACTCTTCTCCTGAAGGTCCTCTTCACCGTTACTGGAAGACCGAGTGCCCTGCTCGAGACCATGTCGGAACACACTCTCATCCTCACTGAAACCCAAACAAACCCACCCACACCGTCCGAATCTGTCCTCACCTCGGACCTCGGAGCGGTCATGATGAATGCATGAATTGCCACAGGTGGCCCAGTGGCCCAGTCACGCACTGTTTACGAACTTATTTTCTGCTCTTGCTTTTCTGTTCTGGTTAAAAAAGACGTTTGATTTTGAAATTCAAGCATAGATTTGCGTGGGTTGGGATTATTTGGATCTTATGAAACAGGCACACACATACGGCTGCTATTTATTTTATGCATGAGCTTTTTTTGGTCTTTTTACAAGACATGAAGACTTTGCTGCGCGGCGTTCTCCTGTTGCTTTTTTGGCGTCCGGGAGGACTGAATGGTTTATTTGGCTTTTTTTTTTTGTGCTTCAGTGGTAGCGGTAGACCTGTACTATACTACTTGATAGCTGTGATACCCATCTAGCTCTAGAACTCTTTTGCTAGTCTTATTTTCGACCTCATTTTTCACGGAACCCTTTTTCCGAGTCCCGACTACAATGTCCAGTATCGCGGGCACTCCGACCTAAAATGCGGGGAGCCAATGGACATTATTTTCCGCCCTAAAAATATTTAAACGGTGAATCCGAGGCACTGGGATAACATATATTTCCCCCTAATATATGTCGGGTACAGAAGTACGATATAAGCAATCATGAGCAGCCACGCAGTTTCCTCCCGTCTCTACTCCCCATCCACCCCCCAACTCTCCGAAGTCAAAGACATCTGCTCGCAAACCACAAACCCAGAAACCTACCCACTAGCCAGCGAAGTTCAATCCAACATCCCCATCTACGACCTCGCCGCTCTCCAATCCACAGGCCTAACAGCAGACCTAATCAACCACCTCCAAGATGAATGGCACCACATCCTCCACACAGGCCCAGGCGTCTACGTGCTACGATCAATGTACGCACCTACAAAATACGAACCAACCCTAAACAGCACAAACACCGCCTTCAACGCGATCATCGCCCGGGAAGCCGGACAATCAGACACCAAGAAAGGTGACCACTTCGCCGTAGGCGGCACAAACGATCGCATCTGGAACGCCTTCTCAAAACACGCCCTGCAAGACCCGTCCTCCTTCATCGACTACTACTCAAACCCATGGCTAGCAGCAGTCTCCGAGTCCTGGCTGGGTCCGGCATACCGCGTCACAGCCCAAGTCAACGCCGTGCACCCGGGCGGCGCTGCACAGGAAGCACACCGCGACTACCATCTCGGTTTCCAGGAAGAAGTCGCCTGCAAGCGCTACCCGGCTGCGACGCAGCTCACATCGCAGTTCCTGACGTTGCAGGGCGCCGTCGCGCATAGCGATATGCCCATTGAGAGCGGGCCAACTCGTTTCCTGCCTTTCAGTCAGACGTACAGACCTGGCTATCTGGCGTGGCGCAAACCTGAGTTCCGCGCTTTCTTCCAGGAGAGTTATGTTGCGCTTCCGTTGAAGTTTGGAGATGGGTTGTTTTTTAATCCCGCGCTTTTCCATGCTGCTGGTGAGAATCAGATGAACCCCGAGGATGGGGGGTTCCGACGTGTTGCGAATTTGCTGCAGATTAGTAGTGCGTTTGGGAAGCCCATGGAGACGGTTGATTCGGTGCCGCTTGTTGATGCTACTTGGGATTTGCTCGTTGAGCGGTTCCAGGCTGCTGGGGGTTTAGCGGGACAGGAACTTGATCCTGAGACGCATTCGATGCAGCAGAGGGAGATTAGGGCTTTTGTGCAGGCTGTTGCGGAGGGGTATCCTTTCCCTACAAATTTGGATCAGAGACCGCCCGGGCTGGGTGGTATGGCGCCAGAGAGTGAGCAGGATATTGTTGTACGGGGGTTGGAGGGTGGTTGGGATAGGAAGCAGGTTGTTGCTGCGCTGGAGAAGATGCATGTTGACTCGCAGGCATAAAGGATAGCAGGGGTTTCACTTTTCCGGGCGCATCATATAATATATTTTAATGTGCGATGCATCTAGAATGTGCTTCCCGTTGGCTGCTGAATACTCCGTAGACTCGTTTGATCTCAAGCCACCCGCTGATTGGGGCTGTTTATTGGATGATCAGACACATCGAGATGTGGGGTCATAGTGGGCCTGCATCCATGTCGGCGTTCGCGTTCACCATCCTGTTTGGGGACTGGATAGATTGGAAGTACGAGATGGGGAACTCCATATAGGGCGGAATGGAGAAAATCCTGATCTAGAGTCGATCGGGAATAAGGACATGGATTGACAGAAGAGACAACGAATGATGAGGCTGGAAGGATTCCACAGGGGGGAAGAAGGCGGTCTCACATTTTTGCCCGTTCCCCCCCCAACGGGCCCTGCTGAAACACGGCATGTCCGATGTGTCCATGGGTTTGTTTTCTGCTTTACATCTTTTGGTCTTTCTCTTCTTTTGCACACACTCTCTTAGGTTCAGTCATTCGTTTCACTGTACATACACCTGCAGTCTTTGGATCATCTTACACTATTAACGCATCCAATTCGCCGATCCGCATCTCCACAAACTTGTTGACCATTGACATTGGACGATCGACTCCCGAAATCCACACACGGCAATCATAGCCACCCATAACCGGTAGCTATCATAAGAAAAAGCAAAGGTGCGACCGCGGAGTTTTTTGGTTTACCCGGCGAGGGGGAGGCGAAAAACGTCAGGGCTACGAACCGTTGTGCTATAACAGGTACTATTTTTTTTCGCGTGTCTCCACCATAGACACCAAGGCCCCCCCAATCGAAACCACTGGTTTTAGGGGCGGATCTGCACCGACACAATAAAGGCCCTGTCTGCCCTCCGAGTTCCTTGCGATGGTTAGCCCGAGTCTTTCTACCAGGCGGCTGACGGCTCATCGATTTGAGCAACTACACGATATGCCGGATCATGGCAATGGGCTGTTGAATCCCAACGACGTGACCATTGATATCCCGTTAACGGAGACCACTTCCCGTGGTCAGACGGGCGCCCGTAAATGGAACACCAATACCAGCCCTGATGATGGTACCTCGCACACAGAGAAGGGACCTATTGTTAGTCACCACCGCCATTTTCGTGGTCCTGGCGGCAGGCGTCGTGCGGATACCGATATCAATGAATTGTCCGGAAAGCCTGCTGTGGCACCCGAGGACGGCACTATCAACCGTATGGGCCGTTTCTACCAAGCTGTCCTAAATTACTCCCTCATCACTCGTTACCTGATTTATGTTATTCCCATTGCGGTTTTGATCGCCATTCCAATCATTGTGGGCGCTACAGCTGCGCCAAACGCCAAAATTGGCGGTGTTCATATTTACTGGTTCTTTACTTGGATTGAGATCGTCTGGTTCAGTCTATGGACGTCCAAGATCTTTGCCCATTACATTCCTTATTTCTTCCAGTTCTTGTGCGGTATCGTCAGCTCTGGTACCCGCAAGTATGCGCTTATTCTGCGCGCCCTCGAGACCCCCATTGCGCTTGTGATCTGGGCTATTGTTTCTCTGGTGACTTTCTTGCCGGTTATGACTTTGACTCCTGGTAAAAAGGCATCCGGAGATACGGCTCCCAACGCATGGGAGAAGAGTGTCAAGAATATTTTGTTTGCACTGCTCATTTGCAGTCTCATCTACCTGGCCGAGAAAGCTCTTGTGCAGCTCATCTCGATCAGTTACCACCGCAAGCAGTTCGACGCCAAGATCCAGATCTCCAAGCGCAATGTGCACTTGCTCACTCTCCTCTTCGAGGCTTCGCGCAACATGTTCCCCGTGTACTGCCCTGAATTCAAGGAGGAGGACTCGCTCATTTTCGACTCCATCTTGGCTCAGGCCGGCACCAAGGATGGCAAGCGGTCTTCCGCTATGCCGCTCCGTATGCTCCGTCAAGTCGGCAAGAATGTCGGACGTGTTGGCGACAAGGTCACCGCCGCCTTTGGACACGTGGCATCGGAGCTTACTGGTAAGCAAGTATTTAACCCGACTGCGACCCACACCATGGTTCTCGAGGCCCTGGAGCGTAAGCGCCATGCTGCTGCCCTGGCCCGCCGTATCTGGATGTCGTTTGTGGTCGAGGGCCGTGACGCCCTGTTCATGGATGACATCGTTGAGGTCCTGGGTGCTGAGCATGAGGCTGAGGCTGAGGAGTGCTTCATGGCTCTTGACAAGGATGGTAATGGTGATATCAGTCTTGACGAGATGGTCCTGACGGTTACGGAGTTTGGACGCATGAGAAAGGCCCTGAACCATAGCATGCACGATGTCGACCAGGCTATCCGTGTGCTGGACAACCTGCTCATGTGTGTCGCTGGTCTGGTTGGTGTTCTTGTCTTCATTTCTTTCGTCACCACTGGATTCGGTACCGTCATTGCAGCCGGCGCCACCTCGCTGCTCTCCCTGAGTTTCGTCTTCTCCGTTACCGCCCAAGAAGTCCTCGGTTCCTGCATCTTCCTCTTCGTCAAGCATCCCTTCGATATCGGCGATCGTGTCGAAGTCAGCGATGTGCCTTTCGTTGTTGAGCGTATTTCGCTTCTTTTCACTGTCTTCCGTAATGTTAAAGATGCCCGCGTCACGCAGGTGCCTAACAACATTCTGAATAGTCTCTGGGTTGACAACTTCACTCGCGCCAATGCTATGCATGAACAGCTTGTCATCCCCGTAGCCTTTGATACTAGCTTCGCTGAGGTTCAATTGCTGCGCCAGGAGATGGAGAACTTCGTTCGCGACAAGGAGAACTGCCGTGACTTCCAGCAGGATATCGACATTGAGCTCGATGGCGTTGGTGATATGGACAAGCTCCAGCTGCGTGTGGACATCCGTCACAAGTCTAACTGGTCTAACGAGACTATTCGCGCTGCCCGGCGATCCAAGTTCCTGTGTGCTCTGGTCCTAGCCGTCCGCAAAATCCAGGTTCGCGGTCCAGGTGTTGAAGTTCCCGTAGAAGAAACTGCCGACGCCGCAGATGGCGATGACAAGGGTGATGATGCTGGCGCCGGTGCAGGCGAAGGTCGCCGCAAGTCTACCCAGGGCGGTGGTGTCGACTCCACCAAGCCCGACCCCGCTGTCGCCGCTGCTGCCGCAGGTATCCTCAACTACGAGAACACAGCGCAATCGACAGGATATGACCAGGCCCGTTCAGGAACAGTCACCCACCGTGGATCCACCCATACCAACGCCGAGCGCGAAGCCGCCATCGTGGAAATGCTCAACGCTCGCTCCCCAACCGTGGACACCAGCCGCGACCACAATGGCAGCCACGAGAACGCCCTTCACCGCACTACTACCAACACCTCCAACCAAGGCACCCAGCTAAATATGCACACCGGAGGTGAAGGCCTTAACCGCGGCCTGTCAACCGGCCACCGCAAGGCCGGCGATCGCGTCTCTTACAACGAGCAGGATGTCCACCCCGCGCTCAGAAATGCCCCTCTCTCCCCAGTCCCCGCCGGCATGACCCCATCTTCAAGCCAAGTGCCCATCCTCGAGACCCCCAAGCCAGGGTCTCGCGGCAGCGCCCGCTACGAGCCCCGTCCTCACTCAGGCCACGACCAAAACCGGAGCACCGTCCAGATCGTGGGCTCCCCGGATTCCAACCCCTTCAACGGCTACTACGCTCAAGACACGGGGTACAATCAGATTCCAGTTGGCGGCTACAGCGCCGAGAACACACCGGGTCGTGACCGTCGCGACTCGAACCCGAACATCTCCGGGATGACGGCGAGCAGCAACTACCACCTCTCTGAACCCTATGACCCCATCTCCCCACCTTCTATCTACTCCCCGCCCCAGCCGACGGTCCCACAGCAGGCTGCGAGTACCTACAACACTGCTCCGCTAAGGAAGAAGGATAAGTCCCCCTATGGGGAGCATGAGGCTTGATCGTTTTCTTCTGTTTTTTGTATCACTGATTCTCCTTGATTACCCATTCTTGGCTACTCATCTCTTTCCTTTCTTCTTGGGTTGTTCATATTATATGTGTGATGTCGACAGATTCTTTTCTCTGCGTGTTTTTGCGCCGCATAAAAATTTCCGACCCTTCGTGGTGTGCGGCTACGAAGATATGCTATTCCCGATTTTGGGGGTTTTAAAATCAAATCTACTTCCTTTCTTTCCTCCTCACTCTTCTGCTGTGATGTGTTTTACTAAATGTTTAAGGTGTCTACTGATGCTCTTAACGAAGATAACCGGGAATCCCCGTGTACTAATCGAGACCTCCTAGAGTCTATAGGGATTCTGTAAGAGTATACAGTCTTCAGGTGTAAGGCCTGTCAACCGGGTAAGATACAAAGGTGTATACTTCCTATCAAAAGAGGGCTGTGATAGAGTAGTTGACAATGGTTGAACCACGAATAAAAATATCGAGCAGAGAAACAGATAATATTCCCTTAATAAAACACATATCGAATACAAAGTATTATAATACAAAGGCCAAAGCTCAGCTAGCCATCATCTAACGCTCCTAACAAGCCTATTTACCTCCACTCTCCTTCCACGGATATCCAACAGGATCATCCTTCCGCGTCCAAATCTTAGTCTTCCTTTTATTAACCACATGCTCAACAAACACCTCACGCGTATACTTGGCCTTGTACATGCGAATCCAGCGCGGATCCCACAATTCGCTCGCAATGCCTAGATCCTTGCAGCAGCGCACGAGCGCATTCGATCGGCAGCCTTCCGTAGCGGTGGGGATTCCGTCCGGGGAAAAGTAGTCCTGTTCGCCGCGGGCGACGGAGACGAGGCTGTAGTGAGAAATTTGTTAGCTGGGAGTTCTTGTTCTAGTTTCCCAATACAAACTGGGCGAAATATAAATCAAGTCTGGTAGACAACAATTCAAAATTGCAACAAAAAAGAAAGGGGAAATGTAAATGTGCTTACCGTCCATTGCAAACAAGAGCATACTCCCTCGTCACCGTCTTCGGCGTAACGATACTCTCGCTGCGCGGCACGAGACCCCACCCACCAGGACCGAACGCACGGTTGAGAATCCGTCGGTATTTGATCTCTGGTAGGTAGAGGATTCCATCGGGCTTGATCTCGACCTCGTCCGGGTCCATCTCCGCCAGCAGGATATCAGCCGCTTCTTTGGGGAACGGTGTGGCAGATAAGCCGTGGAATGAACGCGTCCAGTCGATTTTATCTTCGACAGGGTTATCGAGCTCGAGGGGCTTGTCTGATAGGCCTGTTTTGGAGATGTTCTCGGTTGTTGCGCGGCTGGGGGTTGAGTTTGGGATGCGGGAGGCGGGGACACCGGTGGGGATAGGTGCTGAAGCTGAGGGGGAGGGCTTTGTGGCGGGAGATGCTGGTGAGGGTTTGGCGGTGGACTGGTTTTTGGTGGTGTAGCTGATTGCTCTCTTGGTCATGGGGTTGGAGAGCTGGCTGGTTCGTAAACTAGGCGCTCTTGAGGAGCGCGAAAGCTGTGTCGCATTTTGAAGAGACTCAATTGCCCGCCAGGACCGGATACGAAGAGGAGCTGACATCGTGGCTTGTATTGTTGATAGTGGAAGGAGGAGGGAGGTCTTGCAACGAGGCGAATATATCGGGTCACGTGATATTATGCTGATAGCTTCGTTCTCGTCAATGCTGGGCTAATCGGGGAAATATTGAGTAGGATTGATTGGAAGAGACTATTTGAACATGGTATTTTGGATGAGTAGAGTACATTATGCGTCTTTGGTCTGTGTTCGCTGGTCGTTGCCCTGGCGCTTCCAGCACTCGCGGAAAGCTTCCATCTGTGTTGACCAGAGTCAGCATGATAAAGATAATTGAATCTGCTTGCTATTCCTTCATATCGTTGGAGCTTTGAAGAAGTGGTATGGTGATCATTGTAGAACTGGCCCTCCAATGGCTTCAGGTGGAATGATGCATGTTCAGTTTGGTGGATATTATAGCTCACCTCTTTTTTACATTCGCGCCAGTCTTTCTTTGCGAAGTAGCAGTCATTCATCTTATCCTGCTCATCTGATAGTTGTCAGTATGACATTCGTGACTCTAATTGAGGACCACTTACTATGGCAGCCTGTGCTGAAGATCCGCTTGTCCCTGCCATGGTAGTTAGCACCGCGCAGACTATACAACTGAAAAAGGCCTCACCAATCATCCGGCTCATCATCATCATCTGGAACAACAGCTGTCTTCTCCACGTTGTTCGACATGGTTGAGGTATGGTAAGGAAAGTTGGGGAAAGGCGATTGGCCTCGGCGGGTGGAACTATCTTATCGCGCCGATTTCCTTTTGCAACGAAACAACAATGGCAACGCCAACGGGCAACAACGCCAATTTCGCTGGCAAAAAGCTCAATGTTCTAGTTTACACCGGTTCGCTCACTTCCTGCGCCTAGCATCTCAGCTGTTTTCTGACCGACAACCTCTCTACAGGAAATGGAACCACCGTTGACTCAGTCCGGCACTGTCTGTACACCCTCCGCCGTCTGCTCGCTCACCACTATGCAGTCATCCCCGTGACAGGCGATATGCTCCTCAAAGAGCCATGGATGACCACCTGTGCTATGCTGGTCATGCCCGGCGGCGCGGATATGGGATACTGTACCACACTGAATGGTGCGGGGAACCGGCGCATCGCGCAATTTGTCCGCAATGGCGGGCTATACCTCGGTCTGTGTGCTGGTGGTTACTACGGAAGCAAGAGTTGCGAGTTCGAGGTCGGCGACAAGACAATGGAGGTTGTTGGAGACCGCGAATTGGCTTTCTATCCGGGCATATGTCGAGGCGGGGCATTCCCGGGCTTCGTTTACCACAGCGAGGAGGGAGCACGCGCTGCAGGACTCGAAGTGGCCAAGGATGCTTTGAGCATTGGCAATGTACCAACCAACTTCAAGTCGTACTACAATGGCGGTGGTGTCTTCGTTGATGCGTCGTTGCTCGCAGACAAAGGGGTAGAGGTTCTTGCGAGCTATACCGAAGAGCTGAATGTCGACGCAGGGGAGGGTGCGGCGGCTGTTGTCTATTGCAAAGTCGGTAGTGGAGCAGCGGTATTGACTGGACCCCATCCTGAGTATGTTTTAGTTTTCAATTGGCAGGGTTGAGTCACTGACCTGTGAACTAGATTTGCGGCTGCTAATCTGGACCCGAAGGCGGGCGGGCCTCAATATGCGGACACGGTTGCCGCTCTCGCTGCCGACGACAAGGAACGGACGGACTTTTTGAAGGCTTGTCTGTCCAAACTTGGACTAGAGGTCACACAGGACACGACAACAGTACCTTCACTATCGTCCTTGCACATGTCTGGAATCGATGCTGATGGTCCCATGGATATCCTGTCGGGCCTTGGAGCTGCATTCACCCAAGATGGTAAGACCGAGTATCTCAAGGATGACCACGATACGTTCCGTATTGAACGCCCTGGAACATGGAATCTTGGTGAACTAGATGAATCGCTCCCCGCAGCATCCTCGGGGTCCAACGAGGGTATTGTTGATTACCAGGCAATCATCAAGCGACTTGTGTTCCACGATGATATCCCATCTTCGAAACTGACCCCATACTTCAACCATCATTCATTCTACGCTCACCTCCGACAATACCAATCCGAGTCCAAGGGCGAGGCTACAACATTTGGTTCCAATCTTTTATATGGAGAGGTAGTGACTAGCACGAACACAGTTCTTGAAAAGTAAGCATTTCGTTCGATAAATCTGGTCTTGATCGGCTCTAACAAACAACAGGAACATGAAGCTGCTTCGTCAGTTGCCACAAGGATTTACAGCCACGGCCACAGCACAAATCGCTGGACGGGGACGCGGGTCCAATGTCTGGGTCTCACCTGCAGGTTCTCTCATCTTTTCAACTGTGGTGCGGCACCCAATCGACAAGATTCAGTCCGCACCGGTTCAGTTCCTTCAGTACCTATCAGCCATGGCGGTAGTCAGGGGAATCAAGAATTACGCCAAAGGCTACGAGAAGATCCCAGTCAAACTAAAATGGCCGAACGATATTTGTACGTGCCGGGTGGCTTATTTTCTTCATTTATAACTGTGGGTGGTTTACTAATAAGCAATCTCTACAGATGCACTGGATCCAGATGACCCCGAACAGAAAAGATACACGAAGATTTGCGGCATCCTTATCAACTCCCATTTCATGTCAAACGAGTACATCTCCGTCGTCGGTATCGGTGTCAATGCCACCAACGCCTCTCCGACAACCGCCTTGACTACCCTCGCGGCGCGCTACGCATCCCCGGGCGCTGCAGCCGCTTCACCTGTCACGCTTGAGAGGCTCTTGGCTCGTATTTTGACTACCTTTGAAGCCTTGTATACTCGCTTCTTGCGCACAGGCTTCGATAGAGGCTTTGAGGCTATGTATTATGAAGACTGGCTACACATGCACCAGATTGTCACGCTTGAGGAGGAAGGCGGTGCTCGCGCTCGCATTCAGGGTATCACCCGTGATTTCGGTCTTTTGCTGGCCGAAGAGTTAGGATGGAATGATCGTCCAACGGGACGTGTGTGGCAGTTACAGAGTGATAGTAACAGCTTTGACTTCTTCCGTGGGTTGTTAAAGCGGAAGGTATAGATCAAACCAAAATAGATAAATAGATCGAGATATCCATGTCTATAACTACTGGCCTATTCTGAATTTCATCGCCAATATCCTAGGGAATTGATTTGGTAGACATTCGACTTCTCATTCTGATATCAATGTGTGCTCATTCAGCCTCTGAACTATCGTGATTGCAGATCTCATCAGCGCTTTTGATCGTCTTGCGAGAGCCATAAACCCCCAGAGCGAACAACACATGTACCACGAAACCTGCGTGAGACATGAATTCGCAACTGCTTCCAGTGATTGTCGTGAGAACCAAGAACCAAGAAAGAGACTCGTGAAAAGGGTTAAAAGTCAACAAACATGTTGAAACAAGCCTGGCAGACACTGTTTCGACAGAAATTAGCCAGGCAGAATTACTGTCATCAAGCAGCAGTCGCAGCTCATGGGTTATGAACTTTGTCAACTCTCTTGAGAGGAATCAAGACCAAAACCAAATAAAACCAAATATGGCTAGGGTGTCTAACCATAACACCAATATGCTTGATTGCAGCACACGTATCTCATATTCCATGGTGGACATAAAGATATGCTCACATAGCCCTCCGCAAGATACATGGTTTCTAGTCCGAATTGGGGATCGTGGAGTACCCGATTCTGATCTCCCAATTGGGGTCAGCTAAAGGCCCCGCTCTTTACACATGACATCCAAATCCATTCAGTATAAGTCTCCCTTCCCAGACAGCTCCCTATTCGGGTTTAATATATAGAATTGTCGTATATACCCCAAAAGAATTTTCGAGGTGAGGATATAGGATGCGGTGTCAAGTCATTGACTCGGCCCAGGAGACCCATCGTCGAATACACTCATCCACCCTTTTTAGCGATTCCTTCGCCGCCTCGACCTCAAACCACTCCCGATGCTCCTTCCCACACTCAGGACACTGTCCTAAGTCTCGCACCCGCAGAGCCGCCAGCTCTAGATGAATGAGCCGTTCCACGCGATGCACATGCGGGACTTTTCTTCCTGGTACTAAAGAGGCCGAAGGGGCCCTATTCCGGCTGTTGTGGGATGGTGGTACCCTAGCAGGGGAAGATGAAGAGGATGACGATGGTGTATAAGGGTAGTAACGGATCAAAGTCAAGTCGTAGGAGCACTGTTTACTCCATTCAGCGAGTCGACGGTGCACATTGCTCGTGCGTCCGATTTTCAGCCTGAGCGTTCCGGGCGTGGTTGATGTTGGGTTGGAAGTGAGGGCATTGAGGTCTTGTGCTGCACGGATTGCGTCGCTGACGCTGCGTGGCTGGGTGGGTGGGCGGAGGTGGTTGCTACTTTGTGGGGCTTGGGGTAGTAGAGAAGATGCAATGTCTCGCGGTACTGCGGTTTCGGCGCTCCGTTGCGTGGTGGTTGTTGGGGGCGTCACCCAGAACATATAGATATAGCCTTCATCGTCGGCGTTGGAGATGGGTTTGGCCAGTTCCGTGATAAGAATCGATGTTGTCTGTGGGGAAAGTGTCGACGGGATCCACGATAACAAGGCTTGTGTTTGCGAGGAAGAAGGATTCCCCGTGTTTGACAAAGATGGAGGAAATGTTTGAGGAGTGGGCGGCACTCCTGCATGCTGCGGCTTTCCGGCTGAGGTAGGCAATTTGATCTTTTGGTTCGAAACACCATTTGTCGGGCGAGGGGGTTTGGGTCGTTGAACTGAGGTGGGCTCATCATCTTCGCCGCTGTCCTCAACGATCTGGAAGCAACAGAAAGTGGTCTTTCTCTTCGGTCGACGCTTCTCACTCGGTCGACTTTGATTTGTCCGCCGTTTTTGGGGAGGCTTTGGCTTTGGGGAGACTGGATCGTCGTTTATTTCGAGCACACCCAGTCGATCCATTAATGTGTCGATGCTTGTCCTCGTCTTGGCCGGAGTGATAACAGTCGTATATGAGTTCGACGAAGAATCTTGATCCTTGTGCTGCCAGCAATACAAGGATGCCACATCTATAGCTTCTTGGCGAGGATCCTTCTTTCGAGGGGTAGAAGCACCCGATGGATTTGGAGAGGCTAAAGAGCGGCGGCAGGGCCGGCCTTGGGCAGTTATGCCCCTACATGTTGTCGCTGGGTTTCGAGAATCTGAGCGGGGAAGCAAAGATTCTGGAGTATTTGAAATTTGAGGCATATATGCAAGTGACCAAACGAAAAAATTGTATAGATTGTTGTGATGTGCACTTGTTAAGAAGGAAGCTATTCAAGGCAAAAAAAAAAGAGACTAGGCCGCATAGACTGCGGTGAGCTTCCAGAATGCAGGCTAGAGGGCTACATATTCTCCACCTGGAACTTGGACCATGTCGGGACAGAAGGAAGATTTTGTTTTGATCATCAATTGCACCGCCACAGTGAGGCATTAGAAGTGGCTGTGTTCATTCTCTCCCCACAACGGGCGACGGAAATAGTAAGCTTTAGGGCGGAATGGACGGGCAAAATGATGTGTACCTTCCATGGGTTCAATGGCGGACATCCAAGCTATGATTTCATCCAATTACCATCTCGATCATCAAACTCCCGTTACTCACAACTACCCAGCTATCACCCCACCTTCATTTTCCGGAAGCTTGTTCCTTCAACTTAAGACTTCACCTCCATCTGCGTGAACTAAACATCTCCATGAAGTCGCTTCTCGATATTTGCTCGTAAGTGGTATCTCGATTCTGGGGAAGGCGTACTCCACCTGAGATTCCCAAGGTGAATACGCTAGCCGGTCTCCCTGTCGATCTATTGTTGTCAATAACCGACTTCCTCCTTCGGGATGATCGAATTTGTATTTCACTCTGCAGTAGCCGACTTTTTGCCATGTTCAACCATCGAACCAATCCCGTTCGGCCATCAGGGAAAGACAGGCTGCCTGTTTTACGCCGACTGGAACGAGATCTACCGCAATACTTTATTCACTGTATTCGTCATATTCTTCATAATTATAATGTACCTATACGTACCAGGGCTTGCCTATGTCTTTTGTCTCTTGGTGGGTCTGCCGCTCTCAGAATCTCAGAATTCATTCTTCCAAGACCCATCCTTGACTTTGGCATCACCGCCATGGAGACTAAAACTAAACGTATGCTTCATGGCATCCAAGCAAAACGCCGCCTTTCGTCAAAGTTGAACATAGGTTTCGGATACGTGTTTTCGGTATCACTAGAGCGAGAAGATGAAGTTCCATCTCCAGTGACTCTGCACCCCCGTTTCTTCTGGTCGGCAATAGGCGCTTTCCATGGCCCGTATATGTGCTTTTTATTGAACTTCGCAGGTTCGGGGCAGTATCGTCCAATCAAATTTCCTTCTGGGTCCCACTTCTTACCAAATGATATTGGTGAGTAGTTAGCAGCGGTAAAACATCGCGTAAACGGCGGTGCAAGAGAGCCATTGCCAATTACCAATGTTACACGCGGTTTCATCTAGGATTGAGTCGATGTCGGAAAAATCAGAACAAGAATACTTACGGTCAATCAAAAGCTCCTCAAATACTTCTGCACCTCTCTCCCACGAGACTTCAATTCCCTTTACCGGTACATATATGGTACTCTGTACTCGATTCCTACTTTTCATTCTCTTTCATCCAATATATCCTTCAATTCATTGAACCCAATATAAAACTTCAATTTGGCTCCAATCTATCAATACTTCTCAAACCAGGCCAATGCCTGATCCTCCGCTTCATCTGCCTGTTTATTTGCATCGTCCTGGACAAGATCAGCCCTGACACAAAAGCCGTGACCAGCGCCCGCATAAACCACCACTTCTCCTTTCCCAGCACCGGAAGCGCTGGCGAAGACTTGTTTGATATGCTCAATTTGTGGAGGTTTCAAAACCATATCTTTGTCCCCAAGCGCAAAACTAACGGGAATCCTGATCTTCTCAATATTGCTAGGGATCTCGAGAGCACTCGGATGGCCCGTAAACCCAGCATCAAGCAGTGGTTTTCTATTTGAGGCAGTGTCCACCCCGGCAGCTAGATTGACGATATGCTTTCCGCCCCAGCAGAAACCAGCACCGTAGATGGGAAGCTCGGCACCTTCGTTCTCGCGTACAGACTTGAAGAAATCCCTGACGAGAGGCCATGATGCCTCGAACGTATTATAGTACTTGAAGGGCAGAACTTTGGTCATCGTTGAGACTAGATAGTATCTGTAGTTTGAATTAGTGGCCGTTTTAGGTGAGAGTGATCCGGGTGGTGTTGTTTTATCGACTTACGGCTTCATAAGCCAGGTTGCGAGCCCTCTCGTCTTCAGCAACTCCTTTGTGGAAGACATCATATTTACCGGGGCCGCGTGTCCTAATATGACACTTAGCAAGTTATCCTGGGGGATCTCTAAACAGACTAGGATATACCTTTCATGAATTCAGGAAGGTAAACTAGGTACTTCCCCTTTTCGGCGTAGTTGTCGGCTAGGATTCGACTGTTCACAAACTCCCAGCCGAACGCGTCGGGCACTATGATGATAATGCCTCGGTAAGGTACATCGTTTGGAGGTTTGGTTGTGTACACCTGTAAGCCATGGAGAGAGGCGACTTCACCACGCGGGGTGCCTTGGTGAACATGACCACCAAAACAATCTGGGCACGACATATTGAAGGATGTTGGATAATCGCAGGCTGTGTTGGAAGTGCAAGAGACTTACATAGTTAAATACTTTTACATTGTGAGTCAGTACATTGCGAGTCAGTGCATTGCGAGTCAGACAGACTTTACTTATTTAGGACGCCGCTTATATTTTGATGCGCCTTTGGCTGCTTATTCGCATATTTAATTTCCACGTCTCTGACATGTGGCTGTTTCTTGATATTTCCCGCTTTCCCTTCATGACCTATTATCCCCCTGGTCTCTTCTTCCATCGCTTTGCCGTCTTTACACAATTTTGAGGAACATCGTGAAAAGCTCTTTCAAGGACTGTACGGCCACCGAGGTAGAATGATGACGGAAGCTTTATGTTTAGAGCGGGTAGGTCAAAAGTACCTTGTTATTAGGGTGTTAAGACTGACTTATACAGATAAGAAGTCTTTGTTCTTAGGAGTAGCAATGCCTAGCACAACAAGGGTAGATATACGAATGCACTCTGGTTTTATTCTGTCTTTCTTAACGAGATGAAGCGAGATGACACGAGATAATAGATGCCATTTTGAAAGCTGTTTTACTCTCTTCTTCTCTTGGCTACCTCCGGTGTGTATCTTAAGTAGGTACATATACGGTAGGATTGCCGCCGTTTCCAGGGTTAGAACGCTCATATTAGATATCCGAGTTGGCTGATGCGGCCTTGTGAAGTCTCTTCAGTTGTCTTTTCAATGATCCTTCTAGTCGTATTCGCTGATATTCTGTTTAGATGTCTTTTTTTAAGATATTTCCTGGAGGCTTTATTTGTGAAAACGAAACCACTTTCCTATATACCTGGGACAGAAACATAACATCTCTATACAAAAGGCAACATATAGCTTGGCAAAATTTATATTTCTATGTAATGTACTTCATAAACCCATTTATAGCTTGGTACCCATATTCACATGAACCGCCTTGGTCTGGCTATATGCCTCCAGACCTGCCTCTCCCAACTCACGTCCAATGCCACTCTGCTTCACGCCACCGAAAGGAATGCGCGGATCACAATCTTGGCTTGAGTTGATCCAGACCATACCGGACTCAATCTCAGCGGCCACACGGTGAGCACGCTCCAGATCCCGCGTGAAGACAGATGCACCAAGGCCGTAGGTGGTATCGTTGGCCCGACGAATAGCTTCTTCTTCATCATCGAAGGGGAAGATCACCACCACGGGACCAAACACTTCTTCGCGGGCAATGCGCATCGAATCCGTCGCATTGACAATAACAGTAGGTTGAATAAAGTACCCATTCTTATTCTTCTCCTCAGTTGGCGTGTAGGCAGCACCGCCAGTGAGAATAGTAGCTCCCTCGCTCTTAGCGATTTTGAAGTAGGAGAGGATACGATCATATTGAGCGCGTGTCACCTGCGGTCCGTGGAAGACCGACTCATCCCACTGGTCGCCAATCTTCACACTCTCAACTGCCGTCTTGTAACTAGCAGTGAATTCTTCGATGATATCGCGGTGAACGAAGATCCGCGAGGTCGCGGTACAAATCTCGCCCTTGTTGGACATAATACCGCCATGCGACCACTTGACGGCCTGCTCCATATCTGCATCCGGGAAAACCAGCAAGGGGGACTTGCCGCCTGTTTCGAGCGTGATATTCTTGAGTGTGCCGGCGGCCATCTTCATAATCTCCCGGGCGGTCATTGTGGATCCTGTAAATGCGACCTTATCGATCAATGGGTGCGAAGCGAGCGCGGCGCCGGCCTCGCGCCCGTAGCCGTTGACGATATTTACCACACCTGGGGGGAACCCAGCCTTCTTAATTAATGTTCCGAGAATGAGAGCGCTGAGAGGGGTCTGCTCGGCGGGCTTTAGGACAACTGTATTTCCGCATGCTAGTGCAGGGCCAAGCTTCCAGGTGGCCATTGAAAGGGGGTAGTTCCATGGAATGATCTGGCCAACCACACCGATGGGCTGGCGGATTGTGTAGGCGAACTTTTGGGGGGTTGTGTTGATGGTCTGGCCATAAGTCTTATCGGCCCACCCACTGTAATAGCGAATTGTCGAGATTGCCTCGGTAAGATCTTCATCAAGGGCGACGTGGTAGGGTTTTCCTGACTTGAATCAGCAAATTGTCTTTTTTTGGGGATTATTTTCAGATCATACCATTATCCCAAGCTTCAATAGATGCGAACAACTCTCTGTTCTCCTCCATGAGATCAGCGAGTCGTGCCATTAACTGGCCCCGCTCTGTGGCGGGAAGTAATTTCCATGAGGGGTGGACCAGGGCCGCTTTGGCAGCCTTCACAGCACGGTCAACATCTTCGGCGCTGGCTGCTTGGACAGTGGCAATTGGCTTGTCGGTACTAGGCAGTAGTTAGTGGGGGTGTATATAGCAGTCCTGATAATGACATACGCGGGGTCAAGAGATGTGATGGTCTGGCCTCCTGTGGCGGGTATAATCTCGTTGTTAATGAAGAGACCGGTGGGCTGCTTGTAGCTGTGCCCGTTGGGGGTAACTATATCGATGAAGAGGTCCATTTTGTTTTGACTGAGAGAATTTCCAACTCTTGCGGCGCGTGGGGTATAATATATGACATCTCTCTAATGAGGTTAAGCCCCTTCAGGCAAGTCCTTCCGATATACTATCCGATATACTCCCCGCGAATGTTAGTAATTTTAGTGGATAGAATATTTCCTCCCAATTTATAATCTGAACATCTTTGGCTTATTCGTGACCAATTAGTCCACGTAAACAGAAGATTTTCAATCATCTGGTTATTCAGTAGACATGCCCTGGAGACACTCTTGAGGTCATGTCGGATTAAGGTACGCGCTTCTTTTTTCTGTTAGCCACATGCTCAGCCCGAACGTGTCGCTTGTATGTACTTTTTCTCCTTCAAGCTCTATTTAGCTAAAGATATTTATTGCAAGAATTGAATATGCTACAAATGTAATATGAACGCAGAAAGTGTGAAAAGAAAACGAACAGGAGTAGATGGCCGCGCATGCGGTCTTGTGATGTCTTCATGGCTAGCGCTGGTGCAATGCTTGTATAGGTCGTCAATTGTGGTTTTGGAAGAGCTCGTGCGACTAAACATCCTTAACCTGTGACAGTGACACCGTCCACAGAGTCTCAATCTAGCAAGTGACTCCGATGGATCGTCCTCCGCGATAGGAAGTCAACCCCAGAAACCCCATCTATAGCAAAGAGAAGCTGATTGTGTGCATCTCAATCCGGCAATGGAAAATGACTTCGGAGGGGGAGAGGTCGTCCAGAATCCTTCTTATTTGAGCTGCACCGCTGTGGAGTTGCTCGGTCCATTTTTCTTATATAATTTCTATAAGCATGGCTCACCCCGGAAAGACCCTTCACAAAGATGTATACTGCATTGCTAATCTGAAAAAATGGGGAGCAGCCGGCTGGCTCCGATTGTCAGAGGTGAGTACCATCAATAGTTCACATTATGCCCAGCACTGATATTAATAGACTACTACAACGGAGCAGCTATGAATCTGATCACGTATGGAATTTCGAAACGCAGCGACTAGTCCACATCTCCCTTAACGTTTGTCTAGACTTGGCGAGGACAAAACAGCTTTCGACCGCTACAAAATCCGTCCCCGGATCTTAATCAACGTCGACAAATTCGACACAAGCACCAAGTTCCTCAGTAGTAACGTACGTTGTCCTTCCACTTTCCCAGAAAACCATCGCACCAGTACCAACTCTAATAATCAATAGATCTCGCTCCCATTCGGCTTCGGCCCTGCCGCATCGATGAAACTCGCCCACCCAGACGGCGAGCTCGCGACCTCGGGCGCAGCCGCAAAATACAGCCTCTGCATGGGCCTATCCTCGTACTCAAAGCATCCCCTCTAGAACGTTACCGCACAGGGCACCGGCAATCCGTACGTGATGCAGATGTGTGTACTGCGGGATCGGGCGATTACGCTTCGGTTGTTAGAGCGGGCGGAGAGTATGTCGTGTCTTGAATTGTTATTTTTCATGGTTTCATCCACTGGGCTAAACTAAAATCCTTTCCAGAGGCGGGTACAAGGCGCTGTTCCTATCTGTTAATGTACCCGTGTTAGGCAAACGGATCAACGAATACCGGAATGAGTATGCCATCCCGGATGATATGTCGTGGCCGAATATCCTTAGCCACGGAGGGGATCACTCGGACCACACTGAGTGCGGTATGTCTTACGGCGAGGTTGATCTATGAAGTTGATGTAGACATGCTAATGTTTGCAGACCCCAATTTGGATTGGGAGAACACGATTCCGTGGTTGAGACAGCATACATCTCTGAAGATCGGGCTTAAGGGTGGTATGCTGCGTGTGTTGTCGAGTGCATCGTGTATTGCAGCTCACAGTTCTGGCAGTAACCTCCCCTGATAATATAGAGTTGGCCATCAGATATGGCACACACGACGTCGTTATCTCGAACCACGGTGGGCGGCAACTAGACGGTATGCCGTCCACAGTGGATGCGCTGCGGGTCTGTGCCCCCGTAGCCAAGGATCGAATTCCGGTTGTGGCGGAGGTATTCGACGAGGCTCTGATATCTTCAAGGCTTTGGCGTTGGGAGCTAGCTTCTGTTTTGTGGGGAGGATCCCATTCTGGGGATTGGCTGTAAGTGTTTCTTCAGTGTTTACTTTTTATTTTATTTACAACTAACCGATACAGTATAACGGACAAGGTGTCGAATTGGCGATTCGGATCCTCCGCCAAGAGCTGCGGATCACCCTGGTATTGGCCGGGTAGGTGATGGCACTCTTCTGGAATGCATAAAAAGAACAAAAGTTCTAATCGGAAGCAGGTGCCGAACGATCAGCGAAATTCAAAAATGTTATCTTTCTGTTTTGCAACCGGATGGGATCATCTCGAAGCTGTGAGTATTCTATACTTTCATGGCTTCTATTATACGCATGATCTACAGTCCAACTTTTCCAAGATATGGGCAAACGAGGTCAGTTCCTTCCTTAGAAGGTTGGTTCATCTCATGCATATGTCAGCTGCCACAATACGGTCATGCAATACAAGAGTTGCCAAGACCTTGGCAACCTGGCCTCACAGGGCTGAACTAATTTCTTAACTTTCACCGTTCCATGGTTTTGGAGAACAAGGTCCAAGAGGCTGTGCAAATCCATGGATACCATACGTACCTATGTATCTACTATACATAGCCACAGTTCTAGAAGTAAATTTAGAATGGTCAAGTATTAGAAAATCATGGAACACCTACGTATACTGCAAAGCCTCACTTGGTCCCAGGCAGCGTCATTCTGATTTGTCTGACTATACTTAGCAACGTGTACCTCTGATGGGTAATCTCCTTCGGGCGCTAGTTGTTTCATTACTTACCTCATTTTCGGCCGATCCTCCACATTGTTGGAAAAAAAACCTACATATAGTGGCTCATTCTCTTTTCTCTTTTCTCTCCTCTCCCTTTTCCTTTATTCTCTTATCCTAAACCTTACTATACACCAACCCTATACATCCCTATACACATAGACCGACTACCACAATGTTCAACTTCAACTTCTTCAAATCCGCCCCGGCCACCGAGCCCGCCACTGACGGCTGGAACGCCAACACCGTCACCATGCAGCCCACTAGCCCCGCTGCCCCTTCAAGCAACCAAAATGTCATCTCTGAGCAGCCGGTATGTTGATAACCCATAGCAAAATGAAGTCATATTTCCAGAACAAAAATTAACATCTATATCACATTCAGGCCAGCCAAGAACAAATGCAGCTGCGCGGTGGTGGCGGCGGTGGTATCTGCTGCGGAGTGTACGTCCCCCGCATCCAAGCCGGCCAGAAACATATTCGGTCATGCGCGCAATAAATAAAATTCCAGAAACTAACTTATCCCAGTTGCGCCGGTATTGCTTGCTTCGAGTGCTGTGAGATCTGCTGTTAGACGACCAGACGAGATCGGGATGTGGCCGCCGATGCGCTCATGCGACGACGCTGTCGATGGATTCGGTCTAGCTCGGGTTAACTCTTGGAACCTTGATTGGCGAGAGTCATCGTCTACTGCGTGGCCTCGGCGGTCTTGGATATGATGTGTTTTGATGTGAGATGTGACTTTGTGGACTTCCTGTTTTTTTTTTTTTGCTATACTGGTTCTTTCTACGCTATACCCCAGAATAATGCCAGTGATAAAGTTCAATTTTCAAATTCTTGTGTTCGATTGACTCGCTTTGATATATGTAGATGGTCATTCCGGTCGTGGCTCGTGATGTAGTCATTATATCCATGGGACAGGTCAGTTTTCAGTATTTGTGTCGGCTAGCCAAATGGCCGACGGGAGATCGCTGATCGCAATGCGGCATCTACATCCCATACTCGGAAGCCTGGCGCGCGGCCGAGGATTCTGAGGTTTGCAAGGAGTACTGGGCTCATGTCAGTGATATTGACAGAAACACGAGAAAACGCATCGACCGTTAACTCACAGTCAAAGAAACACTCAACATCCAGAGTATACGACGAAGTCGAGGATTCCGACCCATTCCTATCAGTAGGAGTAGTCCCATCCGACGAAGCATAGAGACTGGAAACAGTCGATCGGTCCGGCGAGAACCCATACAAATCCCCAACTAAAGCTTCAGGAACACCAAGCCTCACGGCCGACCCATCAAGCACAAGACCCCGATGCTCCAGATACCCCTGCACGTCATGACAATCAAACCACTCACCATCAAGATCAAGCGAACGAATCCTCTCCTCCTCACTCATCCGCACCTGCGTCTCATCCACCAATCCCTCCAAAGTAACAGCAACAGGCTCCCGCTCTCCACTCCAATCCTCGTCCCAATCCTGAATCCCGCCCCGCTGCAAAATCCGCACCATCCGCCGCAGAATCTTCCCGGGTCTCCGGCTGTTCTCCGGGTACACGGGATTTCCGTCGGCGTCCGCGCGCGGGAAGTGCTTCCCTGCCCCGCCGAGCGTGTAGAAGGGCATCTTGATGAATTCAAGCCCGCTCCCGATCTCGGATTGCAGCGTGCGCCGGAAATTGCGTCTTATGCCTGGCATGTCGTGGATGCAGGGGACTAGCCCGAAGACGCGGCCTAGGAGGGCGGGCTCGGTGCGTGGGTCTGTTAACCAGCGGTAGGTGTGCTCAAGGCTGAATCTGTGCAGGCGGCGGGAGAGGCTGGATTCTTGATGGCTGTATGTGTAAATTGTAGCTGTTGGGAGGATGCGGTTTATTAGTGGGGATGGGGAGCGGGCTCGGTTGTACCGTGGGTATGGAGAGGGGACGGTGGAGTTCTTTTGCGGACGTATGAGGGACACTTCGTAGCCGAATATGTTACTGTCCCTCGCTTCACCGTTGGTCTGCTTGATTTGGAGATCATTCTCATTTGGGAAGGTAAATCGCGTCTTGTTTATTTCTGTTAGAATGAGTTCTCGTGTGCGAGCGTGATAGTCCACGCTTGGCTGGAGAGTCGCATCGCCATTGAAACTATCGATTGCGTCGCGATGGGCTCCGCCTAGGAGATTTGATACATTCTGTAGTGTCTGCTCTAGTACACTAACGCGAGATTGGAGAGTTTGGATGGTATTCTCCTTTTTAAGGCGATAAGTGCGTTGCGCCCGTCGGATCTGCAGACGTCGTTCCTGTAGAGCGGGTCAACAATGTTTATATCGCAGGTGGACCGAGATCTACCTCAATGGCAGTGGCATCTTTGGCCGTATCCAATCTCGGCCGGCCTCTTTTCCGTACGGGAAGATCCGGAGCCGAGTTTCTATCGGTCATTTGGTCGGGGATCCCCGGTGCTTGGGCTGTAGGTCGCTTTCGGGACCTTAGGCGACGATCTGACTCGGCTTTGATCTCGGGGCTGAATTCCCTGGGGGTGTTTGTTGATATTTCTGCTTCTTGTGACAATTCCAGGTAGGATCTTGACGATAGCATGTCCAATAGCATCGGGGATTTCCCAGATCCCTGCATCTGCAGTTTTGAGCTGAAATGTTCAATTTGATCGGATTATTAGAAAAACATGTTGATGTGTTGAGGTTGAGGTTGATGTTGACGTTAATGACCTCGGGATAATTAATTGATCACTCATCCATTAATGTTAGGAGAACCTCGGCCTAGTGAGCGGTGTGGAAGACAGGGGTTCCCCACTGCTCTGCAGCTATTTGTTTCTGCAAAGTACGTACGGAGTACTACTGACTGCATGGAATTTATAAAATTATGGAAATAGTGCAAGTCACACAACGTTATTTTATTCTGACCGCTGAATACACAAACCTCCATGTCTTCTCTGGTGATTAAGACTGTGTGGCAGCTGAAAGAGATTATCCTTAGGAATATGGGACCTTCATGAATAAGAAACTACGGTGGACTCAACTTCGGATTAAAACCCACACCAAGTAACAGGTCCGAGATGTCAAACCAGAAATTGCATGGAGTGTGATACCGAACTGCCGATCCCAAATGACATACACTACGACTGTTATTGGCTATTGGTCCTCGTCTTGCTGAAGATCATGCATAACCCTTCCTACGGAGCATTCCCTGCCAATGCTTGGTCTCCGGGCTACATTCTTGCTACTTTTTTATAAATTCAGATTCAACTTGATTTTCTACATTCACTCTGAATACCTCCAAACTCTCCAACAGAAATGGCTTTATCATTCATCTTGGGTTTCGCGGCCGCAGCCCTCGTGCTGCAGGTCATGCGTATGGCATTCAACTCATGGCAACACTCGCGCAATGCGAAGCGTCTAAGCTGTGGCAGTGTGCCAATGTATCCGTGCAAGGATCCTTTTGGAATCGGCAACCTGAGACGGTCCCTGGCGGCAGACAAGGCCAAACTGTTACCTGAGTTGGCCGAGAAGCGCTACAAGGTCATCAGTGATCAGGAGAAGCGTTATGTCACGACATTCTGCTTCCGCAACCTCGGTCGAACCCACATATCCACCGGTAGCTTTCCTAGTCTTAGTCCCTTTCGTATTTGATGGACTAATAGGGAATAATATACTATAGCCGATCCGAAGAACGTCCAAGCCATTTTAGCTACACAGTTCAAGGACTTCGACCTTGGTCCTATCCGTCAGATTAGCATGCATCCGCTGCTGGGCACTGGTATTGTGAGTTGCGATCCCTTGTGTACGCCTGTCTCCAATCTCGGTATTGACTGTTTATAGTTCACCGCCGACGGAGAGGAATGGAGCCGCTCCCGTGGCCTACTTCGACCTCAGTTCACCCGCGAGCAAATCAGTCAATTGGAATTGGAAGAGAGCCATGTACAAAAAGCCTTCCAAGCTCTGCCCGTCGCGGCCAACGGATGGACCGCCACAACTGACATCCAGTCCATCTTCTTCCGTTTGACTATCGACTCCGCGACAGAATTCCTATTCGGTGAAAGCGTCGAGAGCCAGCTCGGCGCTCTAAACGGCCTGGACAGACCCGAAGACTCCTTCGCCGCCTACTTCGACAAGTCCCAATGGGTCTGCGCGCAGCGACTTCGCTTCGAGAAATTTTCCTTCCTCGTTGAGAACAAGGAAACCAGGTTCTCCGACAAGAAAGTGCAATCCTTCGTCGACGGAGTTGTCTCAAAAGCCCTAGCAGCCTCCCAGCCTGAAAATAAAGTCTCCCCTAATGAAAAATCATCCTACGTCTTCCTCGAAGCCCTCCTTGAAGTAACCCGCGACCCAGTCGAGCTCCGCTCCCAACTCCTCAACATCCTGCTCGCCGGCCGCGACACGACAGCCTCCCTTCTAAGCTGGACATTCCTCATGCTCGCCCGCCACCCACACGTCTTCACCAAACTCCGCGAAACCATCATCTCAAACTTCGGCACCTGCTCCAACCCCCAGAACATCACCTTTACCACCATGAAATCTTGCCAGTACCTGCAGCACGTGATGAACGAAGTGCTACGTCTGTACCCAGTGGTCCCCTTCAACAGCCGCACCGCAGTCCGCGACACGACCATCCCAAGTGGCGGCGGCCCAGACGGCCAAGACCCCGTCTACATCCGCAAAGGTCAGATGGTCTTCTACAAGACGCATGTTATGCATCGACGAAAGGATCTATGGGGCCCTGACGCAGATCAGTTTAAGCCTGAGCGCTGGATGGAATGTAGGGCTGGTTGGGAGTATATTCCCTTTAACGGTGGGCCGCGAATCTGTATTGGACAGCAGTTTGCACTTACTGAGGCTGGATATGTTATTGTGAGGCTTTTGCAGCGCTTTGACAAGATTGAGGACGTTTATCCCAATCAGAAGATTCGATATGGTCTCAATTTGACTAGTGCGCCTGCTGACCTGGTTACTTTGCGCTTACACCAGGCTGAGGATGCGTGAGGTGGTTGGGTTGCATTTTGATCTGTCCCATAGTTTTTTTCAGTCCTTGTGTTATCTTTCTGCAGTTCTACGAGGTCTTGGGGTTTCCGGGCTACTAAGATCTGCTTTGGTGCGTGGATTTGGGTTAGTTTCTTACTAGCAGTGTTACTGTTCGGGGTATCTACCTTTGATGATAATGACCTGGTTATAAATACACTTTTGGGCTTTCACGATTCACGGGGTGTATGACTAGCCTATTGATAGCCTATGAAGCTTTACTATTCATTTCCAAGCAGGATGCCTATGTAAACATTGTAGATCGAGGCATAGCATAGAAACATATAGCCGCGGGAAGTATTCATCAGTTTCGCATAGATGCTAGCCTGAGGCCTACGCCCAGATAATATATACCTCTAGCATGGACATGTTGCTGCACTCAGGCAGCAAGGCACTGCTTGCCTGCTGTCTTGTGAGTCAAACCTCTCTTTCTCCCTATGAAGCATACAAGGAGCTTTGCAGTAGTCGATCATCGTCATCAATGCACGATCTATCTTGCTCTTCTTCTAGCCTTCCATCACACATTTCACTAAATCAAAGGCAGATTAGCCTTCTAGTGGTAGGAAGATGAACCTTGCATGCCTCCTTTCTGTCTTGGGTCTACATCCATGCTAGGCAGATCGGAATAAGACATGAAAATACTATGCAGAAACCACAGTTATTCCTAGAAATACAGAAATCTGGTTCTATAAATATAACTGCAAGAGTGGACGGCTGCATATGCGGCCTTGTGATGTCTTTTTAGTAGTCTTTTGTTGTGGTCTTTATAGTGGTCTCAGATGCTGTGTTTACAAATATATATCTTTTAGATATAGACTGCGGAAAAAAGCGGAAAAAAGCATACTTTGTGCAAACGACTTTTCTATAACGTTTGACAAGGTCTGGAAAAGAACACGCTGTATTTGCAACACATTCGAATTGAAATTTATATAGTATAATCGAACTAAATCGAGAAGAAAGTAATGTATAAGAAGTAATGTAAACAACAGTCAACCCTGAAAGAAAACGCTCACACCAAACCACCCTGTGAATAAAATCTCCCCTTTTGCCTTGATCGATATGAGATAAATCCCTTAGTTGGCGCTAATGCACTGGAAGTAGTAAGGGTTCCATTCGCGGCAGGTGGTACCGGTCTCGCAAACAGTGGGGCCAGTCCAGTTGATGCCACCGCACTGGTAGTAGTGCTTAGCAACGTTTCCAGTAGAGGGGGTGCCAGTAGGTACCTGAGCGTTGGTAGTTGCGGTGACAAGAGTAGTTGGGGCAGCAGTGGTGGTAGTGGGCACCTTCACGAGGGTAGTGGTGGAGATGGGGGCAACAACGGCGGCAGTAGTAGTCTCAGCGGGAGCCGTGGTGGTTGAGCTGGAGGTGGCACTAGGGACCTGAACGTTGGGGATGGCGGTGGTGGTGGTAGTCTGGGCAGTAGTCTTGGTGGAGGTCTGGGCGGTGGTAGTGGTGGTCTTAGCGGCGGTCTTGGTGGATGAAGTAGAGGAGGAGGTAGGGGGGGAGGCAGTTCCGTCGACGAAGTATTTCTCGAGGATAGGGAGGTAGGTGGCGTAAGCTGGGCCATCAGCAGGCTCCAGGCTGTACATGTAAGATCCCCACCAGGGACCGGCAGCCCACCACTCGGCGCCCATCCAGACGTCGGAGTTGTCGGACATGTAGGAAAGCATGTTCTCAACGGCAGACTCGCAGACGCTGTTAACACCACCGGCGAACTCGCCGATGAAGCCCTTCTTGTGGTTCTTCTGCAACCAGGCGGTGGCAGACTCGAGGCGCTCCTTGCCAATGGTGGCGCTGACGCAAGTCTCAGAGGTGCCGGAGCTGTCGCCATCAAGGTACTGGTGCATCTCGTAGACGATCTTGTCCTCGGAGTCAGTAAGGGCCTTCATGTTGTCGTTGTTAGCGGTCCAGGAGTGAGCGCCGCTCCAGGAGTTGCCTTCGACGAAGATGTACTGGCTGGTGGCGCCAGCGGCACGGATAGCATCAATGGCGGCCTGGTTCAGGTCCAGGACGAGGGTCTGGTCAAGATCGTGGTACTCGTTGTCTAGGGAGAATGGTGTTAGTGGATGGTTTGATGGTGTGAGTTTGACTACGAGTGGCTTACTGGTGTCGAAGACGACCTTCTCGTTGGAGACGAACTCCTTGGCAACGGTCTTCCAGAAAGCCTTGAAATCAGAGGTGGAGGTGATGATGTTACCACCACTGTAAATGAAGCGTTAATATCATACCAATAACGGCGGGCAGTTCTGGTTCTGGTGCACTTACTATCTTCCGTAGTTGTGGGGATCAAGGACGGCATAGGCACCGCTGTCGGTGATGAACTTGACAGTCTATGGAACGGAGACCTGTTAGACCTTGAGGGACAATCAGCAGCGACAGATGTATCACGTACGGACTTGAGGGCGGCCAGATAAGTGGCATCCGGGGAGCCAGTCATGCTGGAGGGCACCAGGCGCTCCATCAAGAAAGGCACACGGAAGATGTTCATGCCGGCATCTCTCAGGATCTTAATCTGGGAGGTCTTGGGCCAGGTGTAGTCCTTGTCCAGAGTACCAGGGGTGCTTCCGGGGCCGAACTCGGCACCGGACTCGCTGACACCAACCCAAGTGAAACCATCGGCGCGCTTCTTGATATCAGTAGTCTGCTTGGTGGGAATAACGTCCCGTCCGCGGGGGTAGGCGCAGGCCACGGTAGCGGCACTGGCAGCCAGAACAATGTTGGTGAACTTCATAGTGAAATGTAAAAGAGAGTGAGTGTCAAGTTTGACGGTAAAGAATGTGAAAAGAAGGAAAAGAATGGAAATCAAGAAACCAGTCTCGAAGTCTGAATGAATGTGAATGAATGTAATGTACGAAGCAAGAGTCAGAGCTACGGATGTCGTCTGTTATATAGCCATGCCCTGGCTTGGAGGCGTCAAATGGCGCTTGGTGTGGATTAACAGGCAATCCTAAACAGAGTGGATTCATCATCCGAGACCTTTCCTATAGTCACTCGGGAACATTCGGCTTAATTATGACCGGGATACCGGGAAACGCTAACCCTGATGGCTGCAGCAGATGTCTCTTCTAGACGGTGGATCTCTCCACCACCGAAGTGGCCGGATAAATAGTCAAATTATTCCAAAGCCACTAGATCAAGCGCAAGCGACCAGAAATGGTCCAGAACTGTGTAAAGTCGAATGTTATCCATCAACCCAATCTATCGGAGATTGCCAGTTGACGCCTGGCTCCATGATCTGATGATATGTGGAGATGAGATCATTAAACGGCGTAAAGCTCACCATCAGCTTCTATTTGGCTAGTTTAGACGAGGCCTCGCCCTCACAAAGAGGTAATTTAAAGGAAATTGTTCTGATACACTTGCGGGATCGACTAACCCTTCTTGGGTGTAGCGGCCGAAAATGATGCGTCAAAGAAAATCAGGGAAGATGAGAGATGCTCAAGATGAAACGTGATGTGGCGTTTAGGTTGACAACCGTTGAGATCCCCGGCATAATTTGCCAAAATGAACTCGGAAGCTCCTTTGCAGGTTAAGGCAGCATAAGCTAAGCGGTTATCCACTTGATTATTAGTCCCGGATATAATTTAGAATCCGAACAGAAATATGGTTTTACTTTTGAGTGGTCTCACTCTTGTAAACAGTCAGGGGCGAATGGCATAGAATATACAGACATCTTATGTCAACAAAATTAAACCCCTTGAAATTATGCATTTACTGTCTAACACAGCCCCTACTTACCTTGAATTATGGGGCTCAACAGAGATCCATGGATATCAGATCATTAAAGTTCCGACCTAGTATCATTTTGATTGTTTAATCAAAGCTCTGACATTTAACTGGCAATGGCAGAATAAAAGGGCGGTGTCCTACGGAAACATCCCAAGCTCAGCTGGGTTTGTAGATCTATAAAATAAATTCGTGAACGTGTTTCATACTCCGATTAAGTTGTAAACAGGGAGTGATTGAACCACACTGTAACTCCGCACCCTATCCCCATCAATCCGGCCCAGTACGGGGAAAATTATGATCCAAAAAATAGGACAGTATATATCTGTAAGAAAGTGGATGTTTAGGAAGGGTACATACCATCTTTTAATATGTCCGCTAGGGATAATATGCCAATCCTCGGTGATCCGTTAAACCTTTTTTTTAAATTTTATGCAAAACGAGAAGGTGCAGAGTTGAAGCTATCGAGAGACTCCGCCGATTTTGGATTCAAATTGCGTTTTCGTGTCACACGGGATTCGAACACCCGTCGGTAGGTATACGTGACTTCTCCTAAAAAGCGGAATATAATATAACACAGTAGTAACAAAAAAACCACACATCCCATCTCCATGATAAAAGACCTGTAAGGAAAAAAAAAATAGGTAGCTTCTCTTTGATTGAGCGTGTCATCCTTAGTGCAGGGGCCATGCTAATCTTCTCTGTATATTTTCATTTGACCATATGCCCCGAAGGGCGAAATGATCTCCTTAAAGTTCAATATAACCGTTGTTTTTTGGCAGAAAACTACCGCCTTTTAGTTTTGTCCGCAAATCCCCCGGACTGTGATTGCATGGCTCCAAGTGGTCACGGTAGCTTAATTATCACGTGAAGCTAGAGGTTTTGGTGGTCTGAAGTTCTCAAGGAGTATGCATCCATTAATCAGTTATAAGGTCTAAGCATATCCAAGCTCATAAGCTACTCTGTGATGTTGAATTCAAATGAATGATCGCCTTGCCCGACCGGCACAGCCTTCGCATCATTGTCATACAGCGTTCTTTCAAAGTATCGCACCCGTCCATCCGGTCGTGCCAGGAGAATGGTTTGTTTTTGTGTCCCATATGATCCACAGGTATAACTCTGGTCAGGGGCTCCAGTTGTTGGGACGTCAGTCTCATCCTCTACCCGAGCTGCAGCAGTTCTCTCTGCAGCTTTATCATGATCATTTGCAGCACCGATGAGAGGAATGAAGATGCTCTTGCGCAGATGATGGATGTACGTCTCAATTGTGGCATTCTCCTCTGACAGTCGTGGCAGGGTATCAGTACTGAGAACCTCCAGCAGATGATCAATTAATGCATCCTCATCCTCCCCGTCTCCCTTTCGCACATGCTCATTAATAGCAGCCTCCATCAACTGCTCTCCGTCGATAATCTTTGGCCAGGTTCTGTCATCAAAGCATGTGTTGCTAAGTCCACGCGTCTGGTTCTTCTCAGTTGCCACCCAGGTGATCTGATCCATGTCCTCGGAGCGGTTCGAGACAATGGCCAAGGGCTCGTTGATATGTCCACACACCAGACTGAAACCTCCAACCTGCTTTGCTTCTGGGCTGGCCACGATGCCTTGTACAAACTCCCTGGTATCCTCTGACTTGTTGGTGGACCCGATCAACCAACTGTTGACGATGACGCCCCGGCTGTAGACTCCGATGGCTGCGCTGGTCGAGTCCTCACGATAGTTGGTAAGAACTGCCACCTTGCCATGCTTAGTGACCCCCATCCAAGTTCCATGTGTAGATCGGGCCAGGTCTCTTGAACCGAGGACATGTGTCGCTGGCTCTGGCCACCAGTCTGGCGATGACGTTGGACGATGGAGGAATTCCTAGATATGATAAGCTTGGGGCTCCACTCAGCCCACTCAGGGGGGGTGCTTACATCTCTGTTGTTGATTATGATCAATGAGTATTCCGGGTGGGCAGTTGAGATCAATGCGATACACATGGTTTGAGTTCCGAGGTCTCGAGATAGTTGAAGTGGGGGAATAATAATGCAGGGTTCACGGGTTTGATGGTGTTTATAGAATAGAATAGAAGCAATGGCCTTTGAAGAAAAAGGAAATATTGGAAGAGAAAGAGGAACGGGCCATAGAAAGGAACTAGTTAAGGCATCTCAGGTGATTGGGCCACTCCCTTGGCGACATGCACCTTGTCAGGCTTGTACCTCTTGTACCATATTCATAGCATGACATTTGGAGTCGTAAAAAAAATAAACCAAGATCTCGAAAGATATCAATATCAAGATATATACATCTGAAAAACACGAATGACTGAATCATTAACAATGCACTTGAGCAAAAGTGTCTCGTGTGACGTCAAGACGCATCCGTTGATTTCGAGAAAATGCAGGTCACGTCTCTTGGTTATCGTGAAATGATTTATGTGTACTATTTCTTACACTTCCTACTGTTTTATTTCTGCTTTCAATCATCATATACCCCTGAACTATCTTTGTTGCCTTGTCCACTCTTTTTTTGTCCCACTTGGGTGTTCGTCTCAGATCAGCGGGGCTGACTGAAAACTAAAAATCCCCAGGGATTTCTTCTCTCACTTGAATTCACCCAGGCTTCATCATGTTTGGAATCTTTGCGGACTTGCTGTCGTAAGTTCAAACCATCATACGCCTCAGAATGGCCCCGCAAGCTAACGTAGATCTATCTTATAGCTCGGTAATCACGATCTTCTTCCCCGTCTTCGCTTCCTACAAGGCTCTGCGCTCCTCTGACCCCTCACAACTCGCACCATGGCTGATGTACTGGGTGGTGCTTTCAGTCATTTTGCTGGCTGAATCCTGGACGGTATTTATCATCGGATGGTATAGTTCAACCCGCTCCGCTCAACAGGACCACAAGCTAATCGTGACTTGATAATTATTCAGGTTCCCATTCTACAGCTGGATCCGTCTCGGTTTCATGTGTTATCTCGTCCTTCCCCAGACGCAAGGGGCTCGCTTATTGTACCAAGACTACGTCGACCCTTTCTTGACACACCATGAGCGGGAGATCGAAGAGATGATCGGCCACACTCATGAGCGGGCCAAGGTACTAGGTCTTCAATACTTCTACCAAGCCATCGATTTGATCCGGCAGAAAGTCTTGGGTCTACCCCCACAGCGCCCCACGACCCCCCCCTCAGCCAGGTGCTGCTTCCTACGCACAATCGCTGCTATCGCGGTTCAACATCCCCATTGCCGGAGCAGGAACAGGAGCAGGAGCAGCCGGGGCATCCGCTAACGCAAATGATTGGTATTCTGTACTCAGTGCCGCCGTAGGCTCGGTTACATCTGGGAAGTCTCGGGAAGCGCGGGACGAGGAGCTTTCAGCCAGTGGCAATCTTCTCCAGCGCCAAATGCAGTCGATGTCTGGAGCTGAGAAAGCTCACTTTATTTCCTCGCAGCGAGAGCTGCTAGATCACCTCCGATCAACCCTAGCACAGGAGGAACGGAGTAACCCTCGGGGTGGGCTTGAGGCTGATGACCTTGCCTACGGCGTACCGTTGCGCAAGAATCGCAGCGAGAATTCCTTCGAGGTGGTTGATGATGAGGATCTAGGACGTCGCCCAGAACGAAAGACTAGTGGTGGATGGACATCTGGTTGGTTCGGCAATGAGCAAGATTCCTCGAGTTCATCTGGTGCTGACTTCGCGGCACGGGCTGTCGATGAGATTGCCCGGTCGCGCACAACTGGAAACGACCGATCTTGAGTCATGCGGAGATATTCCGCTTTTAACAGGGGGGTGTTAAGAGTAGAACAAGAAAACCAAAATAGAAATCCAACTCGCTCTTGCTGGGAGGGGATGGGATGAGGGAGGTATTGCTAAATAACATTTAAATCAAAGTTGAATAGAATGCCAGGTCCCAAATACAAGTGAGAACGGCCGAGGATATCAAGCCGAATCCCTCCGATCGGAGGAATAAGCCTTGCATAAAAAAGATTCACGCAGATGCACTGCAAGGACGGGGGAGATGGGAGCATTTGATAGCGCTGTACTCCGTACCTCGATGTCTACTATTGAGTATTATTGAATTAGGGTGCATTTAGAGGAGAATGGAGATAGCCTAGGGTTTATTTACCTAGAATATAACATATTAGTGTACTTTATAAGCATGTTGTATATCTTGTATAGAGCAGATGTAGATATAGTATGGGGTCACCATAGTGGCAAACGGGGAAAATGGGGCATTTGGGGGTGGACATTTGGGTCTATCAGGTTCCAGATGAATAAAGAAGACTCAGAGTCATAATAATAAAGTCATAGCTATTTTATTAAGTATTATAATTCCATTTTATGTACATTTATGTAGACTACTAAGTCACTCAACACGGGAGTGCTCCGTACATCTGTAGATTCTTTGTAACATGTGAGTGGCGTAGGTCGACATACTACTTCTCGACCTTTATTCTATTTTACTCTCACTTCTCTTTCGGAAATTTCTTTAATTCCATTGTTTTTCAGAGATTCTCAAGAGAATCCATCCAAAACACATTCAAAAGGTACGTTGGTCGGAAAACCCAACTCTCTCTCTCTCGTTCTGCCCGTTGTCCACAAACCCGAATAATTTTTTCCCTTGAATTTTTTCCCTCCCACCATCCATCCACCCTTTAAACCAAACCCTTTTAAAACATAACACTGTCGACCAAAACGCTGCTCTTGCTGCGTACCTGGTCTTCTGTGTATTTGGAAATTCGTTTCCTTTCTTTTTTCATTTCATCCCTTTAACAACCTGCGCAGTTAGGTTTGGATGTGGCCTTGTTACGCCTCCGCGTACTGACATCACCTTCGTCTTCTTTTTTACGAACCTTCTCCCTCGCCCTCTTCGCGCGTTTAGACGTACAACCTGTCTAATGAGCTCGAACCCTCCTCAGTCGGGCAACCAAGGACAAAGCACCGCTATCCCCGCCGCTTCGACCCAGCCCGCATCCTCTACCCCCCTGGCTGCCACCCAGGCGCCAGCCAGATCTTACGCCAACGCAACTAAGAAGTCCGCGACGGACTCTACCGCCGCACCCGTCACCGTGGGCGGTTCAGCGCAACATGGGCAGTCGAGCTCCGTATCTGTGAACGGCAAACCCATGCAAAATCAATCTCAACAGTCTGCCTCTTCTGGCGTGACCATTGTCAATGGAGCACCTACTGCTCCGGCTGCTTCCTCCGGCGATCACTCTCGCAAGCCTTCTGTGACGATCACCTCGAGCGGTACCTCTGGCTACATGCCTAACGGCGGTGGCCCAGCCAGTCGGCCCAACAGTCTCCAGTTCGGTTTCCAGCAGAGTTCTCCCAACATGGGTGCTCCTGCTGTACCTGCCTCCAACCCGGCCCAGGCTGGCCTTGGTGCCCCTTCGACCAACCCCCGTGTGACGTCTCCTCAGACTTCTCCTTCGCCTATTCCTCAGCCCGCCTCCAGCGGCGGTCGTCCACCTCCATCGACTTACCAGGCGCAAGGAAATGTGCCCAATTTTGGTAGCTTCGGAGAAGCTGTTGATGTAAGTTTTTTTTAAAAATATCCTTCCCTCTTGAGTGACTTTGGTTCGCAGATGTATATGGAGCGCGGCACACCTAGCCGCGACTTTTTTCCAAGTCGTTGTTTCGAACATGTTTTGCTAACATATGGGTTTCGATTTCACAGCCTGCACACGCTTCTCAGCACTTGCGTCGCGAGTCCTCCCAATCCACTCACAGCGATATGAGCAACCACATGAACAACGGTCCCGGACGCTCAGGCTACCAGGGTGGCCGCGGTCGCGGATACTCCCAGCCCGGCTACCAGGGACAGCAGATGCCCTACTCTCCTAACCCCGGCTTCCGACAGACCCCCAACCAGCCGCGAGGTGGTCCTAACATGGGTCCCCAATTCCACGGCTCGAACCAGGGCCGTCCTTTGGCTCCCTACCCTAACTCGCCTCACCAAGCCAACCGCAGCCCTGCCCTGGCCAACGTTAACCCTACTACTCCCCAGATGAACCAAGTTCCGATGGCACACCCCCAGATGCCTCAGCAACCTTACGGTTACGGTCAACACATGGGCCCTCAAGCTGTGAGATCCCCCCCTTCTCGTTCTTCCCAGGATCCCTGGCATCGTCCACAAAGGAACCTTACCAGCTCTTGGCGGCGCAAAGACAATCCTACATACTCTCCCAAGTACCCCGTGGATCTTGCGCCTGAAAGTGGTCAGTTCGAACAGATTCTAACAATGGTTAAATTTCAACAGTCCTTCCCCAACGCCTACGATCCCAACTACGCTGGCTATTACAACCCGACCGCTGGTTACTACATGGGACCGCCCTCGCCTCAACCTCGTGCTGCTGGCATGCCCTACAACCCTCAGTACATGGGACAGCAATTCCCTAACCCCATGCCTCAGGCAACGCCGCTTTCGCGCACACCCTCTCAGGTATCTACTGATCGTCCAGGTTCGAGCCTCGGCCAAGGAGCTGCACCCACTGGTCCTGCTGTCGCCAGCCACACCCACACTGGCAGCCGCGCATCCAACAGCCCCGCTCCCAAGCCGCACTTCATTATCCCATCGGCCAAGAAGAGCCCGATCATTATCAAGGACCCTAACAGCGGTTCAGTCAAGACCTTCGAAAAGAACCCCGCATCCCCGGCTCGTGCCACCCCTTCGCCTGTGAAGTTCACTCCTCCTCCCACATCCACTCCCCCTCCTCGCACTGCTAGCGCGTCTGAGCACACTCGTACCGAGAGCAAGGCGAATGCCGCCAAGACCGACGAGGAGAAGAAGCAGGAGCTGAAGGACGCCGTTCGCATGAAGATCCAGCAGGACGAGGCTGCCCAAAAACAGCGTCTGGCTGACGAGGCCGCTCGCAAGACCACTGAAACCGTGTCGACCGATTCCAAGAAGGATGATACTGAATCTGCCCGAGCTGCTATTGAAGAACTTAGCATCAAGGATAAGGCTGCACCCGTTGAGGAGCCCAAGAAGACCGAGGCTGTTGAAGCATCGAAGGAAGCTACCCCTGCTGAAGAGCCTAAGAAGGCTCCTGCCCCTGCTCCTGCCCCTGCTCCCGCTCCCGCTCCCGTGGACGACGAGCCCGACTATGATGCCATCGAGCGTGAAATGGCCGAGATTGAAGCCAAGGAGCGCGCCGCGGAAGAAGATTACAACCGCGCGAAGAAAGCTAAGCAGGAAGAGGAGAAACGCAAGGAGCGCGAGGAGCTTGAGCACTACGAGGCCAACATGAAGAAGGCCGAGGCTGAGGCTGAGGCTCGCGAGATTGCCCGCGAGAACGCCGCTCGTGGCGGTGAAGCTGCCGCCCAGGACGACGGCAGCAAGGATATGTTCGCTTCGCTGAAGAAGGGCGGATACAGTGCCACCGAGTCCTCCACACCTGGCGATAGCGGTGCTGCTACCCCTGTTTCGTCTGACATGGGCCCGCCAGCCAAGCCTGCCAGTGCTGTCCCCAAGAAGCCCGCTGGCCTCAAGCTTGATACCCCCAAACCCACTGAGCCCCTGCAAGCAACCCCAGGCATGAAGTCTCTACAGAATGCCAAGTTCTTGGAAGACCTCAGCAAGGTCACTTACCCACCATCCATCACCCCTCCCGACACCGCTATGAACGCTGCTGCACCCGAAGGCCGCAAGTTCCACTACGACCGGAACTTCCTGCTCCAATTCCAGGCCGTATTCAAGGACAAGATCTCTGTGGACTGGGATGCCCGTCTGCGGGACACAGTTGGTGACGCCACCGACTCTTCCCGCCCCCAGTCCGCCCGCACTCCTAGCATGGGTAGCCGTGCTGGCTCTCGCAACAGCGCCATGGGTGCTCCCTTCAGCGGATCCAACGCCATGGGTAGCTTCATCAACGCCCCAACTGGCCGACCTGGTCAAATGCCCCCTATGGGCAGCGGACCAATGGGCAGCCGCAATGCGTCCGGCTTCGGATTCCCACGGGGTGGTCCTGGTGGCATGGGTCCTATTGGAAATATTCGCCAGACTTCTTCCGGTGTTCCTGCTCGTGGTAGCTCAAGCAAAGGTCCCCGCACCGACAGCCGGCAGAGCAAGAAGCACGGTGGACGACAGGACGGCGTCGCACAAGACAAGTCGATGCCTCTTACCGCTGGCATGGATCTAAAGGCAATTCAAACCTCTGCGACTGGCTGGAAGCCTCGCAGTGTTGGACAAAGTGCTGGTGCTGGCCCCGCCCCTGGTGGTGAAGGCTACTTGGCACCCGATGTCGTGCAGCGCAAGGTCAAGGCTGCTCTTAACAAGATGACCCCGGAGAAGTTCGACCGTATCTCTGGTCAGATCCTCGATATTGTCTCCCAGTCCAAGGACGAGTCTGATGGTCGTACCCTGCGCCAGGTCATCCAACTCACATTCGAGAAGGCTACTGATGAGGCTCACTGGGCTCCCATGTACGCCAAATTCTGCAAGAGCATGTTGGAAAGCATGAGCCCAGAAATCAAGGATGAGAACATCCGTGACAGAAATGGCACTGTTGTGGCTGGTGGAAGTCTGTTCCGCAAGTACCTGCTCAACCGCTGCCAAGAAGAGTTCGAGCGTGGCTGGAAGACTAACCTGCCTGATAAGCCCGAGGGCGAAACTGAAGAGGTACGTGATCTTCATCCAAAAAAATTATTTTGCCCCTGTACTAATAATTGACTACAGGTTAAAATGCTGTCTGACGAATATTATATCGCTGCCGCCGCTAAGCGTCGTGGTCTTGGTCTTGTCAAGTTCATTGGTGAATTGTACAAGCTCGGCATGCTTACAGAGCGCATCATGCACGAGTGTGTTAAGAAGCTTGTAGACTACGAGGGTATCCCCGATGAAGCCGAGGTCGAGAGTTTGACCAGTCTGCTGCGCACCATTGGTGCCAGTCTCGATGCCTCCGATAAGGGACCCGCCATGATGGACGCCTACTTTGCTCGTATTAACATGATGATGGAGACACCCAACCTGCCCAGTCGTCTTCGCTTCATGCTTCTGGTAAGTTTCTCTCTAGTTCTTCGTCTTTTGAAGGGAAAGGAAATTAACATGGTTTGTAGGATATTATTGATCTGCGTGCCGCACACTGGAACTCCAAGGATTCTGACAAGGGTCCTCAGACCATTGTTGAGATTCGTGAGGCTGTAAGTAACCTTCATCACCATGATGCCCTATATCTCATCTCTAATCCTTGAAACAGGCTGCCCGTGCCCAACAAGCAGCTGAAGCTGAGCGCCAACGCCAGTCCAGCAACCGCGGAGGCGGTGGCCGCATCCCCATGGGTCGCGGTGACGCCCGCGGATTCGGATACGGAAACCAGGCCCCTCCCCCTGATTACGCCTCTAGCAAGGTTGGTAGCGACGATCTCCGTCGTCTGCGTGCGACTCGCAACACCAACCAGCCCATGTCATTCGGTCCGTCCAGCCTTCTCGGCTCGCGCACCAACAGCGGCCGCAAGAACCTCGGTCCCGGCGGTAGCCTTGTCCGTGGTAGCGATGACAGCGCCGCCAGCAGCCGCACTGGCACTCCTACCGGTAGCAAGAAGGAAGACAACTCCTCTATGAACGCTTTCAGGTACGCATTTCCCAAAATTTTCTCCCTTCGGAACTCCTCATGCTAATACCCTCCCCAGCGCGCTTGCTGCCCTTGAAGATCGGGATAACATGGCCACCTCGCCACCGTCAAACCCCACTTCCCCGGTGCTCACCAAGTCCCAGCCCGCGGCCGCTGAGCGTCGTCCCTCAAAAACCCCGTCTATCAAGGACGGCGAACCCACAGCATAGAGAGAGTCCTTAGGAGTTAATGATCAACGTTTCCATTTTCTTGGTTCACAAAAAGATTTCTTCATTTTCGTCATTTCCATCTTGTTTTCCCGTGAGGAAAGCCATGCGCCTTTGTTTTTTAATCGGCAGTCCTTTGCATCTTCCGACTGGTCGGTTTTCCCCTAGGACTTCTTTTATCACGCTTTTATCACGCTGGTTTTACTTTTTTTGAACTTCTTTCGAAAAAGAGACCTTCTTCATAGTGTACAATCTTGACATCTTTTTCAATTCTTATTCTTGTTTCTTGTTTCTTTTTTTCCATCGGCGGAGGTGTGTTTGAGAGTAGTAGGACATGGCTTGCAATTGGACTCGCTGGATCACTTCTACTTCATACTCTTGTCCTCCATATGCAAATCTAGTAGGGGGTTCTACTGTGCAAGTGCCAAATATGAAGAGATCGATTATGAGAGGAAGAAGAAGGGGTTGCTGATGTTTAGTGCTTGCTCTGTGCTTTTCTCTTTCTCCCTCGTGCTTTGCATATTCTCCTTGCTCTAGCTCTGCTCTTCTATTGTCCTTGCCCTTTTCTCAATACCCGGAGCACTACTCAGCTTCAATGTGATTGAATGAATGCTTCGCCTTGAGGCTACTTATAATCTCTTCCTTTATAAGAAATAACATATTCGATTATAAACCCTGTTCAAATGCACAAAACCTGACCACGGACTTGTTATAGCATGGATCATATCCTTAAAAGTTAGACTAAGATAAAATACGAAACCTAGGTAAGAATACTAACTACGAGTAAATAAATAGTTATAAATAGTTACAGGATATCTGTCGAGCAGTCAATGTCTAGACATCCATGAATATACATGGATATGCATTCGGTGAATTTCTCACTGTAGACACAAGAGGGGAGAGAAATACACATGGCCAAAACATAAATGTTTAACCAGGTCAGAACATAGCTGAGGCAAATAAGAGGGTATTGAGCTGGGGGTATAACTGTCAGTCTCGTCGCGAGGCAACGTGATACCTGACGTTTATTCTGTTTGATAGAAAAGACAAACCATGCTTTCAAGATTCAAGACTTCGTGTTGTCGATTTTGTCATCGTTTTCCGACACTTCAATCATAGGGATAGACACGGGGTTCTTGGTCGAGTGCAAATGCTCGTTCGTCTCGTCTGACTTGTCGACTTCGGTAGAGGAGTCTGACGCAGGAGAGTCGAAGTGGTTAGATGGAGGAGGCGAGGCTGCAGTCCTGTCCACCAAAGAAGATGGCTGGACACTACCTGTAGTAACGACGCTCTCCTGGGAGCTATCTGCTGGACTTCCAATACCCGGACTCGCCATAAGCATTGCATCGAGTGAGTTCCGGGGGTAATTCGTGTCGGAGTCATCGTGGCTAATGCTGCTGCGGTCTGAGACCGATAAAGAACTGCGCGAGGCCGCATTGGAGTATGATGCGGGGAGTCCAAGTGCCTCTGCCACTGCAGCCTCCTCATCTGGCAGCTTCGAGGTGCTGCTATCAGTGCTGGGGCTGGCGCCGAATATCTGACTGCCGCGCTGCTCGCTCATTTCCAGGATATGGTTGTAGCTGCGCCGTGTTGGGTCTGCACGGCGCTTTTTCTTTTTCTTTTCGCGCTTCGGCGAAGGTCGAACGACTATTACCGGGATGGGTGATTGCTGGAGGCAGTATTTAGAGACGGAGCCTGGGAGCAGACTGTGCACCCCTTTCAAGTTGCGTCCTCGTGTACCAACTACAAGCATTGCAGGCTCGTATATGCGGATCTAGATGATGTTAAATTGGTAAAAGGTAGCACTGGGGTTGGAAAGGTTACCATGCGTTGGATGATGCTCTCAACCTTGCCCACGGCAAGTTCCAGGACCAAGCTGATAGCCTTCTCATCCTGACTGTTTTTCTGGATCACCTGCTCAAATAGCTTTTCGGCCTCCTCGCGGTACTTTCGCTCTTCGATTCCGACATCGCTAGCTATGCGCGAGTCCTTTTCCACTGCTCGAAGACAGACGATCTCGTCCCCGTCATCTACCAGCTCGTCAATGAGCCATTCGAGGGCGAATTCGGAGTAGTCGTTCTGGTCGGTTCCACACAAGAAGGTCCTACTGCGACGTGTGCTCTGGTAACCTTTGTGTTTGTAGTTTAATGTAAGGGAGAAATCGGTAGCATCGAAATTGTCGAATGTGTCGAAAGAGACGCCTCGCTCGTAGGTTCTGCTATGTGTTAGTACACACCATTTCATACTCACAGTCTTCGGGAAGAACGTACTTCGGCGGTGGTGGAGACGGCCCTCGGTTCAACTGGGCAGCTTTGTGTTCCCGTTCCCTTTTTTCCTTTTCTTCCAATTCTCTGGTCGGGGTATCCCCATATGACAGTCGCTTTTCCTTGAAGCTCGACGAGCGAGTGGGCAACTGAGATTCTGCAGCGTCGACGCTAAATTGGATCGATCTCCGGTGGCTTCTGGGCTGGACCTCACCGGAAGCACTACGAGTGTGGCCGGACCCCGCAACTGGGATCGTATGGTCTCTGAATTCAGGCCGGCCTGCAGACTCAGACGAGCGTCTAGGAGAAGTAGGCGCAGACATTATGAGATTGATCTTCGGCGATGATGTAAATTAAACAGGGGTATAATGGGTCTGTTGGTTTTCCTGGGCCGTGTTGACGTGAATGAGAGGTAGTACTGTAACACGTATCAGCGGTCACCGGGTTGTTGAGGATTCCACAGGACCAAACGTGGTTTTGGTATCATGTTTTGGTATAGTTTCAATGGAAATTAGGAAGATTAATGGTCATGCGTCATCTTGCTCAAGCTGGAGATTGACGGATGCAGCGAGGGGTCAGGTTGGTTCAGGGCGGTGATCACTTATCGATAACTAACAATGGTTATGTAATACAGCTCGGATCCACGGGTCTGGTGATTGACACAACCCTATCTAATTGAGCTTCATGTATACTAGTTCGCATGAAGAAAACTCCTAACATGCATATTATTTCTATGTGAAGTCGTAATTTGATAATAGCTCAAAGGAGAATATCAAAAAAGAAATAATTATAGCTTTCTATATCTAATCCGGAAGAAAGAAATGAAAAGGGTTCACAGGGTTCATAAGATTTGAAATCGAGCAATGTAACTAGCTGCTATGAATGATCTAGACACACTTACAATGCTAGCAGAATCCGAACAGAGTCCGAACTACAATAGCCTCAATATAATTTTTCCCGGATGCAGGGACAATATTTGTTGAGGGCAAGAGTAGAAGAAGAATCTCTATCAACTATATAGATAAAGTCAACAGTATGCGGAATATATTATATACTCTGGAGCATTGACTTGAAGCAATAGGAATACTCCATACAGATCTATCGACATCTCCAGTCAGATGATACTCCATAGCAAGCCACAATAAAATGACCCACCTTTATGATTATGCATATAATATGACTAACTTCATATTTCAGGGTCTGAGTGCATCCGTACTCCGTACATATCCGCAAACTGTCAGATAAGCGGACAGTAATGCCAGATAGGGAAATATCGATTGCAACCAATAACATGACCAATCCAGGGCTAACATCGCATAGCATGCCCAAAACACCTCAGCCCCCCAGCCTCAAGATTTTCACTCACTAGCCCAATACGTATCCCGCCTTACCTTACCTCTAACAAAGCCAAGACATCCACTCGAAGGAAAAAGAAGCGAAGGAAAAAAAACATCCCCCCCTTCCATAATCCACTTTTCGCGGAGTGTCCGAACACGTAAAGAATGAAAACTACTAAAACCCTTCAGCTGACTATCAACCCATAGCGGCGTCCCATGCCGACCTAGCCGCGGTGATCTTGCACTATCTGCTCTTGGCTTTGATCTATCTATCTTATCCGGCGGTGAAGATCATGGCGTGCTGGCGAGCTGCAATTCCATTTGGCTGGGAACGGTGCTGGCGCGCTCGGGGCACGGATCGACGAGTCACATGCCTTTATTCTGCCGGTTTTGGCACTATTTACTGTACTATGTACGGAGTAACTACGCTAAGGATATGGGAAAATGTTGAGGATTATAGAATTTTTTATTGGATTGATTTTCTGTGGGGAAAGTGAAGACACTTTGTTTGTACATCGGTTGAGATCACAATGTCTTTCCCCCAATGTTTCAACGCTCCAATGCAGTCTCGACCTTTTGTAGGGAGAGCTGAATGTTGGGCCGCTATCATCGATAGCCAGAGATGAGAGGAAAATGTAATAAATGCCCATATGACATGAAAGTAATAATATCCAAAATGGAGATTTGCAAATGCGACCAAAAAAAACGCCAGAAAATAGAAGATGAGAGGTGTCAAATATAGGCTCGCTTGAAAAAAGATATCGTAAAAAGCATCAGGGTATCACGTATGTAGCGCTGGATAATGGTACACAAGGCAGAGAGAGAGAAGTAGAGTGTAGTCGACGTCGTAATGGAGTGTGTAAAATCGTTTAATAAGCCTCAATGAAGGTCTGCTCTTGTGCACCAAAATATCCTTGCTCAAAGAGATGAGATTGATCAGAGCCCGCCAAGGCAATAGCCGTAGTAGCAGGCTCCTTTTCATCAAATGTCTCCAGCGTAGGCTGAGGTGGGGATGGTGGAGTTGCCTCGTCCTCGGACTCCCCATCTGAATCAGAAAGGAGTTCAGGCGGCGACTGTCGCGAGGATGAGCGAGTCAAGGTCAGCTCCTCTGCGTCGTCGTACTCAAAGTCTGAGTCTGTGTCGTCGCCTTCGTCATCCTCCTCTAGTAGGTCCTCGTGGTGGAAGGGAGCCACGGGTGATGGGGCGCGGCGGCGGACAGGAGTGTTGATGACGAATTCAGTCTCGTCGTATTCAGAGTCATCGCTATCGCTGTCGCTGTCGCTGAGTTCAGAGTCCAGATCGGACGCATCCTCTGGGTCCCAGTCTTCCTCGGGCTCTTCAACTACAGTCGAAGCCCATTGGATGTGTTGACGAGTGGAAGGAGCTGAAGCTTTGGTAGCTCCGCTGACGGTCTGGTTGAACCAGCGTTCTTGTTCCCGCTCGGCATCGGCGAGGTCGTACATCAGCGAGTCAAGGAGGTTGGCGTGGCCAACAAGCAGGCGCAGGTCGTGGTCTGCCCGGGAAGCTTCACGAGTGAGCTTCTTCCGGGCGGTGTGGGCGAGGTAGTATGTTTGCGTGATGCTCATTTTCTTTTGTTGACGGCGACGGACGAGAGAGTCGAAGTAGGGAGAGGGCTTGGAGGTATTGGATGTAATAGAAGAAGAGTCCATGGTGGGCCAAGGGAGCTTTTTGATTATTGGGTATGACTCTTTAGCTTGTGACTCAATTAGGTGTCATCCAGTCACAGTGGATCGTCGTGGGGCGGTGTGAGATAGATGATAAGAAAATATCAACTTTGTTATACATGAAAGTATGTGTTGTAGATAGATCAAGTTTTTGTTCCCAGGGGGGCAGCAAGATAGATAGTGTAACGAGGTTAAAAAGTAGTAGATGAGATATCAGAAAGACTTCCAGGAAGAGGTTTATATTATAATCTCACAAGGCTACTTTTTTTTTTCCTTTTTCCTTTTTTAGTCCGATCGACCCGAAACGGACATTACGGATGCTTAGAGATCCACCGGAAATAAAAATGGAGAAAGGGTATACGCCGAGCCCGAGTTATGAATAATGCACTGTTCGCTTCCAAGGTTATTCTTCAAGGTTCCTAGGATTTCTAGTTCACCGCTACGTTGTACGTGATTTAGGGTACTTGGATACAATATACAAAGTACATAGTCTACCATGTATACTCTGTATACTCTCCTCCGTACTCTGTGTTCTGTATTCTCAGTGACTCATGGTTCTCGGATGACCAATTCACCGTGCCGTGGTCCGCTCCGGAGGATAAAAACCGATCGGAGGATCGGTCGCACCAGCTCCGTTTTTTTTTTCGTTTCCTTAATTCCTAATTCCATTATTTCCTTTATTGGTTAAATTTGATTACTGATATCTTTAAAATTCTTTTTGGAACCTTGGAATTTAGCTCTGGATTACTTCAGCACTTCGATTTCCAATCACCTACCAGATCACATCATGTTCGAATAACATATAGACCTAAGCTGACAATTGCTTTGACATGTCTACGTGTCGCAATCCAAACCTATCTAGGTATCCAATGAGTTGGCATGTCAGCTTGGAGGCTCTTGGAACTTGGAAGCCAAGCCGCATTGGGGGGAACTGCTTTACGCGTATCTCCGTATTACTTTTTCGTTACCCCTCGCCTGCGTTGTACCGTACTACTGTACTCCATCCTTGATACTCCCTAGACGAATACGACCAGTGCCCAGTCTTGGCAGGATTGACAGACTAGCATTCCCCAGGAATTCGAGATTAACCAAGAACCCATGCATCAGTAGGCTGTGCGGTGGGGAACGCTCAAGCGAATACTAACTCACTATTGGTATGCACAAATCCTCATGAAGCCATGAGGCAGCGTAATTCCAACATCCCTGTATGAGCCCATCACTCCTCGCGTGCTACAGCATTGCCTACGGACGTTCTACGTTGTACATTCCAGTGGAACATAATGGGGCATTGGCGGATCTCAATTGGTCCCCACATGGAATAATGTGCTCAAAAGAGAGAAAGAGCCTGACACTGCGCCTTGCAAGGGTTAGATTAGGTCTTCACGATACAGGTACAATGTACATTCCTTACTACATACTCCCATGATAGCGTGTTTGGCGTACGTCACGGACCTCAAATGGTATGTAAGCTCCTGTTTTTTTTTTTTTTTTTAATCTGGATCTAGCGTATTAGTAAGAAAACCCATGCGGATATCGCCGAGCCTCCAAGGCTTCCCAGGTTCCAAAGTTGCCCCGTGCTTAGAGATGACCTAAGCACTCAAAATTCCCATGTGCGCTCGCAGGGCTTACCCATTCGAAACATTTAATCTCCACTTTGTAGTCTTACCGAATACGAATGTCTCAAGTTATGGCTACTTAGGCTTCTCTCATTAGATATTCTATACAATATTCTATGTGCTACTCCGTACATCAAATAAGTATGAAAATTACTCAATTAGGAAACGATGAGGTCAACAGCGAGATCCCGCCACAGTCCAGAACAATTGGATTCAAGACTCAGGGTCTAGGCGGAGATAATAATGCAATAGTCATCGGCCAACGACAGCCATGGCTGGTTGTCGGCACTTTATTGAACACCCAATAATCGACATTGGATCCTCGGCCTTTGGCTGTTAATCTTCCGAGATCCACCGTGTTTGACAGGTATGACATCAAGGACTTTTGCATCGGCCAACTTGACCGTTGGCCTAGAGATAGATTTCAAATGTCGGAGTGTGGGGATTAAAAAAAAAATACCTCTTTGAGTGGATTGCAAATTGTCTGATCGGGTTAACATGGAACAATACATTGCATGATGAGCTGAGATTGAGGAAAAATAGACGACAATATATTATCTACTCATTTATCCAAGGTGTATCTTGAGGCTGAGAAACTATCAATGCACAGATTATGCACTTTAATCCTATATTAATAATAAGTCGCCGAAACATATATCAGATCTAACCTTGCAACGCTTCATACCCTTTTAGGTAGTTCGCACAGATTCCTCCGACCCTCGGCATTAAAACTATCCGTCCAAATCCAGGCAAATCCCGTTCCGGGTTCCGTGGGTGGATCGTGCACTGTGCACTCTGCACTCTTTATGCATTCCACCTTGGACCCGTTGGAGCCCTTTCTTCACGCGCTATCACTTGCTATCATTTACGGGTGATCGACATGTGCAAAAGACGAACGTGACCCCATCTCGGGACTTTGCGGTGCTCGGAATTGATCGCTGTCCATGACCAGATCGAGGTTAGATGCGGGTTGCTGGATATGCGGCACATGGCTCCGGGGCTGGTCGGATGAAGTTGCCCGTGTGGATTCATTACTCACTTTGATACACTCCTCGTGACTCATACGATATCATTGAGGCTTTTTTGGGTTTGGACAATCTGTGCTGTTGAATTTTTGACCTTACCTACGGAGATCTGTTAAGATCTATTCAACTTAAGCTGTTGCCTGCTAACATGTACCTTGTAGTTAGCCAGCTATCTAATAAACTAATTATAGATTGTGGTCCTGATCATCGTTAGGCTGCAAGCAAACGAGAAGTGCGTGTACTTTATCATCACAAAAAGTCAAGCAAGCAGCTGCAGGGTTAGGATCAAAGCCCGGACACAAAATTTCAGGGCAAGATCGGCTCTTTGATCAATCTTTGCCCTGTGTGTTCCCGTGAATATACGCTTATTCATGGACACCTGATGGAAATCACGCCACGTGATAGCGGCCTCGGTATATATCTAGCCGTGTCGCATTATCTAGCACCACCAATATAAACACAAAACAGGTATAGACCTTGAAAGAGAATTGATTCATGCTCAATAGGCCACGTTCAAATTAATAAACAGTTGATAGTTAAGTAACGCTAAAAGCACCAAATCAACACCAAAGACTCCAGCAAGAAACATCCCTTCAAGATATCTCACTTCATACAAGTGGCCCGAGAATCAGTTCATTGCCATCGTGGTCAACAACGGAGACCGAATTATCAGGATCCGACATACGAAGATCAGCATAAGCAAGAGCACGATCAATAGTCGTCTCAATGCTGTGCAGGTCGCGGGCATAACCATGGAACCGAAGCTTGTGCAGAACAGCCCTGATCCAGTTGACGCAGTTCTGGGGCGGACAAGCACTCTTAACCGGCAGTTGAACAGACTGAAGAAGCATTTTGATAGTCTCGGGACCGATTCCATCGTTGACTACGCCGATTGCCATTCTGATAAGAAGAGAGTCGCACGACTCCGGATGAACGTTGTTCTTGACGCGGTAGGTCCATTGGAAGTCGGGGTTGAGGTCGCGTCGAATCAATGGGTCTGGCGAGGATCCATCAGTCACGTCGTAGGCGTGGTAGCGATCGTACTTCGTATCCAAGACGAGGATCGACCAGTGGTAGGCTGAGAAGCCGAGGCGCTTTCGGTAGTCGCCAAGAGACAGCTCGCCCCGGTGGTAGAGGGCTAAAAATAGTTGGTAGGTGTCGGTTGCGGGGGAACCTGGGGAGGCGCCGCGATCGACGGGAGCATCGCTGATCTATGTATATACTCTTGTTAATCACTCTTTAGGGCTTCAATTTTGGAAGATTATACTCACGGGAAGCTCAGCTGGATACATGGTCATCGTACTTGAGAATCTGCGCGCGCATGTGTGATTTGGATTAGTCGCAAATTTTGTTTACATGGTTTTCTCCGACCGAAGTCTTGAGCAGGAGCGCTCAGCAACTTCGTTGCCGTTTCTATGCCACCGGCCTGTATTTCATTTTCAATGGTAATTCAATCATTGGTGCCTGCCTAATATATATATATGATACCCACAGCCTATTGATGACCGTGACGAACAGAAACGGGGCTGTCTGCAAGTTTATATCCCGAGTTTATAGATTTTTTGAAGCTATACAACTTCCCGCGCACGGACCACTCTGGCGTATAGTTCGAAGGCGGCCACCCATCACCTCGATTTTCAGCCACGAAGGACTGAAGCTAAGCATAATTTAGTAAATTAGACCAGACTAAATATATCAGAGAAAAGTGACAAATGACCCAGAGACTTTGATTTTAATCAAAATGGCGACTGGTTCTAGCTAGTGGGTGGACTAGGATGATAGCCTGATATCGGAGCACCTGGGCACCTGGGCACTCGGGCACAAACACGAAATAACTTAGGGACTGTATGCTTCCGACAAATACTATATTGTTATTGGAAAGACAATAAATCATTTATACTCTTTTTTGTGTTCTGGAATCATGAATATGATGACATGTCTGTGCATCGGTTAAAAATTATTTAATGATGGGAATGCCACAAGCAGACTTTTTCCTAGTATTGAGCTTACTTTGCCTAGGAAACTTAACATATTTAGATATATGAGCATCTGGGCTATACAAAGAGTCTGCCTACACATCTCATTGTGCATTTGTGGTCTAGGTTTACCCCTGGAAACTATCTCACATTGAATATAGACATGAGTATCAAAAATATAAATAAGCACAACATGGACATGAGAACAATAGATAATCCCGAATATAACGACCGCCGAGAGTAACTCGATATTTGATGTTCACCATTGGTATGCCAGTCTGTTACACAACTCTGCCCTTATTCATCTCAAGGCAAAGACAAGAACAGCTTCTTCAACTTAGGATAGTTAGGTGTGCCCAATCCGGTAGCCGGGTCCCATCTGCGTGGTATGTCAGTAAAAGCCCCATAGCCAAAGTGGAAGATTGTACTCACCCTGGAATAGCACTGAAACCATCCGAATTACATCCAGCACTGGTGCCGTTGGTGATATCGTTAAGAACCTCTGGGTGAGCGTAAAGCACAGGGTTCACGAAACCAATAGGACCCTTGCCCTTGGCAAGACGTTCCTCGTTAATCTGCCAGGAGATCCATTAGCACAGTAAGCAAACCAATCTCAAGTCTCAACTTACCAAAGTCAGGACCGAAGCGAACAACGGCGATGACAAGCTAGCGCCATAGAAGTGGTGCAGGCTTCCACCACTGTAAGCAGGGAACATGGCGCCGTTAGCTGCCACATCAGGATAAGCACGACCGATACGGTTGAAGAGACCCTCTGTCTTGTTAAAGTCGACCTCCATCTCAGAGTAGTGCGGGTAAGAAAGCTTAGCCTTCTTGAAGTACTTCTCGACAGCCTTTCTCTGGTACAAGGGCTGCGGGAAGTAGTTGGAGAAACCGCCCGCGCTGCTGAAGTTCGCGGCTTCACCACCCAAGTCAGCGTGCATCACGCTCTCGGCATCCTTGATGGTCTGGTCGGCGTAGAGCATGGTGCCTCCGACGGAGGTCACGTAGGGACAGTTAGAGGGGTATTGGGGGCTGAAAATCTTTTCCTCGGGTCCCAGGCATCCACTGGCAGATCCGTCGCCGTGGAAGGAGGCGACGCCGTAGTCGCCAGAGGAGAAGAGGATGGAATGGCCCTGCAGGCCGAGCTTCAGGAATTCTGTGCATTGGCGCTTGGTGTAGGCAACAGGGAGATCGGCTTCAGCTTGTCCGTAGGAGGCGCTGATGACGTTTGTGGGCTTGTATACACCGCATTGAAGCTTGCCTGTTTTGCTTTTGTGTGAGCGAGAACATCAGCCTGATTGGGGGAATGGTATGCTACCTTTGTAGCCGCCTGGACGCGGGTTGGGGTAGACTGGGTCGATATCAGGGTTGTTGCCTGTTTCGCCGAAGGCACTGTATGTGCAGTAAGACTAGGCTTATTAGCAATATGTATTTGAGCTCCGGGATAATATAACTTACACCATCGAGAGCGTCAAGGAAAGTGTTGAACAGGTTGGTGGTCGCAACCTCTTCAGGTTCATAAAGCTGATCATCAACCTGGTAAAGAGTCACGGACTGGGGGTAGATAAGCGAATAACTGGCGCCGTCAGCAAAGAACAGAGAAGTAAATAGAAAGAAAAGAGTGTACTTACGCCATGTCAATGTCAATATCCGATTCACCCTGGTTCAGAGGGCTGTAATCAGGCACCGAGAAGTTTGCTCCATCAATCAAGGCAGGGATGGGATAAGTGCCTTGAGGGATCCAAGGAGCATAGGCTTTATAGTAAAGATCAAGATCCGATTTGGCGAAGTAGTCACCCTGTTCGTAGAGACCAAGCGAGTTGTCCTTGTGTGCCTTGGTGGCATCTGGGATATTGTACAAGGCCTTGATGCAGGCTGGGGTCATTTCACTTCCGCATTTCTGGAGATCCGCAGGAAGTGATTTCGCTTTCTCAGAAATAACAGCGGATTTGAAAACGTCATCAGCTTCCACTGTGCCCTTGGATTGAACCAAGTGCGACATTCGCTTCTGCTTGGTGCTCTTCTTGACGATGGGGCTGAGCTTGACTCCAGGAGTGATATAGTCAATGTGCGGCTGGATATGTTCGGGGACATGGTACCTAACACTGTTAACAGAGTCCAAAATAGTTTGAAAAAAAAAGTAGCAAGACTTACTCCTCACAACCAATCTTCATGTTGGAAGTACTGGCATGCTCATGCTCATAGAACTCAGCCTTGAACAAATCCTCTACTTCCTGTGCATAGGCATCAAAAGCCAACCATCCCTTGTTATCGGAGTGTACAATCCGGGACTCATGAATGCCAGAGGATTCAAGCCACCGACGAACAGTGTCAACAGTATCCTTTGAGGGAGCGAATATATCATGAACTTCCTCTGCAGACCAATACTGCCCATATTTGACAGAGGTCGGGTCAGAACTATACAAGTATTAGTTACTGGGACGCAGACCATGAACACATACACATAAAACAACTTACATAGCCATGAGATACTCTTCACCTTTCTCCAAATTATTCTGGGTAAGACCAATGCGCACAGGCAGCACGGAATCGCGTTTGATACGATCACCTTTCACCCAATCCACATGCTCGCTTCGCTTTTCATGCAAGACATGCTTCACTGGTGCAGGGACGGCTCCAGAAAGAGCTGCGATCGCCAGAGCAACGCAAACCTGACGTACAAACATCTCGAGAGACAACAGAGATGTGATAATGCCCAGCCATCCTGCTGGGAGGGGGAATTTCCCCCCTGATATACACGCGGGGGGTAGCTAGCAATGGTATGATTGTAACCCTAATTTCCCCATACGCGATGGCGAAAAAGCACCAATTAAGGTGGAAAGACCTGATTGGATATGGTCCGTAGTATCTACATGGTGTTTGAGACAATAAATCCGGGAAACAACGTCCGGCACTAGAGCTCAATATCCTTAGCGGCGGGGATGTTGAATTGGATATCTCTCTGTGTGGAATAGCACAAGAGCGTAGTTGGTAAGTCTAGCTGATATGGAAGGCAGTCACTGCAATTTCAGTGGCTTATTATGCCAATTATGCCAATGTTGTGGGTCATTGCTTGGTTATTGCTTGGTTTTGTTATCTCAGGAGGTCGCTAGTTTGATGAGTACCCCCTCGTTACAGCGGAGCTCCGACGGGGGAAAATACATCGATGTGACAGCGGTTCACTTTGGGCTGAACTTGGCGAGAAGTCAGGAGATCCCATTGGGGAACATGTAAAAGTTGTTCGACATTAGGGTCCTTCATGAAAAAAGAGAATAAGCGTCGGTTCTGGCTATCAGACCTAAATGCGACATATTAGAAGGTTGGAGTGTCAGTGTCGGAGGGAAATCAAAAAGAAAAATTCTCAGTAGTTATTTGAGGTATCGAGGGGTTGAGGATTCAAGGTGTTACTCAAAATATGTGTATAAATTTATCTAAATCATAAAGGAAAAACCTGACATCATCATCATATCGAATATCCATCACAGTGGAAACCACACAGATGGCATCTCTTTTTTTTTTACGAAGCAAAAGGGGAATAGAGAAAAAGACACCGAAAGACGATAACCAGTAGAACAATCTAGTGGTGGAAGAGACGGGTGCCCTGCTCGACAAAGGTGATGCCCAGCTTCTCGGCGGTCTCGAAGACGGGGGTATCGTTCTGGCTGCCAGTGGGGGCGGCGATGTACTTGACGCCTGAGCGCGCGGCACGGAAGACGTTGTCGATGAAGGGGAACTAGTGGAGACAATTAGCATTTACCAAGGAAGAGAGAATGGAGGGTATCACTCACGAAGGCATCGGATGAGACAGCGACCTCGCTGAGCTTCTCGAGCCAAGACTCACGCTCCTCCTGGGTGAAGGGAGCGGGGACCTCCTCGAAGACACGCTCGTACTCGGCGGTCTCGGCGTCAGTGCGGGGAGTCTGACCGGAGCAGAGCAAGTCGATGGCGTTGGACTTATCAGCACGCTTGGTGCCCTGCTTCCACTTGATGCCGATGACACGATCGTGGAAGCGCATCCACCAGTTGTCAGCCTTGTCGCCGGCAAGACGGGTGCAGTGGATACGGCTCTGCTGGCCGGCGCCCAGACCAATGATTTGGCCGTTCAGGGCGTAGCAGACGGAGTTGGACTGGGTGTACTTGAGAGCAATGGTGGCGACAGTCAAGTCGCGGAGAGCAGCCTCGGGGAGGGAGGTGGTGTTCTTGGGGGTGATGACGGTGTTGAAGGTCTTGCTGGGGGAGATGACAACGTCGTTGCGGTGCTGGGTCAGCTGAACGCCGTACAGAGTGCGGGTCTCCTCGGGTGCGGGGGTGTAGTCCTCGTCCATCTGAAGGACAAGGTACTTGCCGCCCTTCTTCTTGGAGAGGATGGCCAGGGCCTCGGGCTCGTAGCCGGCGGCGATGACACCGTCGGACACCTCACGCGAGATGATCTTGGCTGTGGGGACATCGACAATGTCACTGAGGGCCAGAATGTCACCGAAGCTGGACATGCGGTCCGCACCACGGGCACGAGCGTAGGCCTGAGCCAGACCGGAGGTCTCGATATCCTTGATATCGTCGACCATGTACACCTTGCGCTCCTTCTCGCTGAGAGGAACACCGATAGCGGCACCAGCGGGGGAAACGTGCTTGAAGCTGGCAGCGGCGGGGAAGCCAAGAGCCTGCTTGAGCTCCTTAACCAGGGGCCAGGCGTTTAGGGCATCGAGGAGGTTAACGTAGCCAGGAGATCCGTTGAGGACCTTGAAGGGCAGCTGGCCCTGGGCCATGTAGGCAGAGGCGGGCTTCTGGTGGGGGTTGGTACCGTAGCGCAGCGAGATCTGCTGCACACCATTGCCAGCATACTCCTTGCGGAAAAAGCCTGAGATAGCAGAGTCGTAGTCGGCAGTCTGCTCGAAGGCCTTGAGGGCGTATTGCTTGCGGCTAGCGTCATTGATCTCGCCGGCCTCGAGCTCCTTGAGGAAATCGGAGTAGTCGCGGGGGTCTGACAGGATGGTCACACGCTTGTGGTTCTTGGCCGCGGCGCGGAGCAGAGTCACACCACCAATATCAATTTCCTCCACGGCCTCATCGATGGTGACGTTGACCTTGGCGACGGTCTCCTTGAAGGGGTACAGATTGCAGACGACGTAGTCGACCTTGGAAATCTTCTGCTCGGCAAGATCCTTCTCGTCGGACTCGATATCACGGGCGAGGATACCACCGTGCACGGCGGGGTGGAGGGTCTTGACACGGCCACCGAGCATCTCGGGGGCGTGAGTGATGGCGGAGACATCCCTGGGAATAATTGTCAGTGCCTGTGATGTGTATTGATTCTAGTGCTTCTTGTATTTCGTTGCACCATTGATGTCGATGACTCACTCAACAGGGAATCCAGCCTCACGGATCATCTTAGCGGTACCGCCAGACGCGAGAAGACGGACTTCCTGCTTGACCAGACCCTTGGCCAGGTCAAGCAGACCAGTCTTGTCATAGACGGAGATGATAGCTATTCAATTCCAAAAAAAGGATATATTAGAATTGACCTTGCTTGGGATAAATAATATCGTAGTCCGGGGAACTAGACATACCGGACTTTTGTTGAGACATGATGAATCACGGGTCGACACTAGATCTGTTAGAGAAAGTCCCAAATGTAACTGATTGAAAGCAATTGATATAGTGAATCTAACATACCTAACAAGGAGGGTATACAGAAGAAAAAAAGAAGAAATTGGATGACTCGCGGGGTTAGACCGATTACGGCGGAGGGGCTTGATAGCAAAAAATTAGATTACGTGACCACCCCATAGTTCCAAGGTCACCAGCCAATAATAGACCAGTATGAAACAGAAGACCTTAGCGTGACACGTGATATTGGAATATATAAGAGATTTCTCAGAGGCGCCATCTTCTCTTTCTTTTTTTCTTCTTCATGAACAACGCAAAACTCACATTCTACTCAAAAAGCGTTCCTACGAAGACTTGTCTGATGAAGTACGGAAATCGTATAGAGAATGGAGACCAAGTGCCAACTGGCAAAGGTGTCGATCTTGGGTGCAGTGCCTGCTGACTTCGGTCATGTAGTAGGGATTGCAATGATTGACTCTACATACCAAAGAAAAATAACAAATATTATTGAACCTTTTTCCCCCTTAAATATATTTTCTCCATATTTTCACCTGTAGACATTGTAATCCTTGGCTAGTAATCTCCTACAGTTTTCATTTTTGCGAAGCGAAAAGTCATGACGGAGCCGATTTCTATTACAATTCTTTATCAGAGCCATAAATTATTTCAATATACATTAAAACGTTCCATGCCCTCGTATTAGGCCGTTCACCAGTAAAGTTCGAGTCCTCAGTCCTAAGCCGAGAAAACTCGGGCGCTTTTCGAGCCTCATGGCTTCATGACATCTCTGACGCCAGCTCCGATGCTAAGCTGACGGCCAACGTTTCCAAAGCACACGCACGCGCAGAAAATGACACTGGCAATCCAAGTGCCGACTGCAATGCTCTCCTGTGTGATGCCTGCACCCAGCACATTCTCCAGTCCTGTTCCATTCAGAAGACTAGCGCCGAATGATGGGCCGGTCGACGCGGGCACAAGCTCTGGCTTGAGGCCAAGAACCGCTGCCATGCCGGTCAAGCCAACGGTGGTCGAGAGGACGAAACCGGTCGTGGTGCGGTCAATCAGGTACCAGAGAACGGGGTTCGCGAGCGCGAGGGTCAACGATGCTTGTGTAGTAGATTCCCAAGGGAGTTTCCGCTGTTAAAAAAAAAGCCGAGATGTCAGCGTTGGCCCATAGAAAAACGGAAAAGGTGAAAAAAACAATATCTGTCCACTTACCATGGCAAATGCAATTCCGACAAACGCTCCAACACTGCGAGCAACAGTAACCCAAGACGGGGTGCGATCCTCATTCTCCTCATCGGTATTCGCAAGCTTCGGATCAGACTGCTCAAGCTTGTCCTCACGCCAGCCATCCAACCAAGGAAGCAGATTACCCAGAGCCATACCAGCCAGCCCCCAGAAGCCCAGGTACAGCCCCGAATCGTAGTAATGAATATTCTCCAGCTTGACAGGCGTAATCCAATGGTTATCATGAAGATGAATCGTGATAACACCGTAAGCAACACCAAAGCCAAAGAGTAGTACGCTACTCAACGCCTGCGGCAAGATCACGCCTCGGAATAACCCGTGACTCAATCGAGACCGAGTCCTCCGCAGCGCCATCCGTCGTGGATCGATGGCGGATTTCTCTGCTGCGCGCTGCAATGGTTCGGGCGGGAACTCTGCTGCTGGGCTGTTGGCTTCCGTGCCCCAGGGACTGGACTCGTCGCGGAACCCGTCAAATGCCGTGGGCGAGTAGATCCCGTATAGCGTCGATGCGGTCAAGTTCATCACCGATCCTGTACGGCTCACGCTCGTTGAGTTCGACATGGCGTCTGCGTTCGGGTTCAGGTATTCGGTGCCTGTTGACTCGGCCGGTGTTGGGGGCCCGGATGACTCCGTAGAAGCGGGTGTTATTTCGAACGGTCGTCTCGGGCGCGGACGCAGGATGCGAGGTTGTTCGGTCATGATGGATGGGTAAATGGGTTCTGGTTTGTGTCGTTGATTTCAAGGCTCGGTTTCTGTTGGGTTCAAGAAGACAGACGAATAGTCTCGGCTTGTCGCGACAAAAAGCAAACTCTGGATTTTGTTTGTCCCACGTAACTGGGATCCCTGTTTCGTAGGTAGAGTAATATATTGTACAAGATGCTTTGTACGCGTCTGGGAATGTGTCAGGCGAAATGTGTAAATATGGGGAAAGGAGAGAACATTGGGGCGTTGGGGATATGACACTTACCGGGGAAAATGAGGAATGTAAACTTCCTCGGAGCAATTCAGCAGAGGTTACCTTGCTATTTAACTCAGGGTTAACTGAGGTTAATTGAAGTTGGGGAAAGGAAAAAGTACAAAGAGATGAAGTCAACAGATTTGTGCCTTAGGAATCCACTCCGTGCTGTTGGCCACCACACCACTCTAGAGCTTTGTATCCACTCTGAAACCGAACTCCCGTGACTCGTACGAGCTTGTCTGAGGCAATGGGTATAAAATATTGGTAGAATGTAAAGAATCCAAGAAGTGGACAGATGCATAAAAAGAGGAGAAAGAGGGGAATTATCACATGCACATCGAAGTAGTAGCCACTTGTAGGGCTTGGGTGAAATTGACTTGAAATACAATTCCGAAAGGAAATGATACGCCTAGAAAACAGGAACAAAAGAAAGAGTAGATCGTAATACACAAGATTTCAAAAACAAAACGCCAACCCTATTAGTCTTCCATCACGTCGTCTGCATACCTTTCCCCGCGTGGGCCAGCTAGGCCCCTCGGGGCAGGGGACGAGGCTTCATGTCGTGCGTAACCATTGGCGCCTTCATAGGTAGATGAATTTTCGTCACCGTCCACGTCGTCTTCGTCATCCTGATCGTCAGAGAAGTCCCCTTCCTCGTCGGCTCGGAGAGGGGCACCTCCATCATCTTCTTCACCAGAGACTTCGCCAAGGAGTTCGCGGTCGAGATCGTCCAGCTCCCCCTCCATGTAGTCATCGGGTCCGTGCTCCGGGTCCCAGGTTGGGGTACCCATAGCTGATGGCATAGCTCCCAGACCATCAGGGTGGCCCTGACTGCCCTTAGCCTGAGACACTGTGGGTTTCTTGGTAGTGCTAGGAGTGCCTGTTACACCCGTAGACTTGCGCTTGGCAGCAGCACTAGGGCGAGGACGTGGACGGGATCGGTTGTTGGAGTTTCGAACGTCGGCTTCCAGGGCCGCCTTGGCCTGGTATCGCTCCTCGCGCTCCCTCTTGCGATCCTTCTTGGGACCGTTGGCTTCGGTGTAATCCCAACGATCGAGTCGACGGGCAGCTTTTCGCACTACAGAGAGAAAGACGCTTGCGCATTCTCCAAAGTCATCCTCTTCTTCCGGATTCGGGAAGAGACCACCTTTGCCCCACGAGGTTTCTTCGTCATCTGTATCGTAGCCCTCGGGCAGGCCCTGAAGCAAGCGACCGTAGCGTGCGAAAGGAATCTCGCTCTCACGTTTAGCTCGGAGAACGCGGTATGCGTTTGATTTACGTTTAGCCAGCAGATAGTCAATCCTCTGCCGACGATTTTGCTCAACGGCTATCTGGTGCTGTGTGAGGGGCCGCATTCGACGCATAGTGGGTGCTGAAGAAAGCGAAGGCTCGGCAATAAAGCGGTTAAGGACTGGATGGTTGGGGCCCGGGGGAGCGGGGGAAGCATCGGGAGTATGCTCCATCCTTGTTTTCAAGATGAGTCGCTGTTGGCCCACGGCTCGATTAAGTGATGACTCCCGCTTGGCCTGTTTGGGGCGCGGACGAGAGTGACCAGGGGTCATATCATCCTCATCCTCATCCAAGCTGCGTTTAGCAGAAGGGTGGAGAGGGGTGGACATAGCAGAGCCACGACCTCCCATACCAGAGTAGTCTCCTGCGAATGATTCATCGTCAAATCCGTATTCTGCGATTAAAGAAGGTTAGCGTTCTGAGGACATGTATGTATATGGTAGCTATTCGAAATGTCGGGCTCACCTTTCTTGGGTCGCTTGGGAATGCGCGGTAGTGGTTCCTCTTCTTCCAGAATGCCTATACCAATGTCAGTTAAGCCCCATTTTTCAACATTAGTCAGAACTAAGCACACGTACGCTTGCGTTCTAGTCGTTTGGACTCCCCGTATTCCTGTTCCTCTGGTGTATCCAAATTCTCTTCATTGGCTTGTTCCTCTGTCAGGATCTCAAAGGGAGGTACTTTCAAAGGAAGACCCTCAGCACCCTCGCCTTCCACGCCTGGACCAAACGGATTGTTCAGAGCAGCCTCCCGACTGAAGTCACTCTCTAGATACCACCACATCAGCCAGAGGAATGCCCTAGCCCGACTTTGGCTGCTAAGTGTAGATCTCATGACGAGGTCGAAGAAGTCTCGCGGAGGAAAGAAGTGTGTTTCCGACACTTTGGGAGCGTACTGCGCCAGAACAAAAATCAAGTTCACTGGGTTGGTCCGGGGTATATTCTGTCGCTTAATCTTTTCCAAGGTATTCGGTTGGTCTACATCCTCTGAGGCGCCCTTGAGAATGGACTTGAGACGAGGAGCATCCTGCAGCTGCTTATAGGCATTGGAATCCTGATGCGCTTGTAGTGATGGGATCGAGTGGTAGGTTCGGAGTTGAGCACGCATTTCGGGGAAGACTAGAAACCAGAACAATAGTAATTAGCAGGAGATACATTATGCTAGGGCGTAGCTGCAGGCGTACAATTCAGGGTAGTGTTCATGCGACCGAAATTGACCAACAGACAGACCATAGCCATATTGATAGCTGCAGGTTTGTCATTCTGCAGTTTATCCTTCAGAATTTTGCTAGTCTTGCTGCTCCGGGCCATTGCATTGATGTAGACATCCGCGAAGTCCATTCCCTTCTGTCCGTCGGGATATCGCGTAAAAACAGGCGTCTTGTCCTCAAAGACCAGCTTCAGGAACTGGTACTGAATATCTTTGCGCCATAGAGGTATGCCATCATCTTTCTTCAGGTGTCGAATCTTGTTGCCGGAGTAAACGGAACCAATTGTGCCGTTCGCTTGCCGCCTCGTACCGACCGTCGCGCTGGCGGTCATGCCGTGAGACTCGTCCGCAGCTTCGGACACCGCGAAGGACTCATCCATCATGCTGTTTTCGAAATCGGCCATTTTTGGGGGTTATTGGAACCGACAGCAGGTCCGGGATCAGATTCTGGGAGAATCGCAGGTTATAAAGTGAATATGCCCCCTAGGAGGCGGCCGATGAAAGAGGCAGAAGTAAAGCGAAAAAGAAACACAAAGAGAAAGGATAAAAGTGAGAAGGAATGCCAAGTAAAAAAGGGAAAAGGGAAAATGAAGTCCAAAGCCGGAAAATCGAGGAAGAAAGCAGAGCCGAACCTATGAAGGTATAGCTGGTGTGATATCTACCCGTATCAGACCTCACGATTATAAGCACGCGTTTAATATATGTTAACATGTAATGCCACGCACCTGTATTTCAACAAAGTACCATTTTTATATTAACAAATTAATAGTGCATTTATAATCTAGAATCCATATTAATGCTAGTTATATGAACTCTATACTTGAATAAAATACCATTTAGCCTACATGAGTCCTGTACGTTTACTAGAACAATATAATTGGAAACACTTTTCGAAATTGCATTGGATAAGAGAACTTTCCTTCTCGTGGCCATTGAACCCGAGAATTCTTAAGTATACCCCATTCTTTCGACGACAGCATCCTCCGAGGTCCGAGAAAAATGATCAGAATAGACAAGGAAATGAAGCAAAGTGCTCCTATTCGGAGACAATCAGCCTCCACGGACCCGAAAGCAGAGGACATGCGGTTGCAGGTCAAGCCAACGCCATACAGAATGCAAAGAATACCATTTTTTGTTTCGAAACATAGCCGCGCCGCGAGGTGGGACGGCGAGATAACCAGTATCCGAAAAATCCCGGAGAAATAAAGCGCACGTTTTTGTTTTCGAAAGAAAATCGACTGCAGAACGCACGAGGGCAGCAACAGAAACAAATGTCCGCCATGAGATACCGACGCTGTAAAAAGTCTATGCTGCACATGATGAATGCAGCCATAACAACACCGAGAAGATGAATGCGAAGAGAAAAAGAAAACTTTTCGAGATGATGAAAAGTCATCAATCTCCGCTCGGCGCACGCGCGTCACTCGAACGTGTCCCCAGTGGGGATGCTCGAACATAAGGGGTATCTGACGAGAGCGGACATAGGAAAAAAAAGACAACGCATTCTATGATGTTCATGCAGTTTCGATCACAGGTTGCCCGAAGAGAGAGGTGGTGTCTCCCAGGACCACTAAAAGAAGACCGGGCTGCGCGAATGCCTCGTATCCAGACAGGGCGATATTGAAAAGCCATGAATGAAAAACAGCTAAGAGAGGCACGAGAGGAACAACAAAGGAAACCAGATTAAAGCATACGCAAACGGGGAAAATATGAATCTAAAAACAAGCATAGGAAAGTCGTGCAGTCATGACAAAGCCGTCCCTGAGAGATAGCACAGGTAGAAAAGAACTCAGGGACTCAATCTGATCGTATCCGTCAACGAGAGACAAAAGAAAATAAAGCAAGGGAGCCAATCAGACCCGAGGGCATCGTCAAAAGACCACGACTGATTTACCACCAGGAAGATGGGCCGGAAGAGCCGGAGGGGTTGCCGTAGCTGCCACCGCCGCCACCGTAGCCAGCACCACCGCCGCCACCGTAGGCAGGGGCAGCAGCACCGCCGTAGCCACTACCGCCGTAGGAGGGGGCAGCACCACCAGAGCCACCGTAGCCGCCGGCACCGCCGAAGCCACCACCCATGCCGCCAGGGATACGACGCACATCACGAGTGGCAGCAGCGCCACGGCCACGGCCACCACCACCACGGCCACGGCCGCTGCTGAATCCGCTGCCTTCGCGGGCAATGCTCTCCAGGAAAGCGGGAACCTCCTGGTGGGCCTCCTTCAGGAGCTCGAGCAAGTCA